GGAGGATTCCAGGAGCCTTTGAGCAATATAAATTTAATATTAATTTATATGAAAATAATTTCTTTGCGGTTATTTTTCTTTATAATTATTATTCTTTGCAGTTATTGTACTTTGCCATCATTGTGTTTTGTAGTTATGGTTCTTTGCGGTCATGGTTCCTTGCAGTGTTAGAAATCGATGTATCGGTAAGACCAGCAAAAAGATTTTTTTCAGTGGCCTTTTAAATATAAGACACTAGATGGACAAAAAAATCAAATCCTATAAATACCTATCAAATAAACCCCCAGGCCCCAAATTTCAATGTTGCACAAAGTTCCATACATATCCTCTGCGTAAGGGTTTCATTTTTTGTCCACCGGCCCCAAACGCGCAGCCCAAAGGCAACATTGGAATTTGGATTGCAGGGGCGACGACGATACGGCAAGGGTTTGATTTTATCGTCCATCTACGGTCGGTTTATTGTATATAATATAATATATATATATATTAAAACAATCATAACAATTAATTTAAATAATGTATTGTATAATATTAATAATATATAATTAAATATAATTAATATACATTAAATCAATATGTATATGTATATTTTTTCTTTTCTGGAATTAGTTTTTTTTCAGAGTTACAAACACGTCATCTCTTGAGTTGCGCCTTTCTGATCCATCCGACTCTTTGAGTCAAAGCTTCTCACGAAACTTTCTTAGATTACTCATGTGTGGTTGTGCGATACCTTACGGAACCCCTTGACATCCTTGTCATTCATTTATCTGGCTTACAGGATATATTGCTTTTGCTCTGCTGTGTGTGATGTGCGAAAGTGTGTGGCCCATCATGCTGCGAACACTGGCAATTTCTGAAAAGAAAGGGTAAGGTGGCCGTCCAGCTGCATCATGCAACCGTGTTGACTTCGCCGTGGTTTTAACGATGTTTTCACATGCCTCTTTCGCTTGGAAATATGCTCAATGGCGCAAGAAATTGATTGGATGCAAATTTAACGTCGTGATCAGTTCGCGCGCCTGAAACAGTCTGACTGTACAGGAGGGCACGCCCCCTTTGAAGATAGGCGATCGTTTGTGCCACCATGGGCTGTCATTTTGACAGCGGGACGATTTAGTCCCTGAAAGCTTCGTTAATGTCGCCCTTCAGATTCCAACTGGCAAAAGCAACGTCCCAGCCACTTCCATCGTCCTCGGGAGTTGCCAAACAAAAGCTCGTGAAACAGGAGAGTGAACATGTGTGAACCAAGTGGCTCGGGTTGAACTTTAACATCGAAAGTTGCCCTGGGCAGTCCTGGAAAGGAACAAATGGCGCCTTCCGCGGCTCAGCGCCGCTTTGAAAATTCTTCTCATCCGGACGACCTATGGGCAGAGAATCTCTTCAGTTGATTCAGGCCCACCCAGCAGTCGATGCGCAAGAGTTTTGGGAGAAATGTCCAGGTTCGATCAACAAACCCTATTTGGGAACCTAAGGCCTAAGGGATGCACCAAAAAGTGCTGATTTGGCAGATTTAGCACGAATATGGGTGCTTATTTTCAAGAACTCAAGTTGGCCTTACATGTCTTTGGATATGTCAAGCCGGGAAGCTCTGGAAAGGAGCCTCGGCGGCCTGCATTTGCAACTGGCCTCAAAAGCGGGCTCAGTTGACATGAGAACCCCGCGGCAAAAAAAGGCCGTTTGGCCAACCTTCTTGTTGACTGAAAATATCAACCAAGGATTAAAAAAGACCCCTAGTTTACTAATTGGGAGGGTAACATTTGTAAAGGGAAATCTCCATGTTTTGGGAACCTGCCAGGATTAGCATTATTCAGCGAACATCCATGACCATCTGAAGGTCTATAGGTGCAATAAGTAATAACAACACTAAATAAAACTTAATAAACCGGTAACAAGAATACAATATAATATACATCAATATACACACACTAATGAGATGGATTACAGTAGTCTCTGCTTTTTTTTGTTTCAGGCAGCCTGCCCCAGGCAGCCCAGGGGCGCCAATCCAAATCTATGTAGTAATCTGCCTCTTTCAAGTTTTTCACACCGCCTGCACGGACAAGAAAACCAGTGCACTGGAGCCTGAAAACCGAACCCCAAGTATTCCAAGCTTGATAAGAGGTTGGAATCCAATCCTCTTTGCAACCAAACGCCCAAGGTTTCAGTTCCCACTGTTCAAACTTATTGGGGCAGGTGCAGTTAGTTGACTTGTCGGTGTTATTCCTGCCTTTCTTCATTGGTAGTCGGAAAGCTGGGGCGCGTCTCAGGAGTCCCTGCGAAGAGTGGTGAGGCTGGTGAGGTTTGAAAGGTAAAGTCAAAGAAGCCGAACTACACGACTGACCAAATATGGCTAGAATGAAGGAAAACAATTCCAAAACATATGTGTGTCATATTTATTCATATTCGTCCCTTTGGACTTCCTCGAGTTTGTGTTTGGGTGATCTCTGAAGGGGTGAGATGATGTCCCGGAGGGGTAATTTGTAGATAGACAGGCTTTAGTGTGGTGCTTTTCCAAGACTCTGCAACTATGATAATATTTGGGCATGTCTTGCACTGACATGCAACTAGTGATTGCATGAGCGGCGCGTTATCATGATGGTATTTGCGAAAGCCCGTACCCATTATCATTATCCAGCATTTGCTAACAGCAGCCAGCAGCTATCCAGCATGGCCATGCATGGCCTGAATCACGCGTTGAGCAGAAGGACTGACCTGCACGCGTGGCGGCAGTGAATCAAGCCGTCCATTTTTGGACTGCTAAGAGTCATGGAAGATGCCCCAGCTCCACCGTCCGACCTTTGAAGGGAACGTTACCTTGTCCATGCCAGCCATGGTTTTCCTAGCGACCAGCAATGGGAGGCATGCAGTGTATGGCTGCAACATGAGCACAGCTGCACGGCTGAGAAGAGGCATCGCATCCAGCTGTGCTTTCAAGTTCAAGCATAATAGGACATCGAAAAAGGACATACGTGCTCGCGAACGCGATCAAACAATATCAAATAATTAACAAGAGCAGATGCAGATCAACTATGCCAAGCAAGACATATTTCAGGAACCAGAGGCTTGCACCCCCGTTCATGAAAACCACCAACTGCTAGTGGAATTTCATGGTCCTAATCCAGCTAGCCCTACCGTCCGAGAGTCCCGAAGGTCTGCATGGGGTTCGAACCCTCAAAGGGTGTCTGACCTGCCAGGTTTCACCCACAATGCCTACAAGGTGTGGTTTATTTTGACTTTTTTGTGGCTTTTGCGTCAACATTGGTGGGACAATATTAAAAAACATGTTCCAACATGTTCCAAACCTTAGCATTGTCCTGACTAAATCCATCTTGTCAAGGCCGAACCGATGCTGCCACCTGCCAACAACTCGAAGATGAAAATGCCCAAGGCCCACCAATCCACGGCCTGGAGGCTGGGTGGCAGGGTGCAGAGCTGCCGTTTCGCTGCCGTTTCAACGATGACATGTCAACCTGATGTTGATATTTACCCTCTGGTAATGACTAACAGTTTGCAAACTTGAAAACGGCCATTGAAATAGTGGATTTACCCATCAAAAATGGTGATTTTCCATAGTTATGTGACAGTTTACCAGAGGGTAGATATATTTAGCCATAGCTCAGGTAAAGCCACGGGTCCAGTTGTTCACATTTAGTCCATCCAACTTTTGGGGTAAATCAGTTCCAGCCGCACCCATACGCTGGGCAAAATCAAACCGGTGACTCCGATGACCCGAAAACCGAATCCAGGTGAGATACTGGGCCGGTCCTGGTTGTGGCCAGAGACACCAATCATCTCCGGTGCCAAGTACTCTGGTGTGCCAACGATGGTGTAAGTCCTCTGAGGCCCGCACAGGGAATCCATTCAGCAGGTGCTGCCCCACACTTCTGCACAATCATTGGTATAAAGTATGCTCTCAGGTAATTTAATATATATATATCTATCTATCTATCTATATATATATAAATATCTATATATATTTATATCTATATATATATATATAACTATGGAAAATGGTGATTTATAGCGGATTTTCCCATTAAAAATGGTGATTTTCCATAGTTATGTGACAGTTTACCAGAGGGTAATCGACCTACTCAGGAAACCGCATCTGTACCCCCTTGCGATCATCCTTTTAACCCCTCCGTCCTGCCGTGGACGACTTTGGCCAAGCTGAACTCCACCAATTTCACGTAGCCCGTGGCGCTCAGAAAGACATTTTCGGGTTTCAAGTCCTCAGGGCCACTGCCCATCTGGCTAGCAACTCAGCCGTCATCAACAAAAACATCTAAAATCACAGTAACATTGCCAAAACTAAAACCATCAAAGAAATTAGATCAACATATTCCATGTGGTAGGTAAAAAACTTGTCCCCAGCCATGCTTGAGAGGTGGTTGTTTCTCAATCCATGACGTCTTCGCAAATCTTCAAATTCTCCAGGGTGAAAGCACCAGCCAAGAGATGGCAAGAGACACCTTAAACACATACTGTAAACATCAACAATGGGGGGTTGGAACAGTTATACCAGCGACCAACTCTTGGATCATTTGGATCTCACCAAGGGCATCTGCATGGCCAAGCAACTCGATAAGCCACGCGCTTACCATGGATGTGTTCCAGGGCCTCCGGGCAATCGCTCCAACTGGCACTTTTCTAGCCGTAAAGTAAAACCCCGAAAAAAAAAACTTGGAAAAAACAAGTTAAAAAGGGAACAACAAAGGTGAACAAAAAGTTTGGTCGAGAATGTCAAAAAAAGTTCAGTGATTTGGTAGGCATGAGGGCTTACGTGTTTTTTGTAAGTCCGTAAGCGTCATTTTAGTAGCTTCAGAGTAGCTTCATGTCTGGGGCGACGCTCACCGCCACAAACCCCAAAAGCCACGCTCTCTTTGCAAATGATTTCACCTAGCCCTCTATATATTGCCATTGGGGATAAGCCACAGACGGGGTACCGTTGGACAACAACCTTGGCAATCTTGACTATGTCGCCATGAACTGACAAAAACCAAGGCAACCAAGGGGCCAACACCATCAAGGCGGAGTAGAACTGGGCATGCGCTTGGGAACCTGACAGCAGCATGTCGTGCTTTTTCTGTGGATAAGGAGTTTATGTCCACTCGCACTGGCGAAGTTGGCAATGGACAATTCTGATTTTGAAAAAGGACATCATCTAATACGGTAAAAACCAATGCCATAAACCATCCCAGTAGCCATCTACATCATCCCATTCCTAAGTGTATTGCTAAAGGCCAAGGCTCCATGCAAGGCGTTCTTAACGTAAACGCTGTAGAGATCTCCGCCCAAAGCAGTCTCCATCAGGAAATAAAGCTTCTCATTGCCTGTGCGTCATCAAGATCAATTATGTCATCATTTTTTCCAAATCCAAGGGATTGAAGTGCTGTAATTCAATCTTTGCCTTGCCACTTACAGGAACTCTTAGGACCTATTAGCGGACCCCGTTCTCACAGGTTGACTCACTGGCTCACTTTTGAGGGGGTCGTATGGGAATAGTACAGAAGGTTATGGGAATGTCCCATCGTTGGCCTCGGAAATTTCACCCGTCATTGGGTGTGGATGGCGGAATTACGGGATGCCTTGGGCCACATCTCAAGATATACCACCGGCAGTGCGCTACTTGTGGCCCAAATTGTTCAACAAATTGGTTTTTGAAATCGTGAGTCTATTTATCTTTGAAGGTGGGCTATACCTATCATATCGTATCATAATACATTATATATTATTATATATTATTCACATTGCTGTTTGTAACATCCATTACCTGGGTTGGTTGGGAGCCCCCATTCCAAGAAAGAAAAAAAATCAGCACCATCTCCGGCCATCATTCAACAACCTCAGTCAAAATATGCAAATCACAGGGGCATTGCCAACACAAATCACAAACACTTAGCAGTGCTCATCATCCCTCCACAGCGAATTATATGTGTTTTGAACCTCGGCAGCCCAACAGGAACATAACACTTGGTATCCAAGCTTTGAAGGATACCATCATCCCCAACACAACCACATCCAGATCACTTGCCTGTGAAGGTCTGGAAGAGGGAGATGATGAAAGAAGAATCTAACATCAGCATGATATCCCGCTCCTGCCGCGAGCAGGGCTATCCTGGCACTAAACTCGATGTTCCACCTATATATCATAATTAATATGATACCCATTCCTAGTCTAAATTGGAAAACCCAGTGTCCCAGTCCTCAGTGATTTTCTTTTGCAAGCCCTGCTCCATGATGTATCCCTTGGAAACCGACTTCACCATGTATTGCACACCTGGGGTACGCCAAGGCTCGTGCTGCACCCCTGCTGCTCCCAATGCCAACAACTCAAGTGAATCGCTAGCTTCGAAACCGCAGAGTGATACCTATGAACACCCTTTTTTCTGCAGCAAAGATGTAATAAATGATTAAATGATGAAATGTAACTAAAACATGAAGAAAACCCAGCACTCTACGACATGGAGCACCACTGTCACCGATCCGACCTGTCTTGTTGTGGTGCCACAGCTCCAAATTGCCAAACTGCCCAGCCCGAAGGAAGGTGAGGCGATGCAAATCCTGCGATGTCTAGGAGGTTCCGACGGAGTTGTGGGGCTGAACCTGCTCATAAGCATCTGCCCGTGAAAATTCAAATAAAGTGACATGGAAATTCCAGTATGAGAGCACAAAGGATGGTTGTATTTTTGAAAAGTATGTTCCATGTCCGAATGATAGCGCATATCGGACAAAGATAGTTGCAAAGACATTATATTTTTGTTTGGAAAAACATGAGCACGGTTCGGCGGGATGGGAAAAAATCATGAAAAACAGGTGCCCTTAGGACTTAGGAACATCAAAAAGGCTTTCATAAATAGATGTTCATCTCCCCTTTCAAAATGGAATGTCCTCAGTTTTGACCCATCCCCATTTCCATGGCTGTTGCCTTGGTCACGTTTCAAAAAAATCATTTCCTAGCTGAGTCAGGGTACTCTCATTTACATGCAACAGTACCTGAGAGGGGAACACGAAAGGCAGGTGATCAAGAAGGGGAAGCACAGCCTCTCCGTGTAAAAGCTGGCTGTGTGTAAAAGTGTGCTTTGTGCAGAAGTTTCTGTGTGTAAAAGTTTTTCTGTGTAAAGGCTGTAAAGGCATCTGTGGGTAAAAGGGCCCTGTGTAAAAAATGCTGTGCATAAAGACTTCTGTGCCGAAAGGCTTCTGTGCGGGAAAAAATCTGTGTGTAAAAGCTGCCCTGGGTAAAGTTTCTGCGTGCAAAAGTTTCGGTGTGTAAAAACTTCTTTGTGCAGTCTGTGTGGGCAAATTGTTCTGTGTCAAAGCTTTCCTGTGTAAAAGTTTCTTTGCGTAAAAACTGTTCTGTGCAAAGGTTTCTCCGTGTAAAAGGTTCTGTGTGTAAAAGTGCCTGTGTGCCTGTCTCTATGCGTGTAAATGCATCTTTGTGCAAAGCATCGGTGTATAAAAACTTCTGTGGGCAAACTTCTTTGCGTAAAAACCTCTGTGTGTAAAGGCGTCTGCGTGTAAAAGTTTATCTGTGCACAAACCTTTCTGTGTAAGAGTATCTGCACATAAAAGCTGCTCTGTGCAAAGGTTTCTGTACGTAACGTCGTCTGTTTGTAGAAGCGTATCGGTGCAAAATACGTCACCACAGAAAAAACGCAAAAAACAATGAAACAAAAAAGTCAAACTCAAATGCTTGCTGTCGTTGTGTTGTTTGTGATGTCGGCTGTTACCCCTGCAGTTTTTTTCTCAGTCTCGTAGTGGCCAAAAATCGTCAAATAGGCGGTGTTTTCACGTTTTCTTGAGACTCTCGGAGCAAAAAACACCGTAAATACGGATGTTTTTTGCACCTCAGAAGCCCAAAACCACGATATTTACGATGTTTTTTGCCTCTGGTAGCACAAACCACGGTAATTATTTATTTTTTTGGACAGCACCTAGCAAAAACACCCATATTCACGCAGTTTTCGGCATGTTGCAAGAACTAGTTTTCCATGCCAAAGGCACAAAAACACTGTACATTAGAGTGTTTTGGATCTGCTTTAAGGGTTCGTTAAGGGGTTGTAGGACGTTGAAGGGGCGGGTGGGGGGTATCGAAAACGAACAGTAATCGCCTGAATAATCAGCTAACTGGGCTGGCCAGCCTCCCCTTTACTTCGTAAAGCTAAACTCAAGGTAGCACCACTCGAGCTACCTTTTGTGATTTCGGAAACACCAACCAACGTGGTGGATCCATTTAAAAAAAAAGTGAAATCAACCCATCCAATTTTATGGTGTATTTGGTTCATTATGATGAATTTACCACTACTTGGGGTGTTTTTGTTCCTCTCTGATTGTGACTAACAATTGGGGATGGTCAAACCTCACCATCCGACGCTGCACCGGATCCGATTCGCGCGCCTTCTTTTGGAACTGCACCAGCCGAGAGAAGTTCATGCGATCGTCACTTTCGAGCCCCGTGAAGTCAATACCCCTCAGCGCGCGACGCCGCTGGTGCCACGCGGATACGAAAAAAAAACACGTCCGTGGAAAAAGATGGCATTGTTTGGGCTGATTCACTGTGATGCAATCATGATCTTTTGTGAAGATCCTTCGGAAATCACTTGACAAAAATACCCAGATCCTCTATAGTTGATGATCTCAAACCCTCATCAGGGATGGGATCAATTCAGGTCTTCAGCTCTTTGATCGTTTTCGAGGTTTGGATAAATTGGAGGGTGGTTGAGAGTTGAGAACCCTTCAGATCTAGGATAAATTGGGTAATTGGAGGTTCGGAATGTCAAAATCTGAATGAATATAGTGCATCAGAGGCCAACAGGAAATTGCGCTGACACACTGAAGGCAATCCATCAGAAAATGTAGCCTTCGTTCAGCAATAGTTTACATTTACACCCGTCCGTAGAAGCATCTGGTGGTTGGGATGCAGGCTGGGATGCCAGCACCATTGATTTTGTGGTCCGTTGATCCACTTCAACAACACATACACCAAATGATTGTGCCGAACCATTTTGCCACTTATATTTTGTTGGATAATCTTTGGATGTGTTTCCAACCATCTGGTGCTGGGATTTCAAGTGAGGCGCTTCCGACTTTGGTCCAGGATGTCTTGACAAGACCCGAAGATGGTCATGAAATCAACGCCTTGGCACGGCGCAAGCAGCAAGGTCACTATCTACTTGGAGGATCTCACTCAGTAAGTGGTCAATAAGCCCAGTTGGTAAATCCTCTAAGTGGATTCTCCCATTTATATATACATACATAAATGCGTTTAACTATGGTTTCTAACCAGTTACTAGGTGGGACAAAGTAAGTGGAACCCCACAAGTTGCTGCATATAGCATGGCTCACCAATTTCTTCACCAAATCTGAAACAAAAATCAAGCAGTGGATCAATGAAAACGATTCAACAAAGCAAAAACAACAGCTGGCTCGCTTGGGCATCCGGACCATCCAAACGGTAACATGTCGCTTTACTTGAACTGACCTTGATGCTCCTCCAGGTTTGAAGAGGTTGATCATAGAATATCATAGATATAACATGGAAATAGCATAGGAAGCACAAAGAAATCCCATAAGAATTCCCATAGTAATCCCATAGAAATATCATACCCCATCCGAGTTGTATGGATCATGGACTCGCTGTGAAAAAATGGGTCCCAACTCCACTCTTTTGTCCTGTCGCTGCTGTAGCCGTCTCCGAACAAAGCCTCAGGGGTCAGGCTTGGGAGGCTATGAAACATGGGGTATCTCTCCAAATCAGAGGCATTGCTGCAAAACGGCCAAAAAACCGATTGATTACACATATCATTGCATTTCCTTATTTGCATAGCAGAGCACGCAAAATAGAATCCACGAGGATTAGTTTTTATTGCTGGAAAGGTTGATTTTGTTAGCTTCCTGGATGACAACTAACCCATGAGGTATACCCACTAAGCCAGCGCTCGGCTCGCTAAAAAATGATGTGATCTTCCCATTCGCTGTGGATATACTTGATGCGGTTGGAAACATCCTTTGATCTGCCCTTGGTGGCCTTGAACTATCTGGATTCCGCACTTACAAATGCAGATGTTCAGATTTTTTTCCCACACCAGCTGGTAGATGGTTTATCTCAAAATACCCTCTGGTAATTTCACATAGCTATGGAAAATCACCATGTTTAATGGATAATTCAACTATAAATGGCCATTTTCCATAGCAAACTGTTAGTTTACCAAAGGGTAATCCCACAGAATCTTCAAGATTTCCGCCATTTCCCATGGCCACCGGCTCCATGGCCATCCCATGGCCATCCCATGGCCATCCCATAGCGCCGGCGCACCCGGTCACCGAAGACGTGCACCCGCAGCGAGCTGCCATCCTCAGAGATGCCGGCATCAAGCTCCACCACCTGGAGCCGAGATCGGTGAGGCGAGATCCGGTGAACCAAGGTGGATCTATGGAGGGTATGGGTAGTATAACTATAGTTAATGGATGTCAATGGATGTCAATGGAGGTTAATGGATGTTAATGGATGTTAATGGGGTTTCTAAACCAACAGATCTGGGGGATACTGGGCACCTGCACCAAGGCAAAAGAAACTCTATACCGATAGGGAAAAGAAGGAAAACAACATAGCCGAAAGAATGATGATAAAAAAACAGGATTACCCTCTGGTAAACTAACATAGCAATGGAAAATCACCATTCTTAATGGGAAAATCCACTATAAATGGCCATTTTCAATAGCTATGTTAAATTACCAGAGGGTACCGCAAATGTTGATAAATAGATCCAACTTGTGATCCTCAGGGAATGATGCTGCACATCTACATGAGGATCTTGGGTTCATGGGATCATGCAGCACCTTGGTGAGATCTTCTCCACTTGATCAGATTGAGACCCGGTCCTCATCACTCTCCACGCGCACGCGGCCCTTCGTCAAGATGTACATGGAAGTCTCCTGGAAGAAAAGCAAAAGGGCAACAACCCTTCTGCTGAGATTCTGCTGGTGGATCCTTCTGCTCATCTGTTGCCTCCCAAGGACTGCATGTCCCATGAGTTCCGGTCCCCAAACTCAGAAGTGTTCTATTTTGATGACCCCAATAGCCATTCATCATCATCATCATCATCATCATCATCATTCCAAGTTTGTTTTTGGTCCTCTTCTCCGAGTCTGAAGATGGTCTCCTTCATCTCGAACTCGCACCTCTGAAGGCATCCATCCGATTCCATCCCCTTTGCTTGTAGGAACTGTGCGGCAAATGTGGGAGACATCATCCACTTTGCAGGAACAAAGGATCACAACGATCACAATTCAATCCGAAAGCAATCCTTCCATCTATATCTGATCCTTGTTGGTCATTTCAATCCATCATGTTGGGCTTCCAAATCACACCCAAGAAACACAAACATTTGGAATCACATGGAAATCATGAAATCAATTGAAATCGCCTATAGGCATTCTGTATCTTGTCGACCTAACCTTTTTCCCACCCTCTTGGACTCTCATCTTTTGGCACAAACGATCCTGGTCATGTCAGAATTCAAGGTCTTGTCATCAAGTACCATTGTTAAAGGACGACGTAATTTTCAAAGAGTCAGAAAAATATTTTCTAGCAATACCATTCATTGGATCCAATGTATGTTAACCAAGCTGCTGTGCCTGTTTTGCATCAATAACATCTTTGCTGGCATTTAAAACTATCTCAAGTGCAATGTCAGTGAGAAAATGAATATATCTACCCTCTGGTAATTTGACATTGCTATGGAAAATCACCTTTTTTCAATAGGTCAATCATCATGAATCATCAATGGGCCATGTTCCAGTTCGCAAACTCTTAGTTTACTGGAGGCTATACCATGGTATACCCCATTATTTGATGCTTAAATCATCCCATGGAAAATCCCATGGATCACCAGAGGCGAAAAATCGTTCCATCCGGCCCCCTCTGGCGCCCGACTTGGTGAGCAAGGGGGCAATCAACTCCTGGCAAAGAACTGATGTTTAGAGGCTATGCCTAGCTGTGTAAAGACTGCAATACTTTGATTCACTGTTTTTTTGATGGTTAATGGTGATTAATGGTGATTTAATTTTAATGATGGTTAATGATGATTAATGATGGTGAATATTTGCTGGTTGGTGGTAGACCTACCCCTCTGAAAAATAGGAGTTCGTCAGTTGGGATGATTATTCCCAACATATGGAAAAATAAAAAATGTTCCAAACCACCAACCAGTTGGGGATGTCAACAGACCTCAGAAAATCTGGGATTCCCTGAAAAAATCGCCCATTTCCATCGGTCAACGCAGCTTGCTGCGTGAGTGCAGCAACCCCGGCACCTTCTCCGCTTGCAGCAGGACATCCAAGCTTTTCACCTGGTTCAAATACACCATGGCCAGCCTGGAGGCCTCAAATGCCGAAGGTGAATAACTGGAGGGATGGCAACAGATCTTCAGTAGATAATATTTTTTTGGACAAAAAGTGGAGGATAGCCATCCAGAACACGGCACATTTGCTAAAGTTAACCTCGTCACCTAATCAGTTTCAGTGGATGATCTTATGATCAGATGCACCACGCAACCGCAATCAGGGCCCTGTCAAGGTGCAGGATTCGCAACAAACGCGGCCAAGAAACGATGCGAGCTGATTCTTCTGCCGCACTTTTCAGCCAGCCTGGGCAGGGCCCTGCTAAGAAAAGCTTCAATGCAACGATTGTCGAAGAGTGTAACAGTGTAACCCTTGATGAGATAAAAAGCATTAAAACAATGTCAGGAGAATTATATAAGTTACATTTACATACCCTTTCGCTAAAATTAGACCACAAGAGATATTATGAGTTGATATGCAACCAAAAAAACCAGTCATCAAATGTTGCAATGGAATACCCACCATTTAGTTCGATTGTTTTTCAATAAAAAACAACATCTATATTGGATTTCCCATTACCACGTTTGATTGCCAAAGGGTAAATCCCATTGTTGCTGGTTGAACATTTTTTGGGAACAACTGGTTAAATCCAGCAATTATATTCAGTTACCATTGTATGTCCATTAACCCCCTGATTACTGGAGGGTACAACTCCATCAATCACCATTCTTCAGACACTATTAGCCAATATTAATCATTATTAACCACCTGTAAGCATGGTAAATATCCATCAAGTATACCATTTAATCAATTTCCCACAGGGCAACGCCATGAATCACCATTAGTCACCATTAAACATTATTCCATGTAATTATTCACCCTTCAAAACAACTAATGTGGGGAAAACAAATCATAAACCATCCCCCAAATCACCATTTTTCAAGGTGATATGGTTACCATTCAGTGTCATGGGTGGTTTATGACATTGTTTTACCCACATCAACCACTATGAACACTGATTAATCACTATTAACCAACATTAACCAACATTGACCATTCCCAGTCATGCCTGGTTTATCACACCATAAGGGGAAAAAACACTATTATTCACCAACACAACGTTCGCGATCCATTGCTCCTCGCGGCAACACCCACGCTGTGGAAAAAGTCGTGGCTCTCACCGTGGCCGTGCGGGGCGCGGAGCAGATCAAGGACAACTCGCCGAAGCAGTCGCCTTTGCCTTGGCGGATCTTGGGCGAAGTCGAACCAAGATAGCTAAGTTGGTGCAAATAACTCCAATAACTATATGGTTTATGGTACTTATAACTATAGTTACTGGGGCTTATAAACCAACTTATAACGGGGGGGCCTCACATTGTAGCTATTGATGGATATTGAATCTCAACCATTTTACTCACTGAAGACGTTTAAGAAAACCTTTGATGCTTCATCCATGATTGGGATAGAACCAGCAGTCATGGGGAAGGAACTGCCTTATCACCAGGGAAGATTGTATGATATTGATACAACTGATATAACCAGATGCAAGCATAGCAATCGAGCACCAGACTTCATCCCCCAATCCCAGTCCATTTCACACAATTTGGCTATCATTCGGTGACGCAATGCACCCAACAGAGCTTCACAATTTGACCCCTCCGGGGTCTCCTGACATCATCTTGTGGTAAGATCCATCGGCCCTCTCCTAATTCATCCAGCCGAAGTAAGTTTTCCGTGGTGATACCAGGCTATCGGATCCTCCACGTCACCTGAACTTGACAAGAAAAAGCCTTCTGAATAATGATGATCATCAGAAAGTGACTATATCATATGGTTGGGAAACCCCACTCGTAGCTCCAAACTGGCTCCAACTGGCTCCCCATGGTAGGGAATATGGATATACCCATGGCTCCTTAGCTTAGCTCCCTCCATTCAGCACTGGAAAGGTGATGTGATGTCGCAATGATATTTGGAGGATCATCCCACGGTCCTCGTAACCGGCAACCACAACCATATTTAGAAATTTACGAGCCATTTATATCATTTTCTTCGAGGACTTACCCATCATCAGGATTACCTACCAGTTACGCTCTTTTAATCAAACGTGGCAATGGAAAATCACCTGTTTGTAGTATGTAGATCTGGGTAAATTATAATATTTCACCACCCAGAATTAAGGCCATTTGCAAATGATTCCCCTTATGAACCATGATTCCCAGTGAGGTCGCGGTGAGGTCGTTATAATTTACCCAGATAGATGTTTTTCCCATGATAACCTTCATTGATATGGGACTTCCCAGCTAGCCACGTTTGATGTAACTGAACCCCAGGTTTGAACGTGTTCCGAACATTTCATTAGAGCAACTAATAATGACTAAGTAGCTAATAGTAAGTACTACAACTGTTACAAGCCATCATTACTTTAAAATCACCTGAGCTATCTAAAGTATTGTAACCATAAATGGGCTTCCCACTACCAGCCATTAATAGGAAGCATTAAAATGATAACTATACAATGATAGCTAAGTAGTTAATAGGTGTTAATAGTAAGTACATGTAAGCACTACAATAATTTCTAGCCATGAATACATTAATTTGTAGATGAATTTCCCACTGAACCTCCATTTAGTTCGGGGATTTGCCAGCCAGCCATGTTTGATGACACCGGAGGGTACAATTCCCTCAATCACCATTCTTCACCATTGTTGGCCACTGTTAACCATTAGAAGCACTATTTAGCAATCTATAATAACCACTTCAGACACTATTGGTCGATATTAATCATGATGAACCATCTATAACCATGGTACATATCCCATCAGATATCCCATTGGTACTATAAGAACTATGATGCGTCCCAACGTCTTGGCTTCGAAGTTCTCGCTGAGCTTCCGAGGGATCCGGTCACCATGTCGTCGATGATGATCTGAAAGTCACCGCTGCGGACCACGTAGAAGAAATCCTCGATCAGTAGAAAGGGTGGACAATGAGATGTAAAAAACAGCTAGTAAACGCTATCTTTATCACGGAAATCAATGATTCTCAGATACTGAAAGTTATTCATGAAAACGTTCGAGAGGAGATAATTCCTCTGAGCGAAGAAATGATTCAATGAGAGCTTCATCAGATTCTCTTTCAGGCTCATTGGTGCAACTCCCTAAATTCAACAAAAGCAAAAATCTCAGAAGGAGCTAGTGCTTCGCTTGAAGATTTCACTATTGGGCCGACTGAAAGTCAAGAGGTAGCTGACTTTGTGCTGGGTGTCTGCGTTGCATCATTTGTTGAGGGTATAGGGTATGCTGAACTGTGGCAGTCCAAGCGTCACTTGCCAAGTTAAAGTCCAAAGGGGCAGTAGGGTTATGACCCTATAATGTTGATGCCAGGAAACCTGACAGGAGCCCATGTTTCATGTGAAAATCCTTCGCCATAGGTTCCCCGGAAAAATATCATCAATCCATATAAATCCTATGAGTATAGCTTGGAGAAGCACCCCATAAACCCAAAGAAGCATGATCCCAGGTCCCATTGCGACCAGCATTGGGTCCCCAAAAGGGTCAAGCAGCTGCTTCCGTATCGCCCTGTTCAATCACGGCTTGGCCCGCCTAATGAGGCGGAACGGCCATTGTCATGTGGATGCCAGTTGGAAAGTGGCAAGCCAAGTCGGTTCGCACTATGAATGGACAATTTTCAAGGACGAATGAAGATCGAACTTGGAACCAACAAAGCACGGTGACATGTCAAACAGATTTCATGGCACATGCTCTTATTTTACTGATCATTGATGCGCGGCCTTTCCGCCACTGTCAAGTTGCGCGTCCAAGTTGCTCCAAACTCTTCCTTCCAGGCGGGGTCTGCAAAATGCGGCATGTTTCGAACGTCCAGGATGCTTGACAAATTTTCATTCCTAGGCCCAGTGACGTGGCAATGGGCGATTGGAAACATCACCCGGCAGCGACAGTGAAAGACAGTGACCCACGATCCTCAAATTCCCACAAAAAGACTTGGTTTGAGCCCCTATGAGGTGCCCCTAGGTGCCAGCATTGGTCAGAGAATAGGCCCAAGTCACCGGAGTCATTTTCTTGGAACGAAAGACAGACCAAAAGTTGAGGCTGAAAGCATCACAGTCTCAACTCATCCAGCTTCAGAACAAATCGGCCAAAACTCCAAAGCATGGATGACTGGAAATCCTGTGGACAATTTACTCATTGGAACTGGATGGATATCCCCTGGCAAGGTTCAAGTCTTAGAGGATCAGAGGGTAACCCTGGAGAGTTGAGCTTGTACAAATCCTCTGGTGGATCTGAAATCCCCATTTTATGACAGTGTTTGTCTCCCCTTTGGTGGCTAATCTGCCAATATCGCAGATTTGTCACCTTTCTGAACTACATCCCTTTCTTATGCCATTTTCATGTTGTTCGCTATGTTTTTCGCTGTTGATTTCTCCTTGCCAGCCATGATGTCCCCGCTGTTCTCGTGCGAGGATCTTGGCCACACTGTCGCGGATGAACTTCAGCTCTTCACGTGTCTTCCTGAACATATTCCAACCAATGTTGCGGTGCCTCATTCCCTATCCTGTCCTAAGTTTTCTTCTAGTATCCATACAAATCAATTAGCTGCTGGTTTAACATGAATCCAAAAATACCATGTGTATACAACGTCTGCCAGAATAGTTGAAGTTGATTTCGTCATGTAAATTGAAGATGAACAAACCGGAACAAAACTATATGAGAATGTCAAACAATTCAGTTCATCCTTGGAAAATTTGTCACCCAAGCTCCAGTGGCACCAACTGCGGTCCAAGCTACTCTGCTGGTGTGCGGGAGTTCACCAAATGACTCCCGACCAAGAGACTCTTGCGACCGTGGAAGTCCAGTTCCTACGGGGATTTGGCACCTAACCTGTGCCAAAACATCCCCAGATTCAATGGTTCTCCTATCATGTGAAGGATTGTGAAGGCCTACTTCCCATGAACATGTGGCTTTAAACCTTGATTTTGCTGCTAAAAGCAACACTTTCCTTGCAGAACACAATCCTGTTGGCCTCTTAAATTCAATTTTCATGAATTTTGCACCTCCAAAGGTGATGGTTTAATCTCAACCCCGATTAATCAAGTATGTTACTCTGTTGATGAATTAGGGGGTTACGGCCAAAACGAATGATTTTGCTGTTAAAATTGATGCCCCCTATAGGTAAACTTGTGGTTTCGTCATCCTACACTGCAATAAATTGACATGGTTTTGCAGACGGGGGAAACTTATGGATCAATAAAATATACCATGGCAAAACAATGTTAAACATTAATATCCGATAGTGTGGTGAACACAGTAAGAAATTATCCACAATATCACCATACATGGGCAGTATAAACCCTCCAAAGAGTTAAAGGTTTATTGTTGAGTATAACTGTATAACACATCACAAACCAATTTTCATAACAGCAGGATACCCCCAAACCCAGTGCTTTATCAACATCTTGTAAAATCAGCCATTCAGGTGGTATACCGTGATTTCAGTCAAACAAAACATCATAAATTAGATATCTTACTACATCCGATGCAACATCACCATAGAACCAGGATTCATTGATCAAGCACCTCATTTTGCCTGGTTAAATCCCAATCTTAGATGGATTGGCCTAAATCCCGATCTTAACAGTGCCATATGTTGGATGGAATTCCCCATCAATTGCCAGCGTTTCAAAGATTTTGGAAGGGAACCACCAGATTTCCCCATGATTTCCATAATTTATCTCCATGTTTGCCATATTTTTCCCCATGTTTGCACCATTTTGGTCATGTTTTGCCCCCCGGTTTGATTCCCCAGTCCTCCCTGAGCCCCATCGCATCGAACTGTTCCCGGGAGAGCTCCAGCACCGTCAGCTGCGTGTCCGCGCGCACCGTGGCGCTGCGGACGTCGGAGGTCAGCAGGGCGCGTTCGCCGAAGAAGTCGCCCATCTTCAGAATCATCAACTGATGAGGATGGGGTTGGGGATGATGGTTAATGGTGATTAATGGTGATTAGTGATGGTGAATATTTGCTGGTTGGTGGTTGAGCCTACCCCTCTGAAAAATATGAGTTCGTCAGTTGGGATGATGAAATTCCCAATATATGGAAAAATTAAAAATGTTCCAAACCACTAACCAGATGGGGATGGGGTTGGGGATGACACCATGTTTTTTTTGGGGTGGAAATTATGGGGAACACCGACTTGAACCTTAGGAAAAGATAGTGAATTGTTTAACAACTGAGAGATGGTGGATTGGGATAGCTATATCTAGCAAGCCTTGGTGGATATAAGTATGAAACATGACTGGATCATCAATGGATGGTTGGGTGGATCGTCAACTGACGAATCTTAGGAAACATGTTTTGTTGTGGCAACGGATCAGCAACCGAGGTTGGATTTGAACGGGGCAACATTTTTTTCGCAACACTTGGAAGATTCAAGTATACACATGATGGATCATCAAGTGGCAGATGCTGGAGCATGGATGGTGGGATGTAATGGGTGAAAAAGTGAAAACATCAAACAATAGCAGGGGAACATGGAAATCAACAGGACATCTGAAAACTTGGCCAACTTGGCACCCGTGATCGTCACATTAAAAAAAGGTGGGGATTGAACGGGATGTAGATATGTCCACAAGAGGCACAACAAAACAAAAAAGATCTCGATATAAGAGAGGTTGGGTAACAATAGTCATCTGCAGTTCCAATTTCTATTGTCAAAAAACTGCTAAAATAGCTTCAAAGCATCTAAGAGCTACGGGTATATAGCCAAGTATCAACCAAAAACTGGTCATTTTACTCATGGGCATGGGGGATATTATCAAACAAAGAAAGGGGAATTTCAGTTATGAAAACTTGGGACTTGTACCACTGGTCATCAACTGACCGATGCTGCCAGCAAAATACTTATACATTGGCGTGGCCACCTTGGTCAGGTTGCTTTAAACATCAAGAACACCTGATCATCCAAACTTCATGACAAAATCAAAAGAATCAAAATCACGGAAACATCATCAAACATGACCAAGCATCACTTGACAGCAGCTCCCCCCAATTTCTTCACCTTCCAAGACTTTAAAAAACACCATCCGCACCACCCACCCGCGGCCGCCGAAACGCCCTTCGCGCCTCTTCTTCGTTGTCCTCCTCCTCTCGGACCACGGCGGCGGTACCGCTGCGGATCACGAAAAAGGAGTCTCCTGTGACGACCCAAGTGCTGAGAACACTATGGCCACTATGGGGGGTGGGGGGGTGGGGGGTGTCGGGCGGTGGGGGGGTAACCTGAGATGGAAATTAGAAAATTCTGTTGCCACAGAGAATTAGGTGGTTAAGGGTTTGAAGTTTGTCCCATCAATGCTTTTAACCTGCCAACCGATAAAAATAGAAAACACTTTTCCAACTTTGATCAGAAGGCTTTTTTGTTACGAATATCTAATTTTTGAAGATGGAAACTACCATGTCCTTTCTGGAAAAGTGCCCTCTCGTAAACTAACAGTTTGCTATTGAAAATTGCCACAGAAATAGTGGATTTACCCATGAAAAATGTGATCTTCCATAGTTTTTTTGTATGTTTACCAGAGGGTAGCAACTGTGCAGTGTTCAAAACCTTTCGTCGTCCCTTGGAATACTGCCTGTTAACGAGATTCCCAACTCATGGACGATGATAATCCCAAATATATAGGGGAAGTATAGCTGCTTGGTGGTTTTAACAATCTTGAAGAATATTAGTCATTGTGAAGGATTATCCCATATAGTATGGAAATTAAAAAATGTTTGAAACCACCAACCAGATAGCGATTAAATCATCCCCAAATTAGTCATCAACCAACGTAAAGAATTGCTTCTTATAATTATTATATGTAAATATTATACGTACTGTATATATGTTCATAATAATCCACCAACAAACTGTGCAAGAATTCCTGCACCAGTTGGTAGATCTCTCTCTCTCATTTACAGTATAATTCTTTTACAGTATTTCATAGTTACCTATAGTTACCGACTGGTGCAGGGTTTCTTCCATCCACAATATATTGTAATTCTGGTTATAATCCCATGAATAGTCATCAACCACCAGTATCATCAATGATCTCCATTTACCTCCTACTTCGTTGATGATTAAAACCTTAGTTAAAACCCTATAGTGGTTCGATTATCCTCTAACCAATCAACCACCAGATTCATCCGGCACCTTCATCGCCCTGTTGGAAGACATTGCTGCCAGGGCTGAAGCGTTGGGTCACCACCACCTCCGTCAGCAACGCCACTTTTGCCTCGCCAAGTTGGCAAAAATGCTGGGAGGAGTGGGGCAAAATGATGGGAAAATGATGGGAAAATGATGGATGAACTGCTGATAATGTGGTTAAAGCAATGTGGTTAAAACAATGCCATAAACCACCCATTTCAGGGAATGGTAACCATACCAACTATATATAAAACTGGTGATGACTGGGGGATTGTTTATGACATTGTTTTAACCACATTACCGAACTTAGGGCAAAATATGGAAAATGGTTTCGGATGGTTTCGGTGACAATGCCATTTAGATGATTTGTGTCTGGATAAAATGCAGGCAGGGCATGGCAGGGCAATCTTAGGATGGGGAAGATCTGGTTTATGGAAGCAAGGACTTGAAGGATCCTCCGAGGATGGGGTCATGAGTATGCATCCACCTGACATTCACGAACCTGAGAAAGCCCATGCTGATTTTGGATTGATCTTATTTCAGAAGATGCTGCATGTATTTGTGCAACCTGCATGGTATCTGAGTTTGCGGAGGGAAACTCCTATCATCAAACTATATCTGTGAATCGTGGTCGTCAAAGAATTTGCACTTGCCAAAGGTGAATTTATAAAATCTGCTAGACGAGGTGCTCGTGGCAGGCATCTCAGCAGGGGCACCTGACACTGTCGACGGAGTGTTGGCTGCCTTCGCCCGAAACTGTGGGACATTACCAAGACCAAGTGTTGGCCATACAATAATTCATGCAATGTGAGGCCCCCTAGATAGCTAAGTTGGTTTATAACTCCAATAACTATGGTTTATGGTACTTATAACTATAGTTACTGGGGCTTATAAACCAACAAACAACACTGGGGGGCCTCACATTGTGGTTTTCATGGTTGTTGGTGACATTGTCAGCGTATCGAACCGTGATTTCCAGGCTGAGACACCCAAATAAAAAAACAAAAACGATTTATGCGGTTGGGCGTAGGTTTGCTGGGATGCATGTAGGCTGTAAAATGGGTGTATCCCATAGATTAGCTATACCAACAGCTATTAGCTTTACCAACTATCTTCTCAGATATTATCTCCATCTTTGTTACCGTTGGTTAAATCCTTATGTTTGTTCGTTTAGATCTAGGTATGTACAAGCATCAGCCGTATGATGTTTGCTTGCTGCCCTGCACCCTAATTCATCCAACTTCACCGATATTTGAACCCATGGCTATCTATGTATGGTTTTATAAGATATGACCTGGTTGGTGGTATACCTGCCCCTCTGAAAAATATGAAAATCAGTTGGGAAGGATTATTCCCAATATATTATGGAAAATAAAAAATGCTCCAAACCACCAACCAGTGACTTTAAACTGTTGGGTCTCACCCAAGTAAGTTGGTGAACTCCCCAATGTGTTGCTTCAAAACTCCCCTGGCAGCCTGACATAAGAACTCCATCAGCTCCTGCCGGTTGTCGTCTTTCCGCCCCGAAGCCTTGGTTTGTGACAAAGGAACCCACCGAAAATGGATATAAATGGATCACTCGGCTGGGAAAACCATCGTTTTTTTGGGCTTGGGAGGATGGCATCTTGACAGATTTTCTGGTTGCAACTTGACCATTTTGTCTTAGGAGTTTTTTTTGGTCAACATTTGGATGGACATGCAATAGCCGCAACTTGGCCACATCGGTCCATGGAATTGCTCAACTCTTGTTCTGGGAGCAGTTGACATGAATTGAAGCACGGAAATTTCTTTAAATATTTCTTTAAATATTCAATAAGCACCATTTGTTCTTCAAGTATTCAATAGTCTTTAGCCTTTAGGTGCAATTGGGGGTCCACCGAGGTGTGCCAAAATAGTCCGTGGTGTTTTTTTTTCTGTTCGGATGGATGCGAATGAACTTTGCATGTTCTGCCTCGGTTCAATCAGAATGCCACGGACCCATCTGGAGCCGAAAAAAGTGAACCCACCAAGCTAGTCACTAAATGTCACTATACTTTCTACAGGTGGGTTTTGCCGGTGTATGGTACATAGGTGGCTGCCGTGTATTTCCATCAGCCCGCTTTAATCCCGAATAACTGGGGGATACCATAAACCATTCTCCATCTTGCCATGGTGAATCCAAGATACCAACAAATCTGGTTTTTAGCTGTGCATTTTGCCATAGCAAAAGATTCAAGTACTAGTTCGTATCTAACCAGTCGGTTGACCTAGTGGTGCCCGCTCAAAAATCGCCGCGATCCTGGCCCAGTGGCGCTCAAAGCTGACCAACTCCTCAACATGGTGATGCTGTGCACCCATTTATGGATTTACCCTCTGGTTATTTAACATAGCCATGGTATAGATGGCCCATAGAAAAAGATGGTTTACCTATTAAAAATGGTGATTTTCCATGGCTATGTTAAATAACCAGAGGGTATATATATAATGGAACAGCCAAAAATTAAAAATGGATGATTTCAGGGTACCCCCATGACTCATGACTTAGGACATCTCCATATGACTTGCCTCCAAGTTCGGTCTGGAATTCACCTGGAAATGTTGGATGAGGAATGTGACAAAATGTTGTCCCCATTTTTTCACTTGAGTACTGCTTTGGGATTTTTCAACGTATATAGATGGATGAGCTATGATTGACCTGGAATCTGCAGATGATATTCACATCAAACATTGGGATGGTTGGATGGATTCTTGTCGTCACATGGGGCTGAGAAGTACCCTGGGGTAAACGTTTACATCGATGTTTTCCACCCCATGGTTTCATTATTTCATTGGGTGATCTATATTAAATCCCATATTTTTGGTGAAGTGATGTTTAATCCCCATATGTTCTGGTGGTTTTAACCATCTTGAAGATATGAAAGTCAATGGGAAAGATGACAACCCATCTATGAATTGGAAAATAAAAGCCATGTTTGAAACCACCAACCAGTGTTTGTTGCTTAACTCATGCTAAATCATCATTTTTCTTGGTGAAATCCACCAAAAAATCTCTCCCAACGTCCTGGCCAGGAAGGGCCGCCCGGTCGGACTCTTGGGACTCGGTGTCTTATCCAACGGTGCCTGCCTCGGGGGCAGGCGAGTTTTTGTTTCTGCACGAGTTCTCGAAATCCCTCCGGGTTCCAAAAATCTCCCAGAATGCTGTTTTCAGTTTATAGGGGCAAAAACTATAGACTATAGTATTCATGGGGTTGAACAAATTGTATAGACAAAGTTAAATCTGGGGGCCCTCTTTTTGGAGTGAAGGGACAACTCAGAATTTATACTGGGGCAGGTTGGGTGCAGTAAACTGCTGGACTTGACGAAGACTAACATATCAAATGGAGGATATGAGAAACATGGGTGTACCATGGTGTACCGATCAGCATTGAACAATATTTCACCGGCAAAAACTGGACATTGCGACCAAGAAAAATGGGAGCATCCAGGAGCAACATCCACAATGCTGGGATATGGCGAAGGTAGCGGGAGCTTGCCATAGCTTACCAAGGAAGTTGTAAGGAAGTTGTGGATGTAGGAGATAGGGGGTACCTGACAAAGATGGACCTATGAAACAACATTGGCCAACCTTGATCCGGCCCTAGTTGTGGCATTGCTCCAACCGACTCCAAGCTCCAAGAAATTAAGGGCTTGAACTGAATCATTCATACATTCCTCCATCAAGGGCAGCAACAAGATCAACAAGTCAATCCATGCACCGAACCAAGGTTTACCGGTTTTTTGCCGCCCAGGACGCCTAGTGAAGGCCCTGCTTTTCGGCGATTCATCCAATTCCAGTGGAGCGTCGTTTTTGGAACTGCGGCCGCCCATGGCGGCTGGTGATTGAAGGGTTTGCTATGGAAAATCACCGGATTTTCATCATGTCTATCATCATGTCTATCATCATGTCTATCATCTATTTCTTTGGGCCACAACTTCCACAGCTATGTTAAAACTTGCAGAGGGTCTATCATTTGCGGCTCTGCTTTGTAAGGAAAAGGGATGTAAAGGGCAATCCTGAAGCTGGCCGTTGGCCATTGGGCCATCGAAAGGTTGGGGTGGCTTGGGAAGTAGATCAAACCAAGGTTGTGGCAACCTGCAGCTTCCGACTGAGCCACAGCCACAGATTGCAATAAACACCCTTCTCCTCCCGTAAACTAGCAGTTTGCGCTGGAACATCACCACTTCCAATAGGTAAATCAACTATTTCTATGGCCATGTTCAATAGCTATGGTAAATTACCAGGGTAGACATGGAAAAAAACACAGTTGACATCACCAAGATTTCAAATCACGGGGCCCCAAGGGGCCAACCCGTTTGGAGGACGAAACTTCGCCCTCTGGCTTTTGGGGTCACCATATGCCTCGTCGGACGTGATCGCCCACCTTGGATATCCCTTAAGAAGCTCGTTCCTAGCGGGATATCACACCCCTCCAGAACATGGCTCCAAAATAGACAAAACAAACTATTCAGAAAGACCTACTCAAGCCCCCTTCTGCGAAACTGGATGAAATCCTGCAAATGTTCGTTACATCTCCCTTTTCAAGCTGTGTACCTGTGCGTGGCATCCCGCCAGTCCTACCCACTTCGCTTGTTTTCACACGTCGAGCAAAGAAGCTCTTCAGCTACAGAGCATTCTGCAGTAGCGATGCCATGTGGCAGGTTCAACCCGAAGCCACAGGAAAATGGCTGTCTGACAGGCCATCCGTTTGGATAAGGCCTTGAACATCCAACAGATCGCCGTCCCTTTGTGAAAAACGGGACAGCGAAGGGGACCATTCCCGGGCGCGGTCGCGAATGGAATCTGATTGTTGTTGCAAAACATGGATGCTATACCTTGGGGGGGTAAGCAACAAAACTGGACATATCAATCCATGTCAACATTCCAAACCATAGCCATAGATAGGTGTGACCCATTAATTATCTAACCAAAGTTTGCCCAGTACTTTCCAGTGAAAGGATACCTTGCTTGGGCCACCCAGTTTAACGTTCAAACTGCGCCAGGCGCTACTAAGTGCATTGCGAACGAAAAGAGTTGGAGGAAATTCGGCGCCAACCATTCTGAATGGTTCCCTGTGGGTTCCATTCAAGGTTGAACAACTGAGTATGTCAAAAACTGGCAAAAGGTACCGCAACTGATCATGACATGATGGTTGGACAAAAGCGTCCACTGCGGAAACGTGCTCCTAACCAACAGCAGTCGCCATTGTCCACATCTGAACCCATATCATCAGAAACCTTCATCCTCCAGTACATTAACATCGACCCTGCCAAATAGGGGCTTGGAAGATTATATAGTTTCCACTAAAAACTGGCCATGTTCAGGGTCTATGTTAATTTGGTGGAGGGTGTATTGAAGTTGGCCACACTATAAAACTGTCTCCAGTTTCAGTTTCTTCCAGATTTCCTCCATCTGCCACGTTCCGACATTCTCTCCCACTCCGAATCGGCGGATGCTAAGAAAACACGTTTCTGTGAGCGAATCATTGGTCCGATCCTCAGAGCAAGTTGCACCAAATGAGTTCGATATATTTGACATCGCTTCTAGGGAAAAACCAGTCATTTATGAATGAATATACATGAGCAGTTTTCCCGTCTGAGATAAGAGTTCAGTACCGCAGTTTTCACATCAAGGTAGCTCGTAGATGTGGAAGCTTTATCCACCCATCTGCATGGAAAAACATCTGTGGCATGACCGGTCCCTGTTATTAGATTCCTTTTGTGGTTTGTCAAGTCTAATTCTGCTGGTTTATTACTCTCCCCACGCACATTCTCCCATTCATCTGGGCATGAGTAAAAATTCAACATATTTTGGCAATCCTCTATAAAATGGCAGTATAAAAGGCATGGAACCCCCCCAGTTTACAGTGACCTATCCTGGCTATTGTATAGACTCTCATTGACCGAGGTTCTTTTGGCCACTTATGAAACTGCGGGGCGCCCCTCTGGACAAAGCATCCCCTGCCCACAGTGGAACGAGTGAAAAATCCACAAAATCTCTCTGTAAGGTGAAACCCCTCAGCGACGTTCGTTGGTTACGAATCCCCCATGAATACGATCCCTCTGAAAAATATGAAAGTCAGTTGGGATTATTATTCCCAATATAACAATATATGGAAAAATAAAAACTGTTCCAAACCACCAACCAGCTATAGTTGTATTCCCCATCAACCCAAATGTCAAGCTAGTTATGTGCATCAACTTAGCTCTAACGCTGGCCTGCCTCACCTTGTAGAAACAAAAAAAGGGGTTTCCTAAGCCATGAAGGATCCCCAGTCATCACCAGAGGTTTCAATATGTCTTAATGGTGTCTACTGTTGCATGATTTGGGGATACCCCCACTTTCCAAAACGGAAACCGCCAAATATCATCATCCCAAGATATACCCTCTGGTAAACTAACATAGCTATGGAAAAGCACCATTTTCAATGGGAAAATCCACTATAAATGGGCCATTTTCAAGTTCGCAAACTGTTAGTTTACCATCTGGTTATGACTAACAGTTCGCCATGGAAAATGGATGGAAATGGCCCTATAGAAATAGATGGTTTACCAGGCCGGGTACATGAAACCGCTAGCCTCAGCATCCGACGTCTCACCGCACGCCTCGGCGTGTCACGGGGAGATATTCATGTCCTGCACGATGAACTGCATCGCTCCAGCGGAAAGGAGCTTGATCTGGTCTTCCTGGCGATCTCGGGCCTAGGGCCGGCCCGGTAAAATGGGGGTTGGTCCCAGGGCTAAAGATATTGGTGACTTGAAATATCTGCAAAAGTACATGATAGTAAATGTATCTAGATTTCATATTGCATCATCATGCCTGTGTTTATATATATATGTATTATATGTATGCATGTATGTATGCATGCATGCATGCATGGATGGATGGATGTATGATCACTTTCTCGCATTTTTCATGGCGTTAAATGAGAAGGATGCTATTTCGGAAAAAACACAGATACTTGGATGTGTCCTAGCAATCAAATTTGGTTTAATTCCCTTGCTTATAGGCTATAGGTCCCCAACTGAGGCAATCCAATGCAAAACTGGTGTATAGTTTGCAACCATGGCTATGAACCAGCCCTTTGGATGAACATCTAAGTGCCAAAACCCAGTTTTGGAGAGACATGGCGGAAAGTAGCCGGGCATCTTCCAGCAAAAAACGTAACAACTCCCAATTTCAATGCCCAACAATGGTGATAAGCGACAGTTTCAGGCCAACAACATGACAAATAGCCTCCATCTTTGGTAGCTTGATAAATCCAATAACGACACATTCCCAATTTCACGAAAAGTTCACCAGAAATGGATTTCACAAACACCCCGCAAAAAGAGATGTATTTTTCGTTTGCCCCATTGAAACTACTTTCTGACCAACAAACCATCGGTGAGACGGTCACATTGAAAACCAATACAAACCAAGGGGATGATCATAGAGAACCATGCCAAGAGAATGAATCATTTCTATGATCATGCTATAATATGCTATATCATCCTGGTTGGTGGTTTTAACATGTTTTAACCATCTTGAACAATATGAAAAAAGTCAGTTGGAATGCTAACATCCCATATACGAAATGGAAAATACCAACTGTTCCAAAGCACCAACCAGATAATGTCCATGTTTACCCCTCAAAAATGTGAATCTTTCCCATCTTTGGGCTTCATCCGCCTCGGCCCATGGGGCCCATGGCCTCGCCGGCCTCGCTGTCGTTCTTCCCCTCGATGGTGGAGGTCTTCTCCTCAGGCGTCCTGGGATATTCATTGGATATTAATGGACTATACCATGATTGAACGGGATTTTAATGGAATATGCCATGATTTGATTGGATATTAATAGACTATACCATGATTGAATGGGATTTTAATGGAATATACCATGATTTGATTGGATATTAATGGACTATACCATGATTGAACGGGATTTTAATGGAATATGCCATGATTTGATTGGATATTAATGGACTATACCATGATTGAATGGGATTTTAATGGAATATGCCATGATTTGATTGGATATTAATGGACTATACCATGATTGAATGGGATTTTAATGGAATATACCATGATTTGATTGGATATTAATGGACTATACCATGATTGAATGGGATTTTAATGGAATATACCATGATTTGATTGGATATTAATGGACTATACCATGATTGAATGGGATATTAATGGAATATACCATGATTTGATGGGATATTATTGGACTATACCATGATTGAATGGTATATTAATGGAATATACCATGATTGAATGGGATTTTAATGGAATATACCATGATTGAATGGTATATTAATGGAATATACCATGATTGAATGGGATATTCATGGAATATACCATGATTTGATGGGATATTATTGGACTATACCATGATTGAATGGTATATTATTGGACTATACCATGATTGAATGGTATATTATTGGACTATACCATGATTGAATGGGATATTCATGGAATATACCATGATTTGATGGGATATTATTGGACTATACCATGATTGAATGGTATATTATTGGACTATACCATGATTGAATGGTATATTAATGGAATATACCATGATTGAATGGGATATTAATAGAATATACCATGATTTGATGGGATATTATTGGACTATACCATGGTTGAATGGTATATTATTGGACTATACCATGATTGAATGGGATATTAATGGAATATACCATGATTTGATGGGATATTATTGGACTATACCATGATTGAATGGTATATTATTGGACTATACCATGATTGAATGGTATATTAATGGAATATGCCATGATTTGATTGGATATTATTGGACTATACCATGATTGAATGGGATTTTAATAGACTATACCATGATTGAATGGGATATTAATGGAATATACCATGATTTGATGAGATATTAATAGCATATACCATGATTTGATGGGATATTAATAGAATATACCATGTTTTAATGGGATATTAATGGATCTACCATGATGTTATGGGATATTAATGGGTTTTACCATGATTTAATGGGGTATTAGTGGAATATACCATATGACTTAATGGGATATTAATGGAATATACCATGGTTTAATTGGATACTGATGGAATATACAATGGTTTTTAATGGGATATGAATGGGTTTCTTACCCTCAGGTGTCATCCAACGTGGCTAGCTGGGAAATCCCCCCAAAACCACACCATGCGGGTGAAGACTTCAACCACGAGGGACTCCAGCTGAGCTGATCACAGCCAAGGGGCTTACCCGGCCTGGTAAACTAACAGTTTGCTATTGAAAATGACCATTTATAGTGAGTTTTCCCATTAAAAATGGTGATTTTCCAGTTCGCTATGTTAAATTACCAGAGGGTACAACATTTGGTGACATTTTCTATTGCATCCGATTTAGGGCCACCTCATTTTGACCCACCATCCATTGCGTATCTAATGGTCGATAGGGGGCATGGATAATCTGCTGATGAATGTGATGGGTCTGTTAATCTAAAATTCTGGCAATGCGGCACTAATGGATCGAAATCTGTGCAAATACCATCTGTAGGGGCAATGCGATAGTTATTGCTGGTTCTCTTGATTGTTTGTGGATCAACCAGAGTACGGTTGATCAACAAAGGAAATCCCAAGAGAAATAGCTCCAATTGGAAGTGACTCGCCCCATATCATCAACCAACCAGGAGTTGATTGATCCGGCAACTGTTCATTAACATCCTTGGCTGCAGATCGATGGCGGGGATGCTTCAACCTGCAATGTTTTTTGCGTAAGAGGGCCTGTCATACCAGGGAATCTCAAGATTTCATCAACATGTCATGACCTAAATACCTATAGAAATGCATATATCTGGGTAAATTATCATATTTCACCGCCCTGAATCTTGCGGCCTTTTGGGGATAATTTCCCTTATTAACCATGATTTCCAGTGAGGTCGCAGTGAGATCGTTATAATTTACCCAGATATATGGAAACATGTGGAAACATATGGAAATCATACTTCATCATAACCGCATGCCTTCCAGCCACAGTTCAAGGCTCGGAGTAGCCTTCACCAGGATGGACTCGAGGATTCCCAGAGACAACAGCTTTCCATCAGCCACGGCTGGCTCCTGCAGAGAACTACCTAGAGATTTCCATATTCTTCGTTGGCCCCGTGTGGAATTTTGAATGTTGCCAGTCTTCAAGCTTGACGACCCACCAAGCATAGTCATCCAAATCGACTAGAAAAAAACATTGCCATCAAAATATGTAAATCAGCGCTGTCGTCGTCGTCCTCTTCCTCCTCCTCCTCCTCATCATCATTTCCTAAGTCTTTTTTCTGGGCCCATGCTTCACTGTCACTGTCACAGGGACCAGCACAATCCGTCCTCCTGACAATCTGGGCAAAGGATGCCCGTGGCAAAGCTTCCTGAGTGACTTCTCGTAGCGAATTTCTGCACGGTGCTGGGGCACAAATTTGGACATCGAAGAAACACCGCATGCAAAGCAAATGCCAACGAAAACGTCCTGGAGAAAAAATAGACACAAACGAATCAAAATGACATATCCAAGACATAAATCCTGGAAGGGCAACCATCTGGTGGGAGTTGATAACTCCTCACCAGCTTCCATACCACCTTCCGCATCCACACACAGTGAGGGGCCCCTATCATTTGTAAAGAAAATAAATCATGGACGCTGAATGACTAGAGGGAGACAGGGGGGTGGATTCTGATTTTCATTCATTGCTGGCTTCTCTTCCCATGGGTTTTGAAACACAATCTGACCTGGGTACCATGCCTTCTCACCATTCGGGACTTCACCCCAAACAGGGACAACGAAAAGTAACATATATAGACAACCCGCTGATAAAGGCACCTAGGCTTTGAAGCAAGAAGAATCAGTTTCATTGTCTTGACGGGGCATATTGCTAGAACAATTCAAAGTCAATGTTTCATAGCCATTTTTAGATCCTCAGGTCATGCCAGACAAAATCCATCCAAATCTGCAAACATTTGATGGTGAAATCTTCGAGGCTAGAATCACGTAAATAACTGGTTGGTGGTTTCAACCATTTTAATGGGAAATGGTGATTTATAGTGGGTTTACTAAGGAAAATGGTGATTTATAGTGGATTAATGGTGATTTTTCTGGTGATTTAATGATGGCTAATGATGGTTAATAATGACTGGTTTATAATTAATGTATTAATGTGATAAACAATACCCATATCTGGTTGGTGGTATACCTACCATCCTGAAAAATATGAGTTCGTCAATGGGAAGGATGACAACCCATATATGAAATGGAAAATAACAAATGTTCCAAACCACCAACCAGATAACCATCTCCCAATGTCATCACGCCAATGTCATCTACGATGATCTAAAGTCATCTAATGTCATCTCACACCCCCATGCTTTCCCCAGGCTGGTGGCCAGGGTTCCTTTCCTCTTCTCGCAGCCAGTGGCTTCCAGTTGCCTCCGCGCGAGCGCCGCACCTGCTGCCGCTTCTGGCTCGCCGAGTGCCAGCGAGAGGCAGGTCTCAGGCTCAGCACCTGGAGCGTCTGGAGATCCCATGGGCTGTCACCAACATAACTAGGCTCAGCACCTGTAGCTGGTTGGTGGTTTCAACCCACCCTTCTGAAAAATGATGGAGTTCGTCAGTTGGGATTATGAAATTCCCAATATGATGGGAAAAATAATCCAAATGTTCCAAACCATCAACCAGGTAGATATATGATGATATATGTAGATATATTATCGAACTCGTTCATGGGGTTTATGAACCAAACAAACATAACTGGAGGGACATCTTAACCAAAAATGAGCTAATTGAAGAAACAAACATGAGGATCTGATGCAGTAAATTAAGATTCTCATCAGCTCAAATTGGGAATTGAAGCAGCAACCACTTGAAATATTGAGGACGCAAACTATGCTAAGACTCTTCAAATCGATGTGAATCTCAAAGCGATTACTGCCATGGTGGGTAGCACGTTGTTTCATCAATAGTCCTTGGTTTTAAACACCCTTGCAACAGGGCTGATCAGTGGATGCCCATCCCTCATCCGTCGCCTTCCCAGTGGTTCATCGCACCGATCCGGCCCAACCGCTCGAGCCGAATAGCGCTAGCATGTTTTCTTGGGAAAACTGGGTTGGTTGGCATTTGAGACAGCCCCTTCCTTCGCATTTAGTGGGATCATCTTCAATGTTCTATGAGAATTGGGTGTCAATGTAGCCTGGTTCATCCACCCAGCTGCAGTATTTTTTGGACCCAAATCCATCCAAACTCAGCGGGTTATGCCATCGCGGCTGTGAAACTCACATTTTGCCAAATAAGCACTCTACAGATTTTTGCCATCAACATTTACCCACCATTACCCACCCAATAATAAAGTCAGTATTCTTCAATCAAAGCCGGTTGGAACCCTGAACTGTGAGACTTCATACGCTAGCGAATGCTTCAGCGGATCTTTATGAAGCGATAAAATTTGTAGAAAAACCTAGAATTCACTAGTTGCACAGCCAACTCCATCATCCATGTATACCCATTTCTCCCATTTAATCTTGAATCCAAGTGTTTTATTGGGAGGTGCCAAGCCCTTTGGCACCCTGACCAAAGTTTGCCCAAATCTCAGCACACCATTTTTCTTAAGGCCCGGAAGGCTCCCAGCAAGCGCTGCAGGGGTGCATCCGTGGACAGCTGGTGAAGCTGCTGCAGCACCAATGGGTCGGGAGCACAGCGGGACTCGAACATCAGCTCCAACCTGTAACACAGGAAGATAGGCATCCCACATATCGAATATATGGATGTAACTGGGTAAAATGCAGGTTGCACGTCTTAGTGGAATGATTGGAAGTACCAAACTCAACTCACCCGAAAGGAGCTTGAACTGTAAACAGCTGCTCAATCAAATCATGCTACTCAATATACCAAGGGAAGGATGGCAATCAAGATAAGGCCAAACAATGCTACAGTATGCGAATCTTTTCCGCAAATGTTTTATTGGAACATCTTTTCACCAAGAAGTCACAAACAAGTGAAACATATTACCCTCTGGCAAACTAACAGAACTATGGAAAATCACCATTTTAATGGGTAAATCAACTATAAATAGCCATTTTCAATAGCTATGTTAGTCATTACCAGAGGGTACCAACAGATCCCCCTTTCCCACCACCTGTATTGTGCTCTTGTCATCCCAATCGGTTGAATGATGGAAGTCCGTTTTTTTTTCCTGCCGCCCTTGGAGATCCCCAGCAAATTGCCATGGCACACGGATTTGGTAAAGTCACGATCCTGCAAAGTCACCTTAGTAGCTGGTGGGCCAACAGGATATGAACATATTGTGGACCCATTGTATGATTTTCCAGAAAAAAACAGCGTTTCAATTAACCAGCCATTACTGAATTTAGACAAACTCGCATTTCCAAATTTCGGGTTGAATTATAAAAACTAACCCACCAGCTATAGCCAGGGGTCCCAGCTTCCTGGTCGAAATTGTCGAACTTCAGTCCTTTCATCATGGACCTTAAGGCCGCCTTAATGCTAGAATTCTCCAAGTAGCCAAAAAATGATTCTAAATGGTTCTAAAATGAACCAAGCATGATAAATCATGTTCTTCTTCTCTACAAACAATACGGGTTTTCTATATTTTCTCAAATGTAATTATACGAATAACAAATACTTCATTACACTTCAGTATCACAGGTTGAGATCCACATTGGCGAAGATCCAGCCACCCACCAGTCAGTTGCTTCACCCATGATATCGTCATTCTTCTTGGCAACATGTGAGCTGTATTTCTTGGGGAAAACAAATCATTCACCAGTAGCTTTTCCGCTTTTTGCTCGCCAATAGTGCAAACGGTAATCGCAATGTCTCCATCATTGCTCTTCCATACCTCTTAAGTTCAACCATGTTGAAAGGAAGGCTCAATCCGTCCCAAAAATCATCAGCGCCGCATGAAGTCGTCTGCTTGTACGTCCAGATTTCATGGTGATAAACTGATAAACTCATCATTTCCTAAACCTTAAGTGTTCATAAAATTATGTATCTCTCGCTCTCTCGGGCGTGACTGTCCGCAACTGCTCCAATAAACGCTGCAATGCAAGCCAAAATGCTTGAACAACTCCAAAAGGCGGAAAACAACGTTGGCGATGTATTTTTGATGTGTTGATGATATAGTTGCACCTTCGTGATTCATGATTCATGATCCACATCGTTGCTAATGCCCCCTTGAAACCCATCCCATCATACAATATTTATGTTGGTTATATCACACAGGCTGAAATTCTACAGTTGTAGGTTGGTTTATAACCCCATGAATTATAGAATATTATAGATACCAACCATACTTAACCTACTTATGAACCAACTTAGCTATTTGGCGTCTCACCTCAAACCTCCATTGCAATTGGCCAAATCACCTTATCATGTCATATTTTGTTGCCTCAAATCCCATCCAATTTTAAGCAGCATGTTCCCATATTTCCCATATATTTTCCATATATTTTCCATATATTTTGGCATGTTGGACACTGAGCCCAGTCACCGCCACCTTCAACGCCATCTGCAAGGCCCCCTCCGTAGGTTTCACGGTCTCAGCCCGCAGCATGCGACGCCACAAACGCACGAAGCGCGGATCGCGCGGATCCGCGCTGAAGTAGGCGGTCAACCTGCAGGAGGTCGGGAGGGGAACTGGATTAGCCTCTGGTAATGACATAGCGACATAGAAGATGGCACATTTGCAGTTGATTTATAGTTGATTTACCTATTATGTACATTTATGTACATTTATGTACATTTATGTACATTGTACAACCTGATTTAATGGTAACTGGATTACCCTCTGGCACATTTATATTTGATTTACCTATTGAAAAATAAGTTTTTTTTCCATAGCTATGTTAGTTTACCAGAGGGTAATGTGGGTGAAACAATGTCATAAACCATCCCCTAAATTACAATCTTTATAGGTGACATAAACCATTCCCAAATGGGTGGTTTACTATTGTTTTACCATCGAAGTTTATTATTGTTTTACCCACATCATATGGTTTTAATATGGTTTTCTATAAGATTTCATCGTGATCATCACTATCAAGCTTTATATATGAATGTTATATATGTTTAGAGCTGGGGACTCCTTTTTATTTAAACGTGCTCAGGTATAAACATGTTTTTCATTTTTTCGAGATATATATCCATTTGATTCCATTTATATCCCAACTTATGGGGGTTAGAATCCGATGAATTCTAATGATGCCCATAAGTTGGGATATTGCTCCTGCACCTATGATGAAATATATCCACTGACACCCCCAAGTACAGTTGTAGAGCTGGAAGTGAACACTTTGGGGGGCAAATAGTCTTGGCACCTATCAGACTTCGAAGTCCAGATGCCAAAACAAGCTCCAAAAAAATTGGGTTGTGGCCAAACTTGGAACTGCTTTCCATCCCATGTTTCTTTGAAACACATGTTTTCCATTTAACATGCTGTGTAGATGGGACGTTCATCCCGTTCTGAAGACTGTTGCAACCCATGGCCGCGACCTGACTATTGCCAAGCAGCACCAGGTCGTAGGCTGTTGCATCAGCCTGAACAACTGGGAAACTCGGCCACGCCATCCATGCAATCCCTGTGCCACCCAAAAAATTACAAAGTCAGTAGTTCCAAACAGCCGAACCAGCTAGCTGACCTCTGACCTGGGCAAGAACCAATCATGTTGTACAATGCTATGCTATGTTTTGCTGGTGCTGCTTTCAACCTACATGTGCTGCTTCCTCAACAGAAATCTTGGCACATCCTGGCGTTTCCCTTCCCATGATCCTGTTGGCTCTGAAATAACCCGAATTGAATTGTGATGTTGAAAAACCCTACGATGAGCTTGGAAGAAGGTCTGGGTACCCTCCGGAATTCAAACGTAGCAATGGGAAATCACTATAAAGATCTATAAGTAGGCCATTTTCCATTGCCATGTGTTTTTTTTTGCAATGTTTGATTACTGGATGGTATCTCCGGGTATCTCATCCTCTTGTTGCCACATGCCTCCCTACATCTCAAGCCCGTGATGCCCTATGTCCCCTCGACATCCAGGGTAGGAATCCCAACGTCAACTTTTCCCAAAAAAAAATCAAAAAAACACATGTTTCCAAGCAAAAGATAAACCTTCCAAATTCAATTAAAAAAACAACATGTCCATCTTTTTTCAGGGAACAGTGCCAACTTTTTCTGGGTGGTGGCATGGGTGGCCAGGTGGTACCACAGTTTCAACCTAAAGGGTTGGCGAGAAGATAGTGTGACCCCACAAGTGATTGATGTGTGCCAAATGTATGAGGACGCGAAAGAGCTACTCGGTGCTTACAGACCGAATGAGCTGACTTTTTCGGAAAACGACTGTTCGTCCTGCTCTGAAGTAATCCCTTCCCCCTAATACTAAACCCACCCCTCCCGAATAATACACACCTCAGGTAGTTTTTATTGTTAGGGGGTATTTATTATTAGGTTTCCCCCTAATACTAAATTTAAAACCCTAATATAAACAACTATATTTTGTTCTATTTCAAAACCGATTAGATTTCCTTTTAAAATCTAATTAAAATATTGCCCAAAATTGGACTTCGAAGCTTTCCCCTAATAGTAAATTTAAAACCGTACTATAAAATACTTTTTTTTTGACCATAAAAAACGGCCCCTACTAAAAAACACTCCGGGGTTGGAGGTGCCGAAGGGACATCCACCACTTGCAGATGCACTCTTTCACCACTCCGGATACAGACCGATTGCGGGGCCATGCGGGGCCCCTTTGGCCTTGGCCTTTGGCCCTTCATTTCCGTGAACAACGCAGCAGCTATGGCCGTGATTGCCAAGTGTCACCACATCGTCAAAGCAGCAGAAGTCTTCAGCCTGCAAGTCTTTCACTATAGGGACACCAAGTGCTCTTGCTTGAAAGGCGTTGCCTCACATTGGGCAAAATCCTCAAGTTGGTCCTGGTAATGAACTCCATGAGCCAACGCGATAGTGGTGAATTCTGAGTTGATGATGTGCTCAATTTGGATGGATTGCATTTGACACTCCACCACCAAGGCCCAAGGCCAAAGCCGCCTTGGTCATCGATTGCAGGTGAGAAACCATGAATCTAGCACTCCAGCGTACGGGAAAACCATATCATCAGATCATCATTGGTTCTATACAAATGAAATCACTCATTTTAGATGCAAAAAATCATCCTATATCTCCGTTACATACCCACTATATTTGCAGGAATTATACCCATTATATACCCATTATATCTCTCATTATCTCCCCATGATATCATCATTGTAGATGGGATGCCAGTCATTTTCCAACACCAAGAAACAGTAATTTTCCAACACCAAGATTCGGTCATGTTCCAACACCAAAAAGCCGTCATTTTTCAACACAACTCCGTAAAATCAAGCGCGGAATTCTCACCGCCGCCGAGATTCTGCGCAACGTAGCCGAAAAAAGAAGGGATGCTGGCTCTTTTGGGACTCTTACACACATCTTGGCGCCCACACGTTTTTTTACATTTATATGCTGTTTATTTTTTGAATGGATATCGGAATAATGTTTAAAGTTCATGTAAGGTTTTTTGAAACTGTTTCTTGTTTACAGTTTCAATTGCGGTTGGTTAAGAGTTTATTCAGGATTGGTTTGAAATTCATTTAGGATTGGTTCAGGATCTGTCTAGAGTTGGAAGGTTTGTTTAGGGTTGGTTTGGGAGCTATTCAGGCCTGGTTTAAAATGTATTTAGGGTTGATGTAAAAATGATTTAGGCTTAGGTTTAACATCTATATATTTGGGGTTGGTTTAGGATCTATTTAGGGTTGGTTTTAAATTTTATTTCGGTTTGGTTTAGGTTCTGTGTAGAGTTGGCGTAAGACCTACTCAGGGTTGGTGAGATTAAGATTTCAAGCATGGACAATATCACGTGTTTCAATTTTTGGATTGTTTTTTTTTGGGGGTCAAATTCTCAAACCTACAATTTTTTCAAGCATGTGTCCATGATGGCTGGTGTCCATGTTTGGCCAAGGCAGGCCCATGGCTCGATGACATTCGATGACAGTGTGGCCAACTAAGAGGACAGTGGCAGGGCTGGTTCAGGGTTTATTTAGGATTAGTTTCAGATTTATTCAGGTAATGCTTAGGGTTTACTTAGAATTGTTTTAGTTTTTTTCTTTGTTTTGGACTTTGTTTAGGGCTCATTTAGGGCTGATTTAGGGGTTATGTCTATGTATTATATGATGATATATGATGTTTCCTAGGGTTTATTTACGGTATGAGAAACAAAAGAAAAGCAGGAAAAACAGAGAAGCAAGTAAGCAGAAAAAAGTAGAAAGCAGAGAAGCAAAGAAGCTGGAAAAGCAGAAAAGCAGGGAAAGCAGAAAAGCGGAGAAGGAGAGAAGCAAAGAAGCAGAAAAGCAGGAAAACGCAGAAAAGTAGAAGCAACAGAATTGGTTTTTGGTTGGTGTAGAGTTTCTTTAGGATTCATTTGCAACTCATTTCCGGCGTATTCAAGGCTTATTCCGCAAAGCTACACAATGTAGAAACTACAATAATGATCTTAATAACCCCACCCAAGAACCTCAGGAAACGAAGCAACACAAACACTGCGGAAACCTACGGGGTCACATTTCAAATTTAAAACCCAAGCAAGAAACTCTGAAAGCAAGAAAGCGAGAAACCTAGAAACCAAGAGATCCAGAAACCAAGAAACCCAGAAACCAAGAGACGCAGAAGCCAAGAAACCGAGAAACAAAGAAACCGAGAAACCAAGAGACCGAGAGGGAACAGAAAGTTAGAACCATGGCGCGTTGCAAAATGAACGCAGCGGCTGCACGCTAACAGCCCTGGCGCGTTGAGAAATGACCCCTGGCGCGTTGAAAAATGACCTAAATACCGCGTTGTAAAATAACAATTTTCTCGCGTTGAGAAATGACCCCTCTTCCCACACCCAGTCCAGTAAATTACAGTATATTCATTGTCCCCATTATAGCCTCATTGTATTTCCGTGATTTATAGCTATCAACTCTCAAATACCTATGAAATACCAATCACCTCTCAAATATCTATCAAATACCAACTCTCAAATACCAACTCTCAAATACATATCAAATACCAATAGTATAGCCCCATTGTATTATATACCTATCAACTACTAAAAAACATGATATCCCCAGGTCTTTGATGGGATCAACGTGCACCTCCACGCCCAGCTCTTCTTGACTCATCCGTAGGATCTCGTCGCCGTGCCAAGGAAGGCCGGCGGAACAATAGGCCGCCAGGATGGCGTGGAGCAACTCCTGGGAGTTCAGGCACCAAAAAAGGGGTGTGCCCATGTGGGCTATCAACGAGAAATGCAATGTTTTCTTGCGTGGTATGTTTGTTTTGTTTAAAAACTGACCAAAGGGAACAGTTGACTGTAATGGGGAATGGTTTGATTAAAGTTGGTTTGCTACATTCATTAGCTGTTGTGCCCAGCGTGGCATCCAGTTGCTAATCACTGACTCACTTGTAAGATGTTTTTTATCAGGTCGTGATTGGTGGAATTTGATTACGATACCCGCTGCAAAGAGGCGCTCTTCTGTTTATTGGTTGATGTTCACCAAGCAAAGATATACAGTACCCATCAAAAAACCTAAAATCTAAAACAGCCAGCTAGGCTTTCCTTGGGGCATGGCTTTGTATTGGTGAAGTCTTCTGTGATGGATATGTGAAGAAAAGCCGCTACAAGATCCAACTTTACTCGACTGCAATGGCACACTGACATCAAACACCACCAAAAAGAATCAAAAAGGAATATAGATTATTATGGATTCATATTTGTTTCCCAAATCATACCAGATCATGCCAGCATCTGTGGTCCCTGGGTCTATTTTGTTTGGTCTGGTGTCTGGTGCTCTTCCGGAGCCACGCCTTTTCTTCCACAAAGAACCATCCAAAATACTCAAAACTGGCTTTGGAAGGAAAAAAACCACCGTATCTTTAATTCCACAATAGTCGCCTCATTTCATGCTGATGTGATGTGTTTCACCATGATCCACCTGAACCGGGGTCCTCCAGTTGAAACTATCTTATTCTCCAACCCACTTCCCAGTCTTTTTCCCTCTGAAACCAACATCTTCAATGGTAAACGCAGAGCTACGACCACAGCTCCCCATGGTGGTAGCCGAGGTGCCGGCGACAGAGCCCGATCGCTGCCGCTCGCCCCACGTGCTTCCTGGACTTCGCGCCAGGCGTGCGACAGCAACTTCCCACGCTCGCCTTCCTCGAGCCCGGATGGGGATTGGGAATAAGATCAGGAACAGAAATTGAAAACTTTGGTTCTATATAACTTTGGTAGATATATATATATGTTGGAAAAGGTTCTATTTACCACCAATGGTTATAATGTGGCTAAAACAATGTCATGTTTACCATCCCCCAGTCATCAGCATTTTTATAGGTGCTATGGTTACCATTCCCTTAAATGGGTGGTTCATGACATTGTCTTACCCACATTATTGGAACAGGTTCTCCAATGCTTATAATAGGATATAATAGGATTATCAAGGCCAACTGAGCTGCAGAAGCTGTTTGAGTTCTTAAGACCAATCGGCTTGTGGCTGGAAACGGCCATGATAATCATAGGAAGCTAGAAAAACTATACACCTTTGGTAAAGTTGAACCACCACTTAACCCTAGACCGCCACCCCAGGCACTATCCCGAGACCAGCCCAAGGCTCGGGCGCCATCGCGGCCGCGCGCCCAAAGGCGCGCACCAAGTCAGAACGTGTGCCGTCATCCGGGAAGATGCCTGGAGCCCAGCGACCCAGGAGTGTTTATACGAATGGGGGATGTGGTTAATGGCTATTTGGGTGTATACATGTATTATTGAAATGTATATATATATATTTATTTACAAATCATACAATACAATATAATATCATATGTTATAATATAATACAACATAATATATATATTATTTAAATATGTTATTATTTATAAATAAGCAATGGATACTAAAGGTATTTTGGCTACTAATTCCAATGGTATTCTCTTGGGTGTGATGGTATCATACTTCTGCAATAATGGATATTGCATGTTTGAATCAAGCAATTAATCCTCATGGTAGTTTACCATAGTTTAACTACTGATGAAATGATTCGCATGGTAATGCAGTCGAATAATCATAAACAATTCTTATGGCTATTGTGATGTTATAATGGGTAAAACTAATGGGTCAATCATGGCAGTTGGGGGTGAATAAATCCAATCACTTGTTACCCGCTAAATATGTTAATCTATATTAATCTATGATGATTTACATGTTGAAACATGGTGATTTTCCATAGCTATCTCAAATAACCAGAGAGTAGAACCCAGTATTGATGATTGAATCCCACAAAGATCCCATGAAATCTTCCACCAATATGCCGCTATTCCCATTATTTATCGCCATTTCCCATACACTTCCCACACAGTTTCGGTTGCATTTTCCATCAAAAAATCACTGTGGATTATTCCATTACCCTCTGGCAATTTAACGTGCCTATAGAGTTTCCGAAGATTTCCCATTAAAAACACAACACACTTGAAATGATGGTTTGCCTCTTCAACATGAGGATTTTCCATGGCTATGTCAAATAACCCCGTAAACCCCAATCATTCCCAAATGGTATATCGTTCCCCCTATCTTTCCCATATAATTCCAATTCTAATATATAAAAATAGATTTGTTTTTTCTCCCATCAAAAATCCACGGAAATCCCATCTAGTATAGTATATCCCCCTATACCTCCAATATATTTCCCATCCAGAAATCCCATCAGGTCCCGGAACCTGCCGCCAGCATCCTGCGCCGCAGCCGCTTGGCTTCCTCCGCGTCGCCCAGCTCCGCGCAGCCGCGCGCCAGGGCCACGCAGAGGCGCCAGCTGAGCACAGCCCCTGGCGGCCGGGGGGCCTAGGGATGGGACAAGGACTGGTCAACCCATGGAAAACCCATGGAAAAATATGAAAACATGGGAAACAGCAACTTTAACAAATAGTAACTTAGTAGGAATGCTGATTTTTTTTTGCTACTATACTATACTGTAAATCTTGAGACATGGAGATTTACAAGCGCAAAAACTGTGGGTTTTCAGTCTTTGAATCTGGAGATTTGACGGCTGAACAAAGGATCGGAAGGGCACTTGGATATTGGTTTCGCACACGCGTTGGGAGATCACCAAAGGAACTGGAAAAATGAAAATAACCAACATGTTCCAAGAAGAATGGGATTGTAAGCCAAATGTAAATTCAAAAGATGGGACCAGAACCATCCAATTTACTATAGATCAAATTACACCCAGCCATCACGAAAAAAACATCAGGATATCTTTCCAAGACAAATCAGCGGCTCCCAAACCCAAAATCCTCCCCTCTGGAAAACCAACATGGCCATGGAAAATCGCTGGGATCATTTTCATAGCAGAATCAACTATCATTTCATCATAGAAAAAAACTATGTTACATATGTTACCATTACCAGGAGGATAAGAAGAACTTGGGTTTCTATAGAAAAGAACTTTTTTTGGGGCCAAACCGTTCTACCCCAATGGGGAACTCCCCCCGGCGACCTCGTCGCGTCAGGAGTTCGTTGGCCATGCGAAAGGCTGTCCGCGTGCTGCGGCGCTGCGAGGTCTGTGCGATGATCAGCTCCAGCTGGGCCTCGTCCTCGGCGTGGGTGGTGAAGCTGGCTGGGGAGAATCAATCAGTAGAACATCACTATACCCTCTGGTAATCATCAGTGGATATTAATGGTGATTAATGATGGTTAATAACGGTGATTAATGGTGATTAATGATGATTTCACTATACCCTCTGGTAATGACTAACAGTTCGCCATGGAAAGATCCACCCATTTTTAATAGGTAAACCATCTATTTCTATGGGCCATTTCCCATGGCTATGCTAAATAACCAGAGGGTAGGTAGATGATAAATGTGTTTAGGAAAAAAATCATTGTCAAAAAATAATTCCCTTGTTGGAAGTGAACATGTTCACCATAGCAAGTTTAGGAAGTTCTGTTGGTGGTACATATGGTGACAGGAACCGTAACCATCCAAAAAAATATTCAGATGCTGAAAACATGAGGGATATATCATCTAAACCAAGGAAGGTGGACAGTTGGGCTCACTACTCTCACATTATTTGGTGGGTTCCACCTTCTGGGCTCCCAAAAAATATGGCATAGGGATATGCACAGGGTCTCCCAAAAAAAGAGGTCTACGGGACCCCAGCCACCCCTGGTTCGAAGATGTCGAAGGTCATTGTGATCTGTACCGTGTTTGGACAGCATCTCATCAAACAAACTTTGTGCTTGATCAGGATCTCTCACCTCGGAGACGCCAAATTTTCTTCGCAAAACCCATGTTGCTTGGAAGGATGCGAAGCGGACCACGAAGATGAAGGCTTCGGTAAATATACCCTCTGGTAAACTAACATAACTATGGAAAATCACCTATTTAATAGGTAAATCCACTATAAATCACCATTTTCAATAGCTATGTTAAATTACCAGAGGGTAGCCAACGGGTTGTTGCATCCCTCTAGATGATGACTGACACTTCGACTTTACAAAAAAGGCTTGCAAAATGTGTTGGACACGGGCATCTGATTTTGCCTCGGGGCTTTCTACCTTAGACCCATTGGCCAAACAGATTCGGGCATCATTTTTCAGGGACAGTCCATTCTCCAAAATCCTTTGATAACCTACTTGTCGTAATGTGGGTGAAACAATAACAAACCACCCATTACACTAGGAATGGATTTTTGCACCTATACACATGGTGATGACTGGGGGCTGGTGTATGACATATTTTACCCACATCATATATATATATATGTATAATATATATATAATTATATATATATGTATATATGTATATATGTATATATGTTGCGGCCGTCATGTTCCATATCAAAGCCGTTGTGTTCCGCCTCTCTGACCTCCCCAAGCACACCCTGCTGCTTTCAGCAGTTCACCATCCCTGAAGCTTTGATCATCTGCACGTACAATGCCGAAGATGGCTGCACCATGTCCTGAGCACCGAAAATCCCATGAATTTCACTGGCGGATGCGGTGCTGGATGCTAAACGTAGGGTTGCTGGATGGGTTGCTGGAAGTTGCTGGGATGATTAATTCTTGATAGTTAGCCAGTGGATCATTCCCGAAAATTCCCGAGAATCAGCACAAGTAAGTTCAGGTACGGTCCAAACCTGCGAATTCTGTGCAACATTGAGTATCTTTTGGTCCCCACACCCCGCAAATTCTGACATCGAAACTGCAAAATCATGGAAAATGAACCCAATAGATCCAATAGTAAGCTTGTCTTCTGAACCCTTTGGTTCATCTATTGGAGTCGTATGTGACTTTTTATATCAGCATATCCCTCAAGCACACCCGGAGAATGACGACTGATACACACACACAGAATTTGCAGCTCAAAAACGCCTATGCCAAACGACTTGGAAAAGGTCCTTGAGGGAGGTTCCCCATAGCTAGCTAAGTTAGTCAGTAATTATAGATTAACCAGGGTTTGAGGAAATTGTGACTGTGGTTAGATGGATATTTATTGGGGAGATCAACTGTGCGACTGTGCGATGGACAGGACCATCTCAATTTTGCCGGGCGGGCTAAATCCCATGGCGGGCTAAATCCATGATATCACCATATTTGATCTCCGTAAATCACGATTGTGGCTGGTTAAACCAACCTAAATCCATCGATTAAGTATTCAAATCACAATCCCTCTAATATTGGGTCATATATGATATATCATAAACTCATTAAAATCCATTAAACCTCACAAAGACCCATTAAGATCCAGCAAATCCAATATCATATATACCAGTAAGTCTCATTTAAATCCATTAAAAATCAATCTAAAATCAATTGAAAGCCATTAAAATCCAATAAAACCCGTTTAAAATTCATTGAAACCCATTAAAACCCAGCCAGTAAAATCCGTCTAAAATCAATTGAAACCCATTAAAACCCAGTAAAATCCGTTTAAAATCCATTGAAACCCATTAAAACCAAGTAAAATCGGTCTAAAATCGATTGAAACCAATTAAAACCCAGTAAAATCAATCTAAAATCAATTGACACCCATTCAAACCCAGTAAAATCCGTCTAAAATCAATTGACACCCAATAAAATCCAGTAAAATCCATTTAAAATCAATTGAAACCCATTAAAACCCAGTAAAATCCATCTAACATCCATTGAAACCGATTAAAACCCAGCCAGTAAAATCCGTCTAAAATCAATTGAAACCCATTAAAACCCAGTAAAATCCGTCTAAAATCCATTGAAACCCATTAAAACCAAGTAAAATCAATCTAAAATCCATTGAAACCCATTAAAACCAAGTAAAAACCGTCAAAAATCCAACAAATTCACCTGCACCCGACGCCACGTTCACCGCCGCGTGGCCCAGGTCTTCATCCGTTCGAAGGTTTCAAAGGCGCTGCGGCAGCGACCGCTGGAGACCAGACCTTCGACCAAGGCCTCGAAGATCTCCACGGGAAGGGCCTGGGACACTCAGGGACAGCGGATTTCATGGGAAAATGAAGGGAAAATGATGGACAAATTGGAGATTTCATGGGATTTGAATGTTTTTTTTGTGATATCAATAGGAACAATATGAAAAAAAACCTGGGAACATGGGAGGAACATGAAGGGAACAATGTGATATTGTTTAGTCTCGCTTTTGGTCAAAGATCATCTCTGGGGTATCGCCAACAGAAAATAGAAATCAACATTGAGTTCATCAAGAAGCATGCAAAGCCCAACTTGCAGTTGGAGAACTTCACCGTATAGAGAGGCTTCACCACAAAACGCCGGGATTTGATCAGAATTATTCTTTTTGAACACCCAAGCCTCGCTGGGTGTAGAATAGCTAGCGGTGATGGTTTGAACCACTGAAATGGGGGCGCTAGCAAACCTAGAAAAAATGTGATTTGGTAGGCAAATATCAGTAAATAAACAATGGTCAATGATAAGCTTGGGTCAAGAATGCAAATGGAGCAAAGAAACTGGTATGAAGCTAAATATAAAGATTGCTGCTTTCTAAGGAGGCAACCCCTAATTCCCAGACTCCTGCATCCCCTTCAAGTTGGCTGCTCCGTGTCGTTGTTGGTTTTTAATGGTCAATGCAATGTCCCATCGAACCTACTATATCTTGTGGAAATGTATGGGCATAGCATTCATCACAGCCCCAGGAATCGAATAGATAGGACAGCTGAAAACCCGGAGACTACAAGGTCAACATCGCTCCAAAAGAATCTATATCTCTCTCCATCGGCATCCCGGTTCGGTTCAGCTAAGAGGGCGAGCTATCTATCACGATCTTTTTATCCCCAACAACGATATTACTAATGCATGGATCCAAGGTTTGACTATTTGAGGTTCGAAGGGTGTCACAGTTGCTTCGGCCTGGTTCTTGTCACTTTTCTCCAGAATCCCCAGCAAGGAGAAAGCAACGTCGGCATCACCTGCAGCAGCATATCGGTGCGAGAATGATGATGAACACCATGGGATCTTTAGCTACAATAGTTTTGTTTGACACGCCCTAATATGCCACTCTCAAAGAAGGGACGTTTATGACCAAGAGGATAAGCTTAGCTTGAGTTGGATGGGCATGATGAGATCACAACATTCTCTCTCTCTCTCTCTCTCTCTGCGCTTCTGATGGTGGTGGCACCCCATGGATCAACTTTGAACGGATAGAAATAAGCGTATTGACAGCCACTGTGGCTTTCAAAGGAAGATCTGCATCACTGAGGAAGTATCCCATTGATGGATATTGATGGATGGTTGTCCGACTAGACACGAAAAGATCGACACTCCCATCGAAAACTGTACCAGGGTTTCGCCTGTAGCTGGTACGCTCCTTATGACTGGAGTAGAACCATGCTATTTTCAGCTTAGCTTTGAATTTGAAAGCCCCGAAACCAACAAATTGCTCCAAATTGCAATAAACTGATCCTAAATCGGAGGGCCAAGGCGTGCAACCCCAACCTGCCCTTGCATGCGCACAAACCAAAGCATGTAGCACTGCGGGGGGCAACAGCTCGGCGCTACCTGTGAGGTGAAAACCAGCATCCATGAAGACTCCCCTGGGCCCCGCTGCTCAGCAAGGTGAATCACTTACCCTCTGGTTCGCCATGGTATAGATGGCCCATAGAAATAGATGATTTTCTCAGCTATAAACATCCATTTATGTTGGGGATTTTCCATGGCTATGTTAGTCATAACCAGATGGTAAGATGATTGGCAGCCACTACAGTCCCATTGGTGGACAAGATCCTGCAGTACCGGATCTTATTCTGTAGCCTAGCGGGCCTAGCACCTTGCCCTTCTCCCCCTTGGGATGCCTTTGGTAATGGCAGAACATCAAACTTATCTGGTTGGTGGCTTTGACCATCTTGAAAAATATGAAAGTCAATGGGAAGGATGACAACCCCCATATATGAAATGGAAAATAAAATTCATGTTCCAAACCACCAGCCAGAAAATTAGTTGAACATTTTGTTGAACGGATGATTTCCTGCACCAGGCTCTCTAGCTGACTATTGGGTGCTTCCCAGCTTCCCAGCCGTTGATCTCCACCTGACTCTGAAGCCTCCTTCAAAGCCACCATGCGGAGGCAGAGTTGTCGCGCCAGCGACCTGGTGACCCTCTGGTTGTGACTAACAGTTGGCCATGGAAAATGGATGGAAATGGCCCATAGAAATAGATGGTTTACCGAACTTAAAAATGGGTGGTGATTTTCCATGGCGAACTGTTAGTACCAGATGCTATTTAGGGATGATGCCTCCAAAATTTCCTTAAACAATCAAACCTATAGTGAGCTTGCTGTAAAGTTGTCTATGATATGGCCATCAATGGCTGGCGTCCATGGGGCGTTTTTTTTATCAGATTTTATCTTTTGGGCCTTAGACTTGTGATGCAAGTGCTCCGAGAATGTGACGGCTCCTGATCCCGCAAAAACAAACGGAGCAAGAAAATCAAAAGAACCCCAAGATACAAGTATCAATCTGTGCTGAGCATTCCTGGTTGACAACCAGCAAACTGAAGTGAATCCAACTGCAAAAAATAATTCCAGTCTATGTCGGTCATCTTGAAATGAACATCAACTCAGATCGAAGCCACCAAAAAAAACCATCCAACGCTTCCAAAACATATCAAAATCGTAAGATTTGGCTGAAAAACTAAGTTTTATATAGTTTTCGTGAAATTTATTTTCCAAAACATTTTCTTGTGCATCAAAACTTGTTGTTTGGAGTGTCCAACTTTCACGCCACAGCCATGGCCCATCATCAACCCACCATCTTACCAGGATACAAACCATCACCTGCAAATCTTACAGTAAAACTCCCAAATCCATCCAAAATGGATCTGTTTTCAAACCCCTGCCACCATGGCAAGTCACAACTCCTCGGCCGCCAGGGCTTGTGCCACCAACAGTGCTAAGGCGTCCTCTGTTTCCGAGAGGGTCGACCTCACCAAACACTTACACGGAACAGGTGTCAGATTCACTACTGAACCTGTTTTGTGTTGAATTTTGATGACTTTTCATATGATTTTTCCGCTTAACTTGAATTTAGGATTTTTATGGATTTTTAGACATCGAACCCAATTTCAACTAAGAAACTATTTTGGCAAATTTCATCGGTAACCACCACCCAACTGATGGTCTAGCCAAGGTACTTGTCAGCGCCGAGTTTCCTGGAGGCGGTTGAGGCGCATCAAATTTGACTCACTTAGGGATAATAATAATCATCATCATCATCATCTTAATGTGGATGCAAAAACACAGGGACAATCAACTACTTGTTTGAAGCGATGTTCTTAAACCTGGAAAACACCCAGCTTGAGATGCGAAATGATTTCCCCTGCCCGTAGTTCAATTCACCCCATCGGCATATCTGGGATCCCGCCCATCGCTGGTTTGTTGTTTGCTGACAAAACAAAGCAATAAAACAAATTATTGGAACGATATACATCCATATACCCTCTGGTAATGACTAACATAGCTATTGAACATGGCCATTTATAGTTGATTTACCCGTTGAAAATTGTGATTTTCCATAGTTTTTTGTATGTTTACCAAAGGGTAACCCCTGGTGAAAACATGTTGCTGATGATGGTGTTTCCTTCCCATCTTCGAGTTTGCCATGGTCTAACAACGTGGTAACCCAAACCTCTGGAAAACTTTTACCTGGCCACTCAGTAACTTGGGGATAAAAAAACTCACATTTTGAACCAAACTCATCCCCGCATAGGGTAGAAACACCCATCTATTCACAAATGTCCAAGAACGCATGATTTACTACCGCCCCCATATCTTGTTTTCAGATCATAGAGTCCCCCCCCTCTACGTGGTGTTGGATTTTTCAACCTCTAGGATTGAAGCAACTCAACCTCCGAACTTGCTCACATCAAACCAAACCATTTAGGGACAGATCAAAATCAATGAACACCCATTTACCAGCTAGCTGGGGGTTCACCAGGGGATTCCAACCATTTAAATTTATAGCAATTTCCTGTTAACAATCACAATTTCAACACCGTCATTATCAATCCCGTCCCCTAATGTTAATCATCTCCATTTTCATACCACCAAAAACATGTTTTCTTTGTTTTTTTACATGAAAGGGGAGGGGATTAAACCCTTTAAACTATTTCAGAAAATTCATACCATTGTTACAATCCATCCAATTACTAATCCCATTACAATCAACTACAACGATATCATTGGTCCCATTCCATTGATAACCCCACATTAACCAACAAAAATGAATCATATCATTGTAGATTAGTTAAATCCATTTCTATATATTCTTGCTGGTTAAACCCCCAAAGAACAGCTGCATAGTTGATTGATTAATCCATGTCATTCCGTTTCCCCCAAGGATCAATAACTAACAAGTTGATTGATGAATAACTATTTTGATTATAGTTAGTCCCCCATAAAGCCCCTATTGTTCTTACAATGTGAGGCCCCCAAGATTGCTAAGTTGGTTTATAACTCCAATAACTATGGTTTATGGTACGCAAATAACTATAGTTGCTGGGGCGAATCTAAACCAACTTAGCAATCTTGGGGGCCTCACATTGTAGTGGTTTAAAGAATGATCACAGATGATTAATGGTGGTGAAATATTGGTTAACAGTGTTTAATAGTGGTTATAGATGGTGTTTTTTTGGTTAGCCATTGAAGATGTTAATCACCCAATGTCATTCCGTTTGAGCTGCGCCAAACTTTCCGCTGAGCTGCGCCCCCAGCGACGTTTCCACCCCTTGCCACGCCGCCGCCATGGCCGGGCTGCGACACATCGACGGCAGCGACTCCAGCAGGCGAAGCGGCGCGACAGCCGAACGGCGCCAGGTGTGGCGCAGCATGGCGCCAGGTGGGCATGGGAGTGGCCAAAGTATATATATATATATAATAATAATATCATATATATATATACGTATAGATATTTATTTATATGTCTATATTTTTGTCATTTATTGGTTTATTTATTTGTTTATTTATATTTATTTTATTTATTTAATTTATTTATTTAATTCTATTTTATTTGTATATTTATTTAAATATTGATTTCTTTATTCTTCTTTTATTTATTTTTCTTTCATTCTTTTTTAATTCATTTATTTAATTTCTCTTTTCATTTTTTTATTCTATTTATGTATATACCTGTTTATCTATTTGTTCATGTAAGATCTTGACACGGCTGTTGTTACCAAACAATTTTCTGTTTAATCATCTTTAATGTATAGAGCTATAAAACGGAAATGGAACTTAACCTTCTGACGGTAATGATATGTTCATTATCATTCTCATTGAGTATGAATAGGTGGTGCATGGCTAATAAATGTCATAAATCTGCGAACTTTCAAACGTGGATTTGACGTCACAAAACATGTTCAAGCGTTTCATGTGGACAATGTACCCCCGGCAGGGGAAATATCGTGTTTTTTTTGCGCGCCCACACCAGGCCTTTCTCTAAAAGAAAAGGCGTGTCTCGCACTTTTTTCTCCCCTTCTGGCTCCATCAGTGGCTGACCGCTTAGGCCTGGCCGAGCCAACAAACATGGAGTTTCACGCGCATTTCTTTTGGCATTTAACCATCAACGATAGGAACCTCATGCAAACATGCCTGGTGGTAAGTTGTAGCCGATTGAAGTCGGTTTACCTCACACAGGAAATAACATGGCCGGTGTTTTTTCCTTAGACATGTACACTGTATACTGGCTAGCTCTTGAGTATCATAATCTTCCATTGCCAGGCTTTGCTGCTATCCAGACTTCGGAAGGATGTAATGGTCCAAATCACCCAGCAGAAGAAAACACATTCTCCAGTTTCAATATCTAGATTGCTACTGTGGATGGTTGCGAAATCCTGCATCACCCTGGATGGTTGAAACCCTATAGCTTATAAATAATGACACAAACCACTATCAACTGGTGCAGGATTTCTTCTATCCACAGTATTTCCATCTAAGAATCTCATTCACTTGGAATCATGTGGAAGAAGGCATGACGATCATGACGAGTAACTCTGGTGACATATCCGACCACTAATGCCATTTCAGACACATTCGAGGGGGCCAGGGGGCTGGCTTGGATTTACCATTGACCTCTTGATTGTTTCAGGTCGTCCCGAGAAAAAAGTGAGCCAACCAGGCTGGGAAAACAGGATCAATCTGGTGGGCCCGGAAAACGCCATGTCACGCCCGTCTAGATATTGTTGAGCCACAACTACCCACATCTCATGACCCCTGTCTCTCCAAAGCTGCGCCACCACTTTCTTGGGCGATGCTCCGAGCAGGTGGCTAACAGGCAATTTCGATGGGAGAAGCACCGATCCGTCAACAGATTTATTTCGATGGATAGCCTCTGGTGATCTCACAGTTTGCGAAGCCATCGCCCATTGAGTTCGATGATTCACTAAACAGAACATGTTGCTTTTCCATCGCAACGTGTTAAAATGACAGAGGGCACCATCAATTTCCTCCTTCAAAATCAATATAACCAATCATTTTCAATTCCTTTCAGTTACTATAATGTGGCAATGTGGCTAAAACAATGTCATGTTTACCATCCCCCAGTCATCAACATTTTTATGGGTGGTATGGAAATCCCATTCCCAGTCATGGATGGTTTACATATATATATATTATTGTTTTAACCACATTATACGTCATTTCCATGGATTTTCCATACGTTAAACCACCAGAAGCGCTGAAAAAAGTCTGCTGCGTCTCAGGCATCGGGGTCCAGGGGGTCCCGGGGGTCCAGGCGCCGTGCAGCGCTGCTGGAATGTACTGACACCCAGGCCTTGGTTGAACAACGGTAGCAGCGATGGAAATGGAGGTTCATAATTATAGTTGGGAAAATTAATTGCTAAATAGCTTTAATTATGGATAGACTTAATTTCCATTGGATAAAAAAAAATCATTAAACTAAAATTTCAACTTTCCATTGGAATAAATGGCTTTTAAGTGGATAAATGGATAAAAACTCATATCACACATATCCATTCCACTGGAAAAACAATTTCTATAAATGGAGGAATTTCCAGTGGAACGATGCTAGAAATCATTTCTAGTACTGGAAAGTACTGCAAAGTATTGGAGGGCTGGAGGGTAGGATTTTCGCTTTCGAATCATCTTTTCTGAGGTTTCGTTACTACTTTAGGAATCTTTAGGAACTAGTACTAGTGAAGGAAGTTATTCATATCCCGGGATAACAAATGACGGTAAGATTACAGGCAGTCTTCACACGGTTCTGTCGGCGGAATGCAGTGGATCTCTTTGTAAGCTCCTACTGGTTGATAGGATTCCGCTTCCTGTTCAAGGACTTACAGGCAAACCAGAAAGAATACCCTCTGGCTATTTAACATAGCCACGGAAAATCACCATTTTTAATAGGTAAAACCATCTATAAATGGGCCATTTCCCATGGCTATGTCAAATAACCAGATGGTAATCAAAGCGCATCATTGACATTTGGCACAAACATCATTGCTTTTCTCTACATTTTGAGCATCAAATCCACGCCTTACTTAAGTCAATGACATCACATCCTTTCAGATTTCATTTTTTACCTTGGTTGCTGCCCAAGGATGAATGAAATATCAGTTGAATCCACACATTTCATCACTTTTTCACGAGGTAACCCAGCATGTTTTCCATTAAGTGATGAAAAAGTGATTAACAGTGTGGGTTTAACAAATATTAACCATTGAACCCAGCTATGTTTTCCAATTTCAGGCTTCAGGCTTCATCGCCCAATTTTTGACCATGGCTGAAGGGATCTAAGGCACTAGGTATGCCGCCAGTTCTTTCAGCTGCACTGTGACCTGCCAGGTGTCGGGCATTGAATGGCATCTGGGAATCCAGCAGCCATGGATAAATCAAGGCCATCTCTATCTTTCCATGACAAACCCTCCAGGAAACTAACAGAGCTATGCAAAATTTGTCCATTATACTAGAGGATTTGTCCATTATAATCATGATGGTTTTCCGTAGCGATGTTAAATTACCAGAGGGTAAGTCATCTACACATGGCTCATCATTTCCAAATTAAATTGCCAGAGGGTGAGTCTGGTTTATGGCATACATCAGTCCGGCTTTGCCCTGTCACAAGTCATTACAAGTGACAAAGCATAACCGGATTTAGTAGGTTGTTCTGGCTTTTTTGTAAATCGAGGTGCCCATGGTTTGTTACATGTTCTAATTGATGCTTAACGATCATCCCAAATTCCATGCGAAGATGTTTTCATTCTCTGATTCCTGGCCTGAAGCACCCTTGGAATCGCAGAAGCCGCGCCGTTGCCATCGATGAGTTCCCCTCATTGAATTCGTTGTTATGAAACCCAGTTCTTGGATCATTTCACCATTTTGGGGCAGTCACATCACACATTTGCAAACGGTGATCTAGATGAAATACAGTCGTTCTTAGCAGTTTGGATCACTCATCATTTCACCTGGATTTTGGGGCCATTTGCAAACGCTCAGGATGATCTAGATGATTTATACACTAAGTAACCAATCTGAAACAACACCATTTTGGGATATTTCCCCATACAAACTATCATGTACATTCAGTTACAGTGATGTCGCAGTGACGTCATCCAGAAATTGCCCTATGATCGATGCTTAAACCGGGGGAAAAAACATGATATATTCCACCAAATCCCATTTATATCATATATAACCCATCTAAGTCCCATGATAATCTGGTTGGTGGTCTCAATCCCTCTGAAAAAATATGAAATTCAGTTGGGATGATTATTCCCAACTGAATGGAAAGTCATAAAAATCATGTTCCAAACCACCAACCAGATGATAATCCATAGGTATATTCCCATTACATTACCAGTTATACCGGTTTGCCAGCGCCCACATGTCGCCCCAACAGATCCGGCGGCGCCTTCCCACCCGCTTCTTCGATCTCATTCACCACAGCTGTTAGAGTCGAGGCCACCTGGAGATGATGGATCCTCGCCATTGTTTGGATGACAAATGACTGGGGATGGTTAATGTTGATTAATGTTGGTTAATAGTGGTTAATAGATGTTACTGGTGGCTAGTGCCGAACAACAAGTTCTAAGTATATGATATGTCTAGGACTGCTTAAGATACATTATAGTATTGAAGATGATGGATGCTCTCAAATCTTGGAGGAATCTTCGGATATAATATCTAGATAACTTAGATAACTTCCAAAAAATCATCTAGCACAAATGTAGCTTGTGGAGGGAGAATGGGAAGGATCTCAAAGTTTGGAGAAATATGACCAATAACCAGCTTTCACATGCTTTCACCAAGTATATATCTAGAGTTTATCTTTAATAAACTATAGATGATGAATGATCTCAAAGTTTGGGGAGACATCTAGGATTATGTCGCCAATTAGATCTAATAGATATCTGCTAAATATTCGTGGAGAATTATCCCAATCTTTTCTTCACCACATATCTTTAGAATTCTTTAGACAGACAGATGCCGGATCAATAGGATATCAATTTACCACGAGTCTAGTGACTTAGTGCTGGGTGGGGTGTTCTCAGCTCTATGGCGGTGCGATGGGATTTTGTTCACTATCCCCAATTTTACTGGAAATAGGTTGTATAAAATGTATAAACCATCTGCAATTTGTTCAGTTGATGCTATATATATATTATATGCCATTAATCGTTTGCCCTCTGGTAGTCAAACATAGCAATGATAAATCCCCTATACATGATTTTTGGGACCATCATGTATCAATGGTTTAAATTTTCGAAACACGCCATGTTTGATTACTGGAGGGTAAGCTTCCCAATTTATATTGGGTTGGTGGTGCAATAATCAACTTGAAAAATATGAGTTCGTCAATGGGAAGGACATCCCATATATGAAATGGAGAATAATCCAGCCATGTTTCAAAACACCAACCAGATACGTATATATATATATATGGTCATACATTTGTGTATGATTGACTATGGTAACAAATAACAAGTTTATAACCAACAACCAGTTATATTGGGCAAAGCTGGATTAACAAAAACAAACGTCGCCTTCCCAACGATGACTTTCTCGGGCCGCGTGCCAGGGGTATCACCTGACAGGTGAGCATTGAAATGGGTTTACCCAAACGTTGGGATATAAATGGAATATAAATGGGATATACATGATGAGAAATTAATGGAATATTAATGGGATATCAATTATACCATGCTTTGATGGGATATGAATGGGATATCAACGATATTAATTGGATACAGTTGGAAACATAACTAACTAATGGGGATTTTTATCTGGATATATATTTAGTGAGGCATGAACTGGATGTAAACAAAATCAACTTGATGTGATATACCAATCCGACATGCATGTTTTTTGTTTCTGAAACAAGGGCGTCTCTTCTATGAGGTATCTTCACTACTACAACCAAACGACCAGTTGTTTTTGTTTGTTGTTCCAGGGATACCCTGCAGTCCTCCTCGGACATGCTCTCACTGGTTGTCATCGTTTTCCATAAGATTGGATTTTTCGCAAGCCCCAACCCTTGAAATGGTTGGGAAGCACAGCTAATAACAATCCCAAACATGGACTTGGCCAGGATGATCTTCGGCTCATGGATTCTGACAATCCGAAGTTCATCGCAAAAAGTTAGGGTGCAGGAAACCCGATATGGGAAGGTCCTTCTTAGGGACCAGCTCGCTGGATTTCAAGACTGTATGAAATTCCTACTGGATCTACGGGGTTTGCGTGTGTTAAATCCAACATGTTATTGTTTAATAGATTTAATAATGTTTAATAACACCATTTTTGTTGGTAACACCTCAGAGTTTCTTGGTTAATCCAAGTATAACCCGGATCTTGGCGACTAAAATCAGCATGCGACTAAAATCAGCATGTTAACGTTTCTCTGCACTCAGGATACTCCAAAATTGGGCGGATTGTTCGCTAAAACGGATGGACCTTTAAGTGATTTGCCGGGAAACACAATCTGTTTTTCTCGTTCGCTAAGCCACTTAAAAAAAAAACTTGGCTGTGGCACCATTGGCACCTAACATCGGAATTTTGCCACTCAACTCGCCGTTTTGGTCCGTCAAATCTTCCTTTTCCTAGGTGAAAACTCAATTTTCCCAGGTTAAAACTCACTTTTCCTTCTTCAAAACTTCCTTTCGCTTGGTGAAACCATGCTCAAATCTCCCTTTTTCCGAGGTGAAACCTCCCTTTCTTTTTCCTAGGTGAAATCTCCCTTTTTCCTTGGGTAACGATTCGGTAACGATCTGTTAAAACACCTCCCTTCCGTTCATCGCCTCCCATGGCGGCCAGGCAAATGCGTTGCAGTGCGCGGAGCAAGGCGTCGAGGTCCAGGAGGTGCTGATCGCAGCCTGGGCTCTGTGAACTGCTCGGATTAACCACTGGTGAACATACAAAATGGTTCAGTGGTAACTGGGGATATTTATAATCAAAGATTCACATTGATTAATGGTGATTAATGATGGTTAATGATAGTTAATGATGGTTAATGATGGTGATTAATGGTGATTAATGGTGATTAATGGTGACTAATGGTGATTAATGATGATTTCACTTACCCTCTGGTAAACATACAAAAAAAATATGGAAAATCAGTGTTATGGGTCAATCAACTATTTCTATGGGCTATTTTCAATAGCTATGTTAAATTACTAGGGTAACCTTTTATGGCTAATCATTTGTAAAATCAATTGTATAATGGTGAATCAATGTTTTTTTTTTTAATGTTAATCAATGGTTGAAAAAATGCATATTTAAAAAAGAAAATAAGTGTATAACATGTGGTTCATACAGAAACTGTATGTTTTATCATTCACTAGATGACTATGTGTATTTTCATATGTGGTTAATAATGATATGAGGTTGGTGCCCATACATCACCAACTAAATGATATTAATCCCTAGATAGAACGGTTAACCAATCTATAACCCATTTGAATTGTCGGGGAAACTTTAACTTTAGGCAGTGTTCAGAAATCAAGCTATACTCGTATAATTATCCCAACTATATCCCGAACTATGTGGTCAGGAAATATGTTCTTTTTCTGGTTTTTGTAGCCAATAAAATCCAATAGGACCAGGCGTCTGCCTGGTGCATCCAAATGCGGGATTTGTCACGTCGGCACGTCGAAGTTTCAATGGTGAACATCATAATCAAGCCTGTTAATCTAACCATACGGGACCCCCAAAATATAAAATGAACCAAAGCAATGTTTTCAAAGGCGGAATTTTGCCATATCGTACAATGTGAGGCCCCCCAGTGATGTTTGTTGGTTTAGATTCGCCCCAGTAACTATAGTTATAAGTACCATAAACCATAGTTATTGGAGTTATTTATAAACCAACTTAGCTATCTTGGGGGCCTCACATTGTAACTCACTTGGCGTAATGGAAGGTCACCAAGTCCCCAATTTAGATGTTTCGATACACTGAAGGCCAAGGTGCTCCAGCAGTTGGGTTGGAAGTCCTGACAGGTCTTCATCCCCAGATCTTCAACAGAAGGATGTGACATGTGATATGGCTGTGAAAAATGAAGCCGAACCATCTTTGGAAACCTGTTGAGGGTTGTCAATTGCGCAGCTTTCCCAAAAACCAGACGTGGTGCTCTTCAAACCGGGACCTCAACCGATGGACCCTGATGCATTCACCTTCAACGCTGGTCACAGGACCGAATCGATGGATCATGGTGAGCTTTCTGCCTCTGGTTCAAAAATTCAAAGCTGGAAAGCACAGATTTGTAGCAAATATATTAGCCTTGCACCAATATATACATATATATATATACCCTCTGGCAAACTAACATAGCTATTGGAAATGGCCATAGAAATAGTGGATTTACCCATTAAAAAAAGTGATTTTCCATAGCTATGTTAGTTTACCAGGGGGTATTTCATGTCCTGATATGCCATGTTGGTGGGTCAATTATGGTCAATTCACCATGGGTCTTGTTGGTTTCTCCCAGCATCAGTTTCCAATTCATTCACCCAATGTGTTTTTGCTACATCGCTACATCCCCATCAAATCTATCTATGCATGCAAACATGCAAGCATGCAAGCATGCAAGCATGCAAGCATGCATGCATGTCTCTATATATATATATATACATATATATATATATGTGCGTATAGTATATATATATACATATATATATATACATACATACATATTTGTCAATGTATATCATGATTGATGATCCACCCGGAAAAACAAGGACAACCCTCCCATCCGGCGACATTGCCCAGCTCCCAGGTGACCCAGGTGACACGATGCATCCCGATGCACAGCGAGTCAGTCTGTGCGTCCTTGTCCACGCGCTGCTGTGTCAAGAGCTTCTTGAGGCGTTTCACTTCCTCCTCACGCCTGGGAGACTTGGAGACTTGGAGGTGTACCCAACTAGTTGACAAAAAACATGAGGATCAACTAATCAATAAATGAGTAACAATAAATCAGGCAAATAACAAACAAGAACACTCCAATCTTTGATTCTTGGGTGCAGATAAAAAATCAATTCAGTCGAGCCTTTGGGCACCCATGATTGGAATAGTTTACTACTATATAAACATGGCCTAACGTCTATGGACCCTTGTCCTTGCCGGGGAAAGCACAGCCAAATGTAATTGTTCGACATATATCACCTTTCATAACATGTCTACCTAAATAATCAATACAGTACACATCATACACTGATATGCAGGAAATTGCGTTGCACTCGACCAACAACTACATAACATTTCTCACAGAATGTCAGCCCTTAACTGATGACCATCCGTCTTTTTTTTTGGTACGCCCCAAAATAGCGAGCCGCAAATGCTGCCACAAAGTGATGGGATTCCCCATCGAAATGGTGATCTTCCGATTTGCATACCATCTTGGACTTCCACGCTTTGTCCAACTGATTGGGTTAATCTTACCAAATTCATCCAAATTCAGTACATTGTTAGGTACCAAATTGCTGGCTCAAACTATTCCTCTTCCATTTTCCATAACCAAACACATTGCCATCCACAAACCACTCACCAAGATCACCATGCAGTATCAATCAGCCAAGTTCCGATGAATCAACTAGGTTTGATCTTCTAAGTGGTTAGCCAACTAAGTTAGGCTCACCCAAACTTTTCTGCAAGGTGGTGCCCCCCCACTTATAACTAGGTTTTAATCCCATTAACTAAAGATACATCGCCTATAAATCATAGTTATTGGACTTACCTCCTGATAAACTAACATAACTATGGAAAATTATGGAAAATCACCATTGGTAAATCCACTACAAATTGGCCATTTTCAATAGCTATGTGAGTCATTACCAGAGGGTCAACCAACAAACAGCGATTCGGAACTGGGGCACCACCCTGTTTGTTTGTTGATCCGATGCGGTGTTGCCTGGCTTGCTCATGCTGCTGGGCCAAGACGTGTTCCCAGAGCCTCGGTAATGGCCGGCCAGGAAAGAAAACCCCACCGGGGGTGATATTAATCGCCACACACTAGTGTAATAGAATATTGCTAGTGAAATATTATTTTCAGTAGGTAGATAGATAGATGGATAGATAGATAGATAGATGGATAGATAGATAGACAGACAAACAGACAAATAGATAGATAGATAAGATTAGAAAAGATTAGATTAGATTAGAAAAGATTAGATTAGATTAGATTAGAATAGATTAGAATAGATAGATGGATGGATGGATAGATAATAGATAGCTATATATCCACATGCATATATATATAAATATATACAGTAAGGAATTAATGAAATGTTGATGGAATATCATCCCACAGTCCTCGTAAGTGGTAAAAAAAAATCACCCTGGTGACCCGATTCGTCCCCGAGAAAAGTGGGCTATCCCATTGATCAATGGCAGTTCACTCACTCCAGTTACTAACCACTTACGAGGACTGTGGGATGATCCTCCAGAATGATATTCCGTTAATCTTCCATCTATATTCCATTCACCCTTATCATATACCATCAACAATATTCCATCAATATATACCATGAACCCATTAACAGTTTCTGTAGTGCATACTCATGGATATACAATACAAAATGCATAGATGTAAATTAATATGCCATTCATGGATAGTACCATTAATCATATTCCATGCATATCATCCTATTGCTTTATAGATATGGTGATGAGCTATCAACCTCCATTTATCTTGGTGTTTCCGAATCTCACCACATATTTTTTTTCCCATTGAAAACTCCATTTATGTACCATGAATATCAGTCAAGTATCCATCATGGTCAAACATGGATATCATGAACCATAGTTGTGGATATCAACAAGAAAAACAAATGGATATCATGAACACTCATGAACCATATTTGTAATATAACCAACCCCCCAGGGCCCTAGAGATCCCTAGGGATCCCTCAAGGCCCCAGGGCACGGAGGGCACGGCCCTCCAGGTCCTCCAGGTCCCAGTGACGCTTGCAAGCGGTCCTCCAGGCTCAGGTCCGGCCACCTCGGCAATTACAGTGGCTGCAGGGGGAGATGCCACATGTGAATCTTCAGAAATCCTGATGTTCATTTCTGAAAATATTTTTTGTTTTTATTTGTATACCTCTTGTTTCTTTCTTTGTTTTTTTTTTTGCTCTCTCTCTCTCTCTCTCTCCATGTGCTCCATGTGCGCACGCGTCTTGACTTTTTGCTTCCGCCCATTGGACGTTCCAGGTACCTAAACTGGAGGTACCTAACATGCCCAACAACCATTATCTTAGCAAGCGCTGCCATTACCACAATTCTCAGCACCCCATCGGGATGTGGCTGCCTCACTGCAGGCTTGGGAGCTTAAGGCTAGGCTAACCTACTGTACTGTAGTAGATGCTGACCAAAAAGTGCAACTTTGGCTGGGTATGGCACCTGTCGCACGTTTGCAGTTACAATATGACCCCGCTGGCTGCCCAACAAGGTTTGATCAAGCTGAGATTCAATGCCTCAAGTGAAGTTGAAACATGTTGAAACCATGCATTCAACACCCTTCCCTGACTTTTTAAAGCACACTGCAGGAATCATTTTTTTGTGCAGGGAGCATAACCACCTTAGAACAGTAACGAAGGTGCCCTTTCAGCAGTGCTCCTTCCAACCTCTTGTCATCCCATGTCACTGGTTGTTAGGGCTTCCCATGATGGACTGTACGATAAATCCCTAAGGAATTTCCCCCCATACCAGCAGTTAGTATGTCGCTTGTCCATAAAATTCATGATATTTTTTTGGCATTGCTCACGTCATGTTGGAATCTATCTTTAATGCGAGGAAGGTCTAGATAAATGTGTCTATGGCTATGCACATGTGCACACCAGTTGATACAAAGGGATAAACATACACATGCACACACGCGCACACACACACACATATACGCACACGTTGAAATCCTTCCAGGTACAATCATTTCATATATCCCGATAGGCTGAGGGTCCATGGGTATTCACGTCAGTGAAGAAAGCATTAAAACCATACTTGACTTGCATTCGCCTGCAGTGGTTTCCGACGATAAGTCAGACACGCCCCCAAGAAATTTCAACGCTGGATGGGCATGGGTCATCTAACTCTGGGATATAATTGACGTAAATGGAGGTTTGATCGACCAAACAATGGGTGTGGGCCAAATTTTGTGGCCCTTGCTGATTTGGCACTAACACATCTGATTTTTGGCATGCTTCATTTTTTTCTTCGTAACAATCTGAGTAGGGTGTGAGGTTCCTTCATGTTCAGCAGTTGAAATTTCACTCAGGGCTCTATTTACAGCTACTCTCCTGCCGATTTTGAACAGGATGCTATCTGATTCCGATTCAACCGGCATTGAAGCTGCAGTTCGTTGTCACAGTTGTCACATGCTGGACCAGCCATCATTGACAAAGAATCAGCCATGGAACCAAAACACCTATGGGGACAGGTTAGAAACCTGTGATGTCAAGGTCTTGGCCCGTATCCGCAACAGAAAGAATCTGGGCCACTGTTTCTAGTCCTAAGAAATTTGTTCACCTCAGAGATTCTCTAACGGCTTGATCTTTATCCAAAAATGGATACATATGATCACCTGAATTACAAATAAATGGACAAATTCTATCCCAATCGTGATGGACAACCAATTGAAATAATCATCCTTTGAGTAGTTCCAACCTGGGGTTGATGCCCCGCCAACCATCACTTTTTGGTGCTTGATCCTTGTGAAGCTCATAGAATTTTCAATCAGATTCCGCGCTTCAAAGCAAGCGTGTTAAAACAATGCGGCGACTGTCAGGTGGTTGGTTCTAGTGAAAAACTCGAAAATGATTATATAGAGCATATTGGAGTTATATAATGTGGGCGACACAATAATAAACCTACAATTTGGGGATGGTTGATACCCCCCATGAAAATGGTGATTTTGGCGATAATGGATCTTACCGACATTACGAAACATTCTTTTTGGAAAAACCAACCGCACAAATATCCCGTTTGGGGGATCCACAGCGCTCACGTCCGTGGTCCTTGCAGCTCACTCAGCTTCGCCTTCAGTCGTTCTAAGCGACTGTAGGAAGGATCTTCCGCCGTGTGCCTCACTGGCGTGGGGTAAACAACTCCCATGACTGGGGATGGTTATTGAAATTCGCATCCATAACAAATGGTGATAACTTGGGCATGGTTTCTTGAGTTTACCACATTTCTCGGGAGTTGAAACCAAATTCTAATGGGCTCAAGACCAACATTTCTAGCAATTCTTTTGCCAATCAAATGGGTTGCATGTTGATCCGTTTGTGTCTTGCCATGACTTTTGATTTTGGCACTCCGACAACAAACCAAACATTTTTGTCACAAACCATCCAGAACAGATCGAAGAGCATTTGAAATCCCAACCTTGCAATCATGCCCCATCATGGTGAAACAATCATTCCTATTCATTCCTGGGCGAGCAAAAGTTGTATAATCTCAATCCCACATGACAACGGAATATCGGCCAAATCTGGAATGAAGGCAAAACAATAAAAAATAACACCCTATGTCCTATTACAGTAGTCAGTCACTCAACAAGTATATGGTCATCGCTGACTCAAGCCATCGATATCGCCATTTGTGGAAGGAATAATCAAAGATCAAATGAATAAAGTATACCCTACACCAAGCCTTCCCTTGTTTCGATGGTAGAAAACCAATTCTTGGTCAATCTCAGGAGTTACCCTTGGGGACTTGCTTGCTTTTGGTGGTTAAAAACCCACCATTGTCCGGTCATTCAATGGCTTCAGATCCCAAAATTTCACCAACCCAACCCAGGGTTCACCGTGGCAGCTTAACCTTATGTAGTCTTCAAGTTTGGAAGGTTAACCATCCGAACTGATGAAAAATCACATATTTCTTGATTCGCCCATCATTTTTCATGACTCTTGTTGCCTCAGAGATAAAGAAGACAATTTTTTCAATATTTATCCTGTATTTTGACTGGAAAATTCACAGCCATGGCAGGCCCATAGCAGGGCTTCGGTGGACCTCGGGGACCTCGCCAGAAAGTCCTCCAGCGCCGCAGTCAGCTGCTGTAGCGACATCAGCGTGGAACCCGAGCCGCTCGCCGCGTCCGTGGCGGTGGAAGGGGGCAGGATCTGATGGTCTTCCTGGGATTGGACAGTTTCGAACAAGGAGAACTTCCATTAGACATGATTAAGCCATATATAATTATATATATATAACATGATTCAAGCATCATGTTCAACTTTCCGTATTCTGTGTGTTAATATGGTTTTTCCCGAGAGCGTCTGAGCGCAGGGTTCTTCCAATAGTGGGGGTCTGTAAAACATCTTCTCATCTTCACATCTCATCTTTACATCCTCTCATCTTCACATCTCATCTTCACATCCTCTCATCTTCACATCTTTTCATCTTTACATCCTCTCATCTTCACATCCTCTCATCTTCACATCTTCTCATCTTCACATCCTCTCATCTTCACACATCTTACATCTCTCATCTTCACATCCTCTCATCTTCACATCGCTCATCTTCACATCCTCTCATCTTCACATCCTCTTATCTTCACATCTGCTCATCTTCACACATCTTCACATCCCATCTTCACATCTGCTCATCTTCACACCTTCCCATCTTCACATCTTCTCATCTTCACACCTCTCATCTTCACATCTGCTCATCTTCACATCTGCTCATCTTCACACCTTCCCATCTTCACATCTGCTCATCTTCACACCTTCCCATCTTCACATCTTCTCATCTTCACATCTGCTCATCTTCACATCTGCTCATCTTCACATCTGCTCATCTTCACATCTGCTCATCTTCACACCTCATCTTCACATCTGCTCATCTTCACATCTGCTCATCTTCACATCTGCTCATCTTCACATCTTCTTATTCTTCACACCTGCTCACCTTCTCTCTCACGCCTTCTTTTTATCTTTCTCTCTTAAGGCCGAGGGTGGTGCCGGCGGCGAGTCACGAAACGTCAACCTTTTCGCACGAAATGAGGGTCGATCGGCAAAAACTGAGGTAAAATTGCGATTTGACTTGTGCTGGAGCAACCCTTTCGCACGAAATGAGGGTCGATCGGCAAAAACTGAAGTAAAATTGCGATTTTACTTGCCCCGGAGCAACTCTTTCGCACGAAATGAGGGTCGATCGGCAAAAACTGAGGTAAAATTGCGATTTGACTTGTGCTGGAGCAACCCTTTCGCACGAAATCAGGGTCGATCGGCAAAAACTGAAGTAAAATTGCGATTTTACGATTTTACTTGTGCTGGAGCAACCCTTTCGCACGAAATGAGGGTCGATCGGCAAAAACTGAGGTAAAATTGCGATTTTACTTGCCCCGGAGCAACCCTTTCGTCTGTGTGTAAAAGCGTCTGTGTGTAAAAGCGTCTGTGTGTAAAAGCTTCTGTGTGTAAAAGCGTCTCTGTGTGTAAAAGTCTCTGTGTGTAAAAGCGTCCGTGTGTAAAAGCGTCTGTGTGTAAAAGTGTTTGTGTGTAAAAGTGTTTGTGTCAAAGCGTCTGTGTGTAAAAAGTGTCTGTGTGTAAAAAGCGTATGTGTGTAAAAGTGTCTGTGTGTAAAGGCGTCTGTGTGTAAAAGGGTCTGTGTGTAAAAGCGTCTGTGTAAAAGCGTCTGTGTGTCAAAGCGTTTGTGTGTAAAAGCGTCTGTGTGTAAAAGTGTTTGTATGTAAAACCTTCTGTGTGTAAAAGCTTCTGTCTGTAAAAGCTTCTGTGTGTAAAAGCTTTGTGTGTAAAAGCGTCAGTGTAAAAGCGTCTGTGTGTAAAAGTGTTTGCGATGCAAACTATTGTCTTGCACTTCTCACTATTTTGTCTTGATGCTCCTCTTCTCGACTGCCTATAACACAGCTTTCATATACCGTTTCTAAAATTGCATCTCCATACTAACAAGAGAAGACCCTGCTCCTCTACGCTCTTGGGCCATCCGTCGTCTAGTTTTGGTGTTCCCATCTTGGAAGGTTTCAACTTATTTTGGAAATTCCTATGGATTGGAAGGCGCCTCTGAGGATCATCCTACCATCAATGGCTCTGGTTAGTAGCTATTTGATCATCATGTTACGTGAATGGCTTATGATCAAATGGCTACTCACCAATTATGACTTATGAATTATGGTTACTAAGCAATCATTTGCGTGGGATGATGCTCCAATGGAATCTAAAACAAAAATGAAAAGAGCGTGATTTAAGTCTGCAAACAATGGCCTGCGCGCGCAAATATATCTATATATCTAATTATATATAAATTGGTCTAACATGCATCTAGGGATGATATATCTTCAGATTGCTACTTGTTTCAATTATTGCTATAAATTCCCAAATCGATCTGTATATGTCAATCTTTATATTTAGGTCTATGTGTATCTATACTCTCTATCTATCCATTACTCTCCATACATATGTACGACGCCATTCTCGGGGGAGAGTGGGAATAAAATTCCTATACAAGGGTGGCGGCATGTGTGTTCTGTTGCGTCTTAAGTTTCAACCCTCCTAAGCCGTGACCCTCCAAACCACCGCAGTAGGGATACATTTGTTTGGGAAGCTCTAAGTAACTCCTTGGCCCCCCATGTAATAGGGAAACGATATGACCCCTAGCTCAGTAGCTCCCGCTCAACCATTGGATAGTATAGTATTCCGAATGGAAGGGGTCGGACGACATCATGTCAAAAAGAAGCAACAAGAGCAACTCAAAAAATCAGAAATTCGGAGAACAGGGTTATGAAGCCTGGAAAATATGAAGCACAAACATCTTCTGTCAAGAATCCTGCAAATGGGGGATATACCAACATCATGCAATCCCGTGGGTGGATATGGGAGGGTATGAAACAAATGAGGACTTGAGGATTTTACACGCGTTTCAATGGTTTGTTGCCGAGGCACTCATCCCAGGAGTATCTGGATTCAAATAAGTCGTCTCCAAAAGATCTATCACCCCCACTGAGCTTGATTGTGCACCTGAATGATTGAGAAGTACTTCCTATTTTTGATTTACTGTCTTCCACAACACTGACCATCATTTCCGGGGCCATGAGGCCGCTTTCCTCTTCTTCCCATAGCCCACATCTTCAATGATTCCAGTGTCAAAATTAAGCATGCCCCAAATCGGACAGTTTTGCAAAGCCATGCCGAGTAGGCAAAGAGAGGCTCCCTACTGTAAGAGACCCCTCAGTGTGGACACACTGTTTGAGGAATTATGGCCACCTAATGGCACGGCACTTGGGGACCATCATCCAATTTCCACGGTTGAAAGTGCGAAAAGTACACTTTTTTTTTCTGAAATCAGCAGTTTCAGTGGTTGATATTGGTTCTAGACCCAATATATACCCATATTTGATGCTTAATGGCAACACTATATCTCCACTCTCCAGGCACCAAGGTATGCCAAGGTGCCAGCTCTCGCCATAGCAAACTCACTTCCTGAGTCTACAAAGACAAATGGACCTACTGTGGATGGTTGCGAAATTCTGCACCAGGTGATATATTCCGTGGATGGTTGCGAGAGACTGCACCAGGTTCCATTATGTAATTATTGGGTTTCAGCATGTTTCAACCGTCCAAGGTGGTGCAGGATTTCTTCCATCATTCACAATATATTGAATGAATGAGACACAAAACCTGGCCGTTTCAATGTCTGCCAACACTACTCGGCTTGACGAGACTCCGATGGTGCTTGGAGTCCCTCGATGAGATGTCTCAGCTCCTCCCACCAGTCGGGTCCTCCCTCTGGTAATCAAAGATAGCAATGGAACATCCTGTAGTTCGATGATTTTCACAGATTTTCACCATTTAAATGACATGTTATACGTGTTATAGATCTCCCAGCTAGCCACGGTTGCTTAGCGGAAGGCAGTGGGAAAGTTATGATGAACTCTGTGTTTTTTTCTGCTGGATTTTTGGAGAACCCTGAAATGGCAAAACACACACACAGGTGGAGTTCAACGGCGCACACGACAACTCGATGGGTTGGCAAACCCACAAAATGGGGTGTACCATGATGTACTGTATGACTGGATGACCTATTTTTTTAAAAAAAATGTTGATTCACACCATAGAATTTTTGGTCGCCTATTTTTTGATAGATTTTCTTTGGTGAAAGCCACATGTTCACAGGGTGCCTCATATGTTGATAGACTCACATGTTTTGTGGAAAACTGCGAGAGACATCATCATCATCATCATCATCATCATCATCATCTTCTTCTTCACTTCACTTGGATCTCCTTCAGAATATGGATGTTGAAACGCGAGAGATATCGGCCCGGCATGTCAATGCTTCTCAGAGGCATCATCCGTATTTGGGTAGATCCTTAGATCCTTTTTTAACACGGGTTGAACATGGTTGCACCCCAGTGATTGCTGATCAACTCATGAACTCTGATGACATGTGGGTCAAATGCGCAGTTCCTTCTTCTTTGCCGGCTTCGGATGTCTTTTTTGCCCTGGCTAAAACACATCCCCTTTTCACTGATGAACAATTTAAGCCATCATGGATTCCATGGGATCCATCATGCTTCATCTGGGGGTTTCCATATAAACAGGGTACCCCAATAGCTGGATGGTCTGTAATGGACCACCCTATGGAAAATATGGATGATTTGGAGGTACCTGGTACCCCTATTTTGGGAAACCTCCATATCTTTCCAAACATTCGTACGAGCACGTTCGTCCTCCAAGTTGAGGGGCTCATGCGCCTTTACCCCGCAAGTGAAGCCGCCTCAAATCTCTGCTGTGTTGCGAACAAATCGCCAGTTTTCCTGGGCAAAATCTCTACGTTTCCGTATTTTTCGTTGCTTCATCTGCATTTTGTCTTGCAAAAGTCATGACTTCTCTTGATTTCACTCCAGTTTTGTCTTTTTTCGTCTCGAAAACGAGACCGGGACGCCAGTCCCCCACCTGCGGTGAGCACCGCGCTGTCACTGGGATCTGAAGATTCACAACTGGAGGTCACTTTGCCCTGAAAGCGTGGCGGGGCATCCTCGAACCCATGGCTCCCTGGTTCTACCTGGTCTACCTTGACCCATGGCTACCTGGCAATGGAAAATCACACATTTCTTGCCGTTGAATGTGGTTCATGTTGGTTAATGTTGAGAACTCATCAACTTCCTGGCCACGGCTAAGACTATCCCAAAGATTCTTCGGTGTCAAGAGTTTGAATGGTACAATCCGGGTATGTGGGGATCCGAGAAGCTCTTCTAATGGTCAATTGTATCATTCTGATTTGAATAATAACTATGGAACTATGAAGTATATTGGATTATGATAATTCAGAATTAATCTCTATTGGACAGTACAAATGGCAAAACATGTGATTTTATCAGCAAGAATGCTGGGAGAATGGCACCTTTCATTTTATGGGGATATCACGGGATAGCGTCTCGAACCATGACGACCTCACAATGTTTGGGCTTGATACGAATTAATCCGTGGATATTCTTTGGGCCATTCAACCACCAGCAACCACTTTTATAACGGCGAATCTTGAAAATTCATTTTTGGGGGCTCTGTCACCTGAGGGAATGGTTGGATCTCCATCAAGCTGCATCAGTCAGAGCTCAACATCTGCCAGCCTCCTCTAGTCTGCCCAAATCGCTGTGAGTGCGGGAGCCAATACTGTCACGGTCTCGGTGCTGCAACGCTGGGATCCATTTTTTTTGATATCTTGACCGTCTTGACCTGCGAGAAAGTTAAGATTTTGTGGGACATTGAAAAAACAATGCATATCAGTTGTTTGTTCCACTGATTTTCTCATGTTTTTCCGGCATCTCAGAAATAAACCAGTGGAACAAACAACGCCTTGACCTTCGCAGATCTGCCGTCATGGAAAGCTGTTCGCCACCAAGGCGGTTACTGAGTCACTATGGAGAACTATGGAGCTATGGAGCCTTCTTAAAAAATGGGAAGCCCATAGTTATCCAACAATTGCTGGTTGGTGGTTGACCTACCCCTCTGAAAAATATGAGTTCGTCAGTTGGGATGATCGGATGATTATTCCCAACTGAATGGAAAAATAAAAAATGTTCCAAACCACCAACCAGATTGTGACTTTAAAGCAAAGGACATGCCAAATCGGTTCTGGGTTTCCCAAATCGTAGAGTTGGTGATGCCACCTGGATCTCCAACGTGTCTCAACGATACCGCAAAAAATGGCTCGGGGAAATGGGCTTGCCTGTGTATATCCCCAACTGACACTTTGAAGGGAACAGGATGATTTCTTACTCTGATTTTTTTTGAGTGCCCTATGTTTAGATGCTACATGTCGAAATGGCAAGGGCCATGATCAAGGGTGAGAGGCCCCCAAAATGAGCCACTGTTCACCAGCAAACTGGTTGTGACTCAACAAAAATCAAACAACTCGGGGCACCCAGTGGTAAGGCCTACATATTTTTGGATATATTTGGTAATATTCCCCCAAATGGCGTCAAAAAGGACACTGTGCACCCGCCAAGCCCCGGACCTACCTATTTTCAAAAGTCGAACCAAGCACTGGAAACCATCCATCTTACCTGATTTTCCGATAAACATAATCGACATCCAGAGACAATGTTCCTATCTTCTATCAGGATCAGAATCATCAGTTCTACGGAGATGTTCCAACAATGTGAGGCCCCCCAGTTATGTTAGTTGGTTTAGATTCGCCCCAGTAACTAGTTCGTCATTTGCGTACCATAAACCATAGTGACATTGGAGTTATGTTCACCAACTGAACGCTATCGAACGGGGGCCTCACATTGTATATATTCCAATTCCATATTTTCTCCATATCCAAAAAATGGTGATTTCCCGGATCCCGAGGGCCATCGTCCCGTCTGTCCCAAGGCTCTGAAGGTGAAGCTGGAGTCCATGACCTGGGCACCCGAGTAGGAAATCAACAAACAGTATCGAAAAGTGGGATAGATAGATGTATAGATTATAACGCAACAATTTGTTCTCTTATATATATATAAAAAGATATTGCACAGTTCCGACGCTTTTTTTTGGGAAAACAACAACGCACTTGTGATATAACCTAGATGTATACAAACTAAAAAACAAATAAAGGAAAATCAATATATGACTATATGACTATATGTAAATATATGAGATAGATCAGCATATGTGGGATAAAGGTATCATGATATAGAATTTAGCATGCATATATGATGTATATATATATATTATATATGTGTGTATATACATATATAATAATGGATATACGCGCACGTATATATCTACATATATGGTACATAAAATAGATACTGGGTGCACTATAGCATGGCTACATTTGGCTACATCTGTGATGCAAATTCTGTGCATACAAATATATATATATATATATTAGATTATATACAAGAATGTGTGTAGATGTACACGCATATTTGATAACTTTGGCCGTGTAGATCCTGGAAGAGTCAAAGTTTCCTGGTTCCAGGATCCATTGGGGGCGGCATCTGACCACGCCCAAAATGCCCCGTCAATTTGATCACATAAACTTCATCCCACGTGAAATGTCCGCCCAAACGCACACAAATATATATATATATATGTATAAATAAATAAATATATATATATATATTGTACATATAGAAATATACACACGGGGAAACAAATCAAGATTAATCAAACACATCTATCAATAAACCTGTGTTTTGGTATACCATGAAATCTTCAGCATTCCATCTCTATGCCGTGCCTGCGTCTTCTTCTGGTCCATGTTGCGCGGGTTGAAGGCCGGCAAGGTGTAGGACAAGGGATCCGTGAAATATTCCAATTTCTCATTGAAATCCTGCAAGTTTGGATATTGGGCACAAACATGTGAAACCTCTGGGATGTGCAAAAGTTCAAGCCACAAAAGGGAAAATAAGGATTTGTGATATCTGATGATATCATGTGGTATTTATATGTCTCAGCTCAAATTTCACTTATAGATACCATCAATCATACCATATAGATACCATATGATATCATATAGGAAGTGTTTCGATCCATTTTGTCCATCATAATCCATCCCTCCCCGTTTTGGTCTTTACAACTGCTGAACGACGAACATCGCGTCTCTGTCGGACCGCCGGATCGCGGCCTTCTGCATTTCTCGCACGGGCAGATCGTTGGCATCCTCCCCAAAAGGCTGATCGATCTCTTGTGCGATGTAGAACAAGGTCCAGAAGGAGGTGGAAACGACAAAAACAATGACCCCGGCCTCAGCTGATATAGGATGGATCTTGCATTGCTGTGTGTTGATTCCTGAAATTGACGCCATATAGACATATATAGACGCCATTTGCATACAAGATAATATATAATCACCCAAACACTATTAGCCTAGACACCTGATCACCAACAAATCTACTATATACATAGATCTATATAATCACTAATCAACTAATCCGACTGTTTCCCTTTTCGCCCGGTTCCGCTGCCCGGTTCCGGCCGTCAAGTGGCCCAATATGGCTTGACCACCAGTTGACTCGCCATCACTGGGGTTAGCATCCAATGGCAAACGAGCATCAGGGACAAATACCTCAACATGTCGAGGTTTCCTATGGCTACCCCAAAGCAGATGCTGAAAAATAACGGTTTATAAAATTCCATGGGAAACCCTTTCTGAACATGAACGATTTGGGGGTACCCCCAACTTTAGGAAACCGCCTTGTTTTCTTCGAAGTCATTGTACTTAGGCATGACTATGCCCTCAGGACACCATTTTCAGTGTGACAATATCTGTTTTCTTTCATGATTCTAGCCCAAAATCGATGCATCCACCTACAATACACCAAGGTCTACCTAGATTGAATATCTCTGGCCAGCGCCAGTTCCGATGTTTTCCGATCTAAGTTTCACGGCCACACGGCGTGTCGCCGATCCTCACGCGCGAATCTAAAAATAATGTGGTGAAGCCAATGCCATCGTCATAGCCCTACAACTGTGGTGATTTTCAGTTTATGACCCCTTTTCTGGTTGGGAAATGGGAAACCATCTATGGCATTGATCCCAAAAAAACCTGGTTGGTGGTGCAATAACCATCTTGAAAAATATGAAAGTCAATGGGAAGGATGACATCCCATATATATATATATATGAAATGGAAAATAATCCAGCCACGTTTGAAACCACCAACCAGAAACAACCGGCGCCAGATTTCTTCCTTCACAACTTCGATTTGTTCCATGAACTCCCAACAACCGACCAAGTTCAGGACGAGGAGCTGGGAGTAAGGAAAAGGAAACGGTACCTGGCCACACCGCTCGGAAGTCGGACGGCCACGATGATCAGTGCAAGTGCTTGACACAGTGATGAAAGCCACCAAAATCACAAGAGCCGACTGGGATCATCAGAACCAAGGATTTTTAAATGCGTTTATCTAAAATCCGAGAAGTGATATTTTGAAACTTATGTTTTTTCAGCAGAGAAAGCCACGGCGCCCTACAGCTCAATGGGATCATCAAGGCAGCTAACTGGTGATCAATCCACCCAGTTGTCATCTAGCTTACAACTTTTGACAAAAAGGAACAGGACCTACCTTCCAATATCTTCCAATTAAACTAGCATAGATTTGGAAAATCCACCGTTAATTACTAGATCACTTTCCGCATGAATACTGGCGATTATTGATTATTACCCAGTATCACCCAGTAATCATCCAATCAATCCTCAACATGATCACACTTAATCCCCAAAGGTCTCAAACTCTTCGCTTCCCAAGCTCAAAACAGCACTGGCTTCTGCAGCGCCATGCCAAAGTGGCCATGCGAATCTTGCGGACGTCGTTCACACCAACCATTCCTGCAACGTGGTCTCTGGTTCATCTCAAGAACCAAAGTTAAACGTGGATTGATAAAACATTTGAGGTGCTGGTTGATTTATGCCGGGGAATACACCAGTGATAAATTCACAACAAAGTGAGCCCATAGAAAAAGATCAGGGGAAGCACAATGGGGTGATGTGTGCTATGTATTGCGTGTACGGTGGGTGCCATGAACCTTGGTTTCTTATCGATTGGTAGTTATGAACATCCCCAGTTCTTGTCCCGAACATCGAATTACCCTCTGGTAAACTAACATAGCTATGGGAAATCACCATTTTTAATAGGTAACACACTATAAATGACCATTTTCAATAGCTATGTTAGTTTACCAGAGGGTATATACATGGCATTTTGAAGGGTCTACTGAATGGCTACATGGATAAGCAACAACAAAACAGGGTGAGTGTCCTGCCGGAAATGGTGTTGAACACTACGATCCACCATTCCAAGAAATGTTAAGCCCCTCCAAAATAACAGGGTAAGTTTTTTGTTTGGATATAAGTTACACACCAATCTTGTTTATATAGATTACTTACCAAATATAGAATAAATCATTGGTACGTTCTTTTTTTGTTGCAGGCTGCAGATAAGTAATCTATGCGCCAAGTTCATAGATCCAATACTGTCACTGCCTAACGTTGTGGAACTGTACTGTTGGTTAAATATATCTAATTAGTCAAACAGGAAAGATGATGTTTGGGACACATTCTATAATTTGCACCATTATGACACCTCACCTATATTCGATACATATCCTAGTAACCATCATTATTCACCACATATATACATACATGCATATATATATATATATATACATACATGCATATATATATATATATACATATATACATATACATGTATATATAGATGTACCCCCCTGCAAACTAACATAGATCCGGAAAATCCACCATTTCAAGATTTATTTAACCGCATCTTTGTAAACGTTTACCCCAGGGTATATGGATGACATGAGACATCCACGCCTTGAGATAACTCCTGGAAGGCGCGCGAGAGGATGGGCGCTGGTACTTCGAACAAATTCCTGCCCGCAGTGGGTAGGTGAATACATGGGGATATCATTGGGATCAAAAATGGGATATTTACTTCATGGGATTTGTAACGATATATATATATATATATAAATCTAATCTAATGGGATATGTAAAATGGCTGACATATGGATTATATGTAAAAGGAATATAGGACTACAAATATGGGCTGATATACAATGGGATTAATGGGGTTATAATGGTGATATAATGGGTTTGCTATACTATTCGGGCTTAAACTATGGGATTCTAATTGGCAACTACAAATGTGAGAGTACGTTTGGGATTATAATGTGATATAATATAATGTGGGGATATTAAGCATTACGGCCTTATGATCTATAACATCATTGGGCCTTTTTATACGTGAGGCTACAACTTTGAGGATTGCAATTGGGATTGTAATTGTAGCGGGATACTTGGTAAACCCAATAGTGAACCATCCCAGCAACCTCCCCCCCAAAAACAGAGGGTAAACATTAACAGAAACAAACAGGGATGGGCATTGGTTGAAGGGAACATATAGATGAAGCCTCCATGTGCCTCCAGGTTGTCGATGGGAAAAAATGCGATGAATTTCTCTGGGAATTCAACCCTGTGAGTGCCACAATGAACATGTAAAGGATGGGCATATAGGAATCACAAATACAAAAATTACCCTCTGGTAAACTAACAGTTCGCTATGGAAAATCACCATCTTCAAGAGGTAAATCAACTATTTCTATGGACCATTTTCAATAGCAAACTGTTAGTCATTACCAGAGGGTAGATGTAATTAGTGTTCATCATGCTTTCCTCCACAGCACGCTGTTTTTGGTGAAGCAGAGTTCACCACAGATGCACCACCTTTTTTGGTGGTCCAGGTCAAACCGTCAAGACGAGCTATTGGTGATACAGATTGCGGCAGCACCTAACAACAACATGATAAATCTAAAGTTGGCATCAAAGACCAAAGTTACTAACCAAATTCCTTACCATGGCAACCCGGCCAAACGTCTAGTCTGAAGCATTTCCAATAATTTTTAAGCCATCAAACCTCATTTCGGGCATTGAAACTGAACTTGTCCAGAACTCTTCCATCACTGGTGAGGACATGTCGCTGCATACTGAGTTGATACACCCCATCCTGTTGTTGGCATCGATGATCAGCTTCTCCTAAGCTACCAGGGCAGGCAATAAGCGGCGGTCGCTTCCACCAATCCAAAGCATGCCAATCAAAAACGGACTCCAATGTTCTTTCAACATATCCAAAGAATGTCCCTATCAATTTCCCTACCAAATCCTTATTTCTCTTTGTAAAACAAGAGTTGTCCCATTATTGAACTGAAAAATCCCTGGTTTTCGCCAAAAAAGCCGCCCTTTTTGCCCGGCGGCGATCCACAGCAGCACCGTCTCAGCACGATCCGGGCTGTTTTTCAGATGCCTCAAACTCTTCTCCTCAATGCCTGGTGTGGAACAGTGGGATATTTGCTGATTGGGATAATGATGTGATAATAGTGGGATATAATGATTGTTTAAATGGGGAAAAAACAAGGAGATTGCTGTGGGACATATACAATGAGATAAATGAAGGGATACTTGTTGAATGAACATTTTAAATCTGAGGCCATAAAGCCACTCTTTGGGGACTTATCATCCATGTTTGGCAAAATTGACCAAAATTGGGAACATCTTTTTAAAGTTTGTTTAGCACATGATTCCATTCTTGGATAATTTGAAGAGTAGATTGTATGAACTCCTAAAAAGTTGAACTATGATTGTGAAAGAACGAAATCTGGCTTTAATAGACTGTGACTATAAATAATGAATTCCGGGCGAAAGGGAGCCAGTTTAATATTTAATGGAACCATTATGGTTTCAGAAAAAAAATATTCTGTTTTGATGGTCGCGAATTATGGTCTAGCATTGGGGTTTAACGGGGCAATATATTGGATAATCAACGAGCACAATTAGGGGATATTGATCGATACCTCAATAAACATGCTTAATTCAATGTTACAGTAGTTCCCATGGTATGAAAATCCATTGGTTTCTCCTGCATTTTCCACAGCCGAGTTTGTTTGCTGCTGAGCTAGTGTGGCTACAGTCACCCTCAAAATGTGGCAAGTTGCTGTTTTATAGATTGCCACTTGGCAACTGAGAAGATACACCAAATCAGAGGCTGTTTGCACTACCTATCTGTAAGGCCTATGTATATTATCCGCACATACAGCATGGACTTAGATGGCACAGCATCTATAGCACTAAAAGAGGTCACTTACAGAGAGGGATCTTGGATATTCATCAACCTGTAACACTGTAGTGATTACCAAGCCTGATTTGTTGCCAATTCAGCGGCCTTGGCCCACTAACTTGTTAACGATGTGTTACCCTCTGGTAAACTAACATAACTATGGAAAATCACTATTTTGAATGGTTAAATCAACTGTAAATAACACTTTTCAATAGCTATGTAGCAAATTACCAGAGGGTAAGAACCCTGCAAATGATATAGCCCATATACTTTTAAAACTTAGATCTATATAGATCTATTAGATCCCCTTTTAGAAGATCCCCGCAAATTAAAGAAGTCCCATGGAACCAGTCATTGGCGCCTGTGAGGCTCAGAATCTCTAAAGAATCATCATCCAGCTCACACATCCTGCAGCCGGGCAACGCTGATCTGTTCATCCTTCGAAGAATGTGATGAACCAAAAAAAAAATCCATCTTACCATCCGGAATCCCCTGTTTCTAGTTGATTGTCCCATTAAAAACAGATTGGAGCAGCAACCATGTTTTAACCCTGATGATTGACAAGGTGGTTGTGTCGACCTCCCGGCACTGTGACTGAAGACTCGATGTAAATTGAAAGGCCAAGAGTTGCAGGCCTTTTTGGTGCTTGAAATCAATCTAATAATATCCCAAATATCCATGTTTGGCATGTTTGGTTACCAAAGGGTACATCATCCAAATACGTTTGGCTATCTGTTTGATCTGCGGGTGGAGCCAACCTACTAAAAATATCAAAGAACTAATGTCAACTTATGAGGACCATCCGTACAATAACGAAAATCAAAAGACATTGAAACCACCAATCCCTAATCTTCTTCGGATCAAACAATACCCACTTGAAACACTGGTTTTGTGGAGAGAATAAGATTATATATAATATTATATAATTGAGATGAATTGAGAAGATTTTGTGAAACTGAACCACCAACTTGAAATTTGATATCCCAGCCATCTTGCAGCTCCCAGCGTCGTTTGTAAGGCACTGCAATGCAAAAGGCTCAGCAATTTAATCCTGGGATGATTTTCTGCTGTTCATGAGGTCAGCCCCTTTACCAGCGGAACCCAAAGATCTGGTCTCAAAAAAAACGAACAGCTGGACCCAAATGTCATGACACGTGCAAGTGCAAAGAATTGTCTTCCATGTTTTTTGGAGGGTTCAACTGCTAGTGCTCGTGGGGGTCCTGCAGCAGCTTTCAAATCCGTGCACTGTTCGGCTAATCTTGGCACTTACAAAGTGAAACGTCATGTTGCCGCTCCGATGCTTCTTGACCAAGCCCTTGAAATCATCAATCATCAGACTGATCTAAAAAAGCTACTGAGTTGTTGGGCTTCGAAGTATTCCCCGTTCGCAGCCAACAAAAAACCAACCTGCCAGCCAACCAACCAAAAAACCCAATGAGACGAGTGAGATGATCTTCCACAACAAACAAATTGGAATGTCCGAGGCACAAATATTGCTGGAATTTCAAGACCTGAGGCAGGCTCTTGGTGAGTTTCCAAGAAGTAATTCGCCAAGATTACCCCATGTCATCATGGCTGGTGAATGCCGCAGTTCCAACTGTTGCAGCCTGCTGTTGAGTGATCGTGCTTCGCCGTGGGGAACAATCACAGGCCGTTTTTGATGATGAATAGTCTATGGTAGGATGTTCATCGCCGATATGTTTTGACGGCTTGACTACCCATGCCTACGTAATCTTATGTACATTTGGAAAGGTATCAAATGGTATCAGCCTGGCTTACTCGCTTGAAACTTTGGGATGTTTTATGGGATGTCGGATGTAATTGATAAAGTCTTTCAGAACACGCGAGTAGGTAGTTGTCCGAAACACCGGAACATGGCGGAACCACTTTCCAATCTTGTGTTCGTTTGAACCACCATTTTTCTGGCAATTTCGCAATGAACATCTGTGCTACTGCAGACTGCAGGTCGCCTATTCCTCTTGGGTATTCCACACCGAAATGGAAAATCCCCCAGCAAATATCTAGCTTTAGATGCCGCACTGATTATGTGAGTTTTCAGTTTTCAGTGCGGCTTTTGATTGCTGAAGGATATTAGTAAACTGTAGTAAACTAATGTATGGCATGTGCTTTCAGACCCAAACCTAGGGTTGAAATCTCTATCCTTTTTATCCAATATATTACACTACACCTAATCATCGACTATTTAAAAGTTATATATATTCAGCCTTGAAATTTAAACAAATCGACAACTACATATACCATCATATACCCTTATCATAGATCAGGATGTAGCGGGCATGTTACATAAATAAGATATTCTTGCATTCAATTTCCATTTAACCAGTAACTAGGCATCATTAGCGCATACTTAAGCCATTTTAAAGCCATGTGTTCCTTCCAAAAATCAGACTTAAACCGTTTGTTTGGGGATGATTCCCTGTCGTTCATCACCAGCATCACCAGCATCGCCGGTGACAAAAATCCACGGAATCGCCTCGAAGTTGACTTCCTCATCGAGGCGACAGAAGGATAACAAATTGCTGAGGGCGCTGGTCCATTCACCTTGGAGGCAGCCATAAACCACCATGAAGTAGTCATGGTGAGTGGATTAACTATACCCTCCGGGGTCAAAGATGGCAATCTGAATTTCATTATAAGCGAAGATATTTTCATGGGAGAATCATCTAATCACCTATATAAGTATCAAAAAACTATCAAAAACATCCATATATAAACGAGGCGGGCGTTGTTGATTGCCACGCTTGATTACCAAAGGGTAACATAGGGCAATTATGATAATTATTGCGGTGATTAATCACCCTGGTGGTTAGTTGATCATAGAACCACCTGGTTGATGGCTGGCGGACAATTCTGATTATGATTAATGGTTGTTGCTAACGAATTGATTGTGGTTATACAGATATGCGTAATGATGAATGGCGGTTGATGATGCTTAGCCATGGTTGGTGGTGGGTTCTTGTTCATTGTGAAGGTTGATGGTGGTCGATGATGGTTGATGTTGGTTCCTAACAGCCCTCGACCAGAATTGGGTTGGACGAGTAGGTATGGGTGGAGTAATCAAGGCTTACAAATGGAAACAAATGATGGTTTAATGAATTTACATGATGGTTTATCATCGTTCATTCTGGTTCAACATGAATTTTCAAAAGCGAAATCCGAACTCATGGGTATTAGCGGCAAGCCCACAAAAATCCAGTGCCGTTTGAAATTCATTGAGCTTGTTTATTCCTTTTAGTCCCTTGATCTCTTTTGAAGAGGTTTCTGTGCATCTGGCAAAGGGAAGCATCGTGCCGTCCTATTTAACATGATTAATGAGGTTGCTCCCAGTGTTCCATTTGGGCGGCTGGTGGAAAACACTGTGACGACCCGCATCAATAGGCATCTCGTGGTGGCTCCGCGACACTTCAAAAGTCGGAAACAACAGTCACTTCTGTCACATAGTTGGAGGAGTTACCCTCTGGTTATTTAACATAGCCATGGAAAATGGCCCATAGAAATAGATGGTTTACCTATTAAAAATGGTGGATCTTTCCATGGCAAACTCTTAGTCATAACCAGATGGTAAACTTTGAATTTTCCATCCCAACCCTGCTGAAACCTCAAGTTTCGGACAGTTGGGTACCCGGTGAGGTGATCGACCCGCCACTGCTCAAAAATTCTTTTGGCGCTTAAAATCACATGATTTACCCTCCGGTAATTCAATATTGCCATGGAAAACCCATTTATAGATGATTCACCTATCTTTTTTTCCAAAAACTAGTGATTTTCCATACCTATCTTAGATTAACAAAGGGTACCCATCTTGATACAGATGTTCAAACACCATTTCATGCACAAGGTTTAACCACTGTAAAGCAGAACCCTCTTGGAGGACTCTACAGCCAAGACGCCACTGGTCTGCTGAAACAAGGTGACGCTCTCCCAGAAGCGTGAATAGGCTTGGTTGCTTCGGAAAACGATCAGAAAACCTCAGGTGTCGTGGTGTTCCTTGGGTTAAGTTTGGGGTATGATATGGGTTTGTTTGAAGCCGGATACCCCCCAAAATTGAGGGTGGATAGATGAGTTTTCCAAAATGCGATGTTTTGCTACAAGGAAGTCACAGCAGTCATTGTCCCAAGGTGCCAAGGGAAGATCCAAACCTGCCAGCTACAGCAACTTTCAGGAGCCTAAACAGCAACTTCGATCTGTGATTCTGGTCAGTTCCTCACTTGGCGACTGCCAAGAAAAACGAAACCTTTGGTTCGATGTTGCATTGCCATGGCCAACAGTTCCACATAGTTTCATCATGTTTCATCATCCCAGTCCTAGCCTAGTTGGTGTCACCAAGGGGCCCAAAACAAAGGTGAAGCTGGACCAAATTGTCATGATCCCCTCCATCTCCAAGCTGTCATTCCCCTGGAAGCGCAGGGCTTGAGTCATGTTCCGCCTTAAAAAAGCGCTGAAAAGTCGCCTGTTTTGTCCAGTGTCCAGTCATTCACCAGCGTGTGCTTATATAAATTATGTTGCATGTTCTGTATGAGACCGAATCCCATCGGAAACTGGACTAAGTCGCTTCGCCACCGTTTTCGGCTTTACGTTTCCATCTATTTGCAGGTGATGATTTTTGCACGAGCTGTTGAGAACATTTCACCCAGCACCCATGTTGGATCCTTCTCGCTCTCAACGGATTGATGGAGCAGCACCTCGGCCAAGCTGGTGGGTGAAGATTGGCTGCATTTGTTGCGTCAGGGAACTTGAATCTGCCATAATGGGAAATCCCCTGGAAAATAGGCCGCTAATCATGGACCCTCCATTGAAATCGGAAAATAAGACATTCATATCCATCCATCCTGTGGAACCTCCATTTTGGTCCTGGAAGCCATTGAGTGAGGACGCCGAGCAGCAGTGATGATGGCGCAGGGCAGGGACCACACCAATGCTTTTGGGATGACAGATCCACGTCGCTTCAGCAGCACGCCCATGCCCCAGACCTCGAGGTGTGGGGCGGTGTGGGGTACCGGGGAAGCCCCAAATGGTGAAGCAACAAGCCATAGGGAATCCATGGGGATTTATAAAGTTAACCTACTGCTATATTAAGTTTAACTTACAAAAGTGATGGTGAACTGAATAAACTAACATCATGAATATCAAAGCATGATTAAGCATGTTTGGGAACATCTATGAAACTGTTTTATCCCAAACACCAAGCATGATGACCAACCCTAGTTTGGTACCAATCCAGGAGCTGTGACATTTGTAATGTGACTCATGTAATGTGATCATCTCCGCACATGTGGGATCGAAATCAGAGTGGCCACGACAGAATGGGAGATAATGTCAACGACAATTAGATGGTACCCTCCAAATAGTCACACTATGGTACATAAATGGTACCCTCCCAATTAAACAACCTAGGGGTTTATAAATCCAGGGCTGACATTATATGCGAATATCTCTGTAGCACTGGACTACAGAAACAAACATCTACTGTAGAGCCTGTTGGGGGCTGGTTCTACGGATTCAACGGGACTTGGAGAGGCCACCTTCACAATGGACGGAGCTGACCCCCTGGTAAGATCTGGTAATCAAACATGGCAGTTGAAAACCCACCATCTGTTGATGAGTTTCCCATTAAAACCTTCATTTATTGGGAATTTCCAGTTGCCGTGTTTGATTACCGGAAGGTGGTTGAATGATTGCATGTCATCCTCATCAATCATCAAATTATTTGCGAAAGATTGGCCAATTTTTTCCAAATATGGATCCAGATCATTAGTGACATCCTCACGACTAATGTTTTGCTGCGTAATATGCCATACTTCACGGCCTATGGTGCCATGCGCCCAGCAACTCCATGCTTGTAGTCAATCATGATTCTCCAGAGGCCGCTTTCGAAATCGGCGCCTGTAAATCACACCCTGCATGAGCATGGGCCCCAAACATGTTCCATGTGAGGTTCACTTAAAATGGAAGCAATCAACAGAGATGATGGGGCATAAGTTGACAAAAGAACATCAACAAAACTTCTACCACCTGAATGCACTGGAGAGGGACCAATGGATGATAATCATCGACATGACTTCTAATGATGAGGTGGGTGTACCCCGTGGACCATGTTTGGCCACTTGAGGTTTCGACCCTTACCATGACAATGTTTAATGCAAACAAAATGGCAAACTTTCCAGATCGCCACGTTGATTTTTAACGCGCACCCCAGTATCCCCGAGTTTCATTGGTGAAGGTTGATGCTGGTTCCCAGTTTTCTTGGCAAAACCTCTTAAATAGGACCCGTCCCATTTTGGTATTAGCGGGCAGGCCATCCATCCACTTCGCTCCCGGCCTCTGCAGCGGGGAGCTCTGGTGTGACTTGAGCCCGGATAAAGGATATGATGTGTGGAAAGGATAGCAAGGGGCCAGTGTAATGCGAAAAAAAATAGGTGAAGCCAGGAATCAACCATCACCATAAAAAAAGTGGTGTTATTGTTGGGTTTACACCTGTTTGGATGGACAATGATCGCACATGATAAATGGCTGGATACTGGGATGTGTTCGATATTATGCACCACTGTACTCAATAGATAGCACCGATTTCAAATATAACACATAATGAAATCTTGATATTGGGGATTTTCCACACGCCAAACATGGAGAATTGAGTAAACAAAATGGACTTCACAGGAAGACATGCAAAGAACCATCCGGTTGCAAGTGCAGCCACCTACTGGGTACACCCTTGCTGCACTGATGATTGCATCAGAGCACATCTGGGTTCAAGTGATCCTAAATCAAATGACCACGTGGAGAAAGCATGATAAAACCAGGCATAGAGATGATGATCCACGTTCTGATGCTGCCATCATTGGACAAGTATGCAGGTCTACTTCGCTGAAATCAAACGCAGAAGCACTCAGAATGTCTGTGGCGGAGAGTTTTCCCATCTTTCCACTTGATGTAATCATGTTGGGCTTCCATGTTGAAAGTTTAAAGTTTAAGGTCTAGCCAGTGAAATTGCAAAAAAACACGCACATCTTTCAACCAAGTGCAATGTTGCAGGTTCATCATTTTTAACTGTCCCACGGGTAACACACCTCTGGTTTATGAATACGGGGTAAATTCAATACTAACAAGATTTTACAGTAGAATTAATAAACCCATATTACTATTTATGGAGCCCATATTTAACCCATATTAATAAACCGAAGAGGTTCCACAATCTAATCGAATCCAAGCCGTATATCTATGGAACCTCTGGGACCCGAACCAGCGGTGAACATGGGACCCTGAGTGCAGCACATGGGTTCAGGGTTCAACTCCTCGATTTGCATCTCCTCCTGTAGAGAAGATCGCAACAAAAAGCTGCCATCGCAACGAATTGTCCCCGAATTGTCTCCGGATTGTTCTATGTTACTTGGTGGTCCAAGATTTCCACAGTGGTTTCCAATATCTCCCAGGGTTTTTCTCTGCATGTTTCATTCTTTTTGGTTTTAACATGTTTTACCGCACTTTTTTGAACATCTTCCATCATCTTCCCTCCACGTTCTTCCGTTGGTTCCCCCCCACTTCTTCCATCTCCAGTGGCGGCCCTCGACGTCGACGTCCCACCTCATCTTCTAAGAGCCGACGTCTTCGACGCTCGTCCTCCAGAAATTTCTGGTGGAAACTCTGGGTTTTGACCTTCAAGACTGAAGGGTTTCCTGCTTCAAAAATGCTCACAATATTGACAAAAATATATCAAGAGAGGTGTTTCTTTGACTGCGCACATATGTGGTTTATGGTTTCAATTCGCCAGCCCAAGAACCAGTTATATATTCGCAGTCTATGGTCATCATCCCAGGCATGGAGCAAAAATGTTCGAAACCAGCAGCTCTTGGCAGGATGTGCTTTGGGCAGCAGCCAAATGCTTAGCATTTTTCAACGCACAAGATAGCACAAGTACAGAAGCCATGGTTGATTCATGCCTCTTAAACCTTTGCATGGGACCTGTCAAGACCTGAATGAACTTCTGGAATTTCTGTTGGGGCCTCATGATCCGACAATTCCAAGGATGCCAAGGCATAAAAGATGGTGATGGATCTTCATAAGGCACTTCCTAGAGTAGGATGACACCACCCATTCCAACCATAAAATAGAAAAGGCCCATCCGAAAATCGAGGACTTCTCACACTTTTCTTGGTACCCTCCGGTAATCAAAAGTAGCAATTGGAATCGCCTATAAATATCTATAAATGGATATAAATTGCATTTTGGTAGGAACATAATCAATAAATGGTACATTTTCCATTGCCGTGATTGAGTACCGGAGGGTGCAACCGATTTTTCTCAGGTCGTATTCCTGCTCGTTGCTTCACAGCAACCCGATCCTCCAACTTGGCGTGTCTCAGTAGCCCAGAAAAGTCATGTGAAGCCTCAACCTCTAAACCATACCCACTATTACCATTAGTGGGTGGTATAAACAATGAAAAAAGGGGGGCTGTCGGCTGTTTGTTGTTGGGACCACACGATGCTCCTTCATTGATGTTGTTTGTTCTCATTCCTATCCAACCTACCATTCAGCAGTTGGTATAGCCGAGTGCATACAACATCCTTTGAGCAAACGACTTGTCACCGATGACCGTCTCACCATCTTCCTTGAGGTACTCCTGTCGCAGCCGCTTCAGAGTGGCCAGGTATATGCTGCCATCGAGCATCCTGGCTGCCGCCGGTTTTTTTGTCATCCGCCCGGGCGCCATGGCACCACAGCTCGGGCCTCACCAGTGGTGGAGAGATGAGCATCGCTCAGCCAACCGGTAAAGTGCCCGCTGGGCCTCCATGGTTTTGCGCCACTCTCGATAGATCGACTGCCCTTAAAGGTCTCGATCCTCACCTGGCTCAATGCTGACTTGTTGCGGTCCACTCTATGGACCTTGATCTTCAACATGTCTCTGACCTCGGTGCCAGCTGGATCCAGCTGACTTTCCTCATCCAGACCAAAATCATAGTCATATGGAAGACATGCCGGTTTCATGACTGCGAAATGCATTTGTTTTTCGATAACCTTGTCACTTGAACATGTTTGGTAATCGGACCTACCTACCGATTAGCAACTTTCAGGATCCCAGGAATTGTCGATCCTTTCTATGTATAATATTATATATATATAATTATATTTATATATATATACGTAATATATGAAACTTTCAATTTCGCATCAATCTGACCTGCCCCGGGCCTCTCGTTAAGGGGGGAAATTCCACCACTTCGCGCCTCGTCATTCTGGATGCGAAGGTGGGTCAACTCTTGTCTGGCCCGCATGCCTTTCCTAAGAAAATCAAGGGGAAATCTGGGGGAAAAACCTCTGAAGACATTTGCTGTAGGCAAAAACCATAGTAAAAAAATGTAAAAAAACTACGACCATATTTATGAAATCGCTAAGTCGCTAAGTTGTAGATTGGGATCAGTGACATCTGCAATGTTTTTTTTGTGATTCGTTTAACGCTGCTTAGTTTGATTTCCGCATGAAGATTGAACATGGAAAGAACCATCCAGTACCACAGAAAGATTGGCCTAGAAATGAAGATCATGCCTGGTGATCGTACCTGGCATGTTGATATATGAGCAATCAAAGGACATTTGTCCGAGCAAACTGGTTTTGCATGGCCAGGTAGGTTACCAAAGATGGAATGGCCAAGAATGGCACAGAAGGTTTGCTGACCCGCGACAAGAGCGACAAAAAATCAGTGGAGGTTCCCCTGCAGCCCGAGACACAAGAGAGTTTGAAGCCGAAGCACGGCCCGGAGCCGCAAGCGTTCCTGGGGCTGGCGGGTCTCACTTTTCAGTACCCTAGAGGCAACGTAAAAAAATCCTTATGTATAGATCACTTGTATACAAGGATTGCTGCTAACAAACTGAAACCAAAAAGGCTTGGGAAAGCGTACCTAGCATCGCAGCTGCCCATCTTTTCTGTGCCGGCTACATCGGTTCTACTTTAGATTCGTGGCAGCCCCGGTCCTGCTCATTCACCACTGCGCGTCTCTGAAGGGCCTGCAAGAATGGGAAAGGTCCTTACCTGAAAGAAAAAAACATCAAACATGAGGTTGCCAACCCATGTTGTAAACTCACTAGAAACACCCCAATGCTAGCAGTTGAACTTCAACCTTGCTTTTGGATAACTGGGTATATTTTCTAATTTCATCAGCCATCATCAAGACCCTAAGATCCACGAAACTTTCATCTGCTCCGGTGGGTTCAACAGGCACCGAACCTGCACCCGGCTCAGGTGTACTCGACAGGATCTCTGAATCACAGATGCGGCACTGCCTCTTTTCCTGGAAACGGGATTTTCAACTGAGGATGAACTGAGAATTGTCACTGGAAAACAAAGATAGCTTCAAAACAAAGCATGAAATGTATTGAAATGTACACAGCAGGTATCAAATCTGGTAACATCAGTGGTTTGAACAACTGAATACCACGACTTCCCCATGATGGGCGGCACCCGTCCTCAAGGCCTTGGTGTTGACAATGCTGGGGGAATTTCAATGGGTCCTCATTGGGACTACTTTTTTGTGCCCAGCAGTGAACCGCACAGAAACCCCACAGAAACCAACAAAACACACATTCATGCCACACTGCCAGCCCCTGGTTAACACGGTTAACACCCCCAATATTATCTAGACAATATTATATATAGATGAGTACTGACTAAGCACACTGCCAGCCTACCCCCAATATTAGGTGAATACTAAGGGCATCGTTTTCAATCGCGACCACTGGATGCCCCCACCAAGCGTTGATTCATCAGCAGGGCCAGGGCCAAAAAACTGCGACACTTGGCTTGAACCTGGAAGCCAAGTGCTGGGTTGAAGTGGCCAATTTCAACAACATCACCATTTAAAAAGGACAAACACATGAGGTTTATCAATCAAGTAAGAAATTTAATTACATATGGGATTTTGCGTGTTTATTGAATGAAGGGGAAAGTTGTTGATTAGAATAACATTTCATGATTTGTTTTAATGGCAGTGACAAGTTTTAATTGTCAATAAAAACGGATATATATATATATATATACATATGCACATATTATATCTACATATATATATATACATCTATATATGTACAGGTCAAATAAATTATCATGTGTTTGAAACAAAATTTCCGCCAATGAAATACAACGAAAAACTATTGTGTGGCATCGGATCTGCTCATTTTAGGGTGTCCAAATGTAGGGGAATTAGTCAAGTCTTAGGAAACGATTTGTAATGTGGTAAACGGTCGCCAGGGCTGTAAATCCCAAGTAGAACTGCGGCAATTTAAGGGTCATTACATCAGATCTCTGAACAAACCCAAGGCCAAAATGGCAGGCAACACCGGAAATCAAACATGGTTCCCTCGAGTGGGGTGGTTTCCTTCAACCAATACTTTGAAACCGTTTTGCCACCCAGGAGGCGTGAAAGCTGGGGGGTTTTGAAGTCAGTAGCAACTCACCATCATTTGGTTTATCAATAGCTGGGGAAGCGGCCCGTAATAGTTTAGTAATGATCATCACTATCAATGGTTTGGTGGGAAAGGTTCTTCAAATGGTAGATTTGCACAGTTGGGAAGCAGATCAAATTTATGCACCGTTTATCAATGTTTACCAGTAGTGCCGCACAAAGGCGGTGGCAGAAGTTTCAAAAATAGAAAAATTACTTTACTTCGAGTTATCCCCACCATGACATTTATACATTCCCCACCTGCCAGGTGAGGGTTATTAGATTTTATCAGAGTTGTTCTCCTCCTCGGCTAGCTGTCCTCCTCGTCCTTCTCCTCCTCCTCCTCTTCCTCCTCCTCCTCGTCCTCCGCCTCCGCCTCCTCCTCCTCCTCCAGTTTCTCCAGTGTGCACTGCTGGGCCTCAACCAGGGACCTTCCCAGCTCAGTGTGCTGGACCTGCACCGGACCTAAGCTCAGTGTGCACCGCTGGACCTCAACCTGGGACCTTCCCAGCTCAGTGTGGATAGGTGGACCTCAACGGCCAGATAGAATGACAAAAGATATGCCAGATAGAATGTCAGATAGAATGCCAGAAGATATGCCAGATAGAATGCCAGAAGATATGCCAGATAGAATGCCAGAAGATATGCCAGATTGAATGCCAGAAGATATGCCAGATTGAATGGCAGTTGATTGTTGTGAATCACGGATGGCAGAGCGAACCCGCTGATGGACTGAAAGGTGGTTGGAGGTGTGTTTTATTGGTACAGTGGGCAGTGGTCACCTGGTCGGTCCCCTCGCCCACAACTGCTGGATGTAGCGTGGTGTAGTGCAGCTGTAGTTGTAGCTGTAGTGTAGCGGAGTTGTAACTTGTGGTGTAGTGTACTTAGCGTAGTATAGTTGCAGTTGCATTTGTGGTGGTGTAATGAGTGTAGTGTAATGTAGTCTAGTGTGGTGTAGCGTAAAGAAGCGTAGTTGTAGTGGTAGCTGTAGTTGTAGTTAGTCTAGTGCAGTGTAGTGTGGCGTGACGTGGCGTAGTGTAGTGTAGTGTTATTATGTAGTTGTAGTTGTAAGTGTAGTTGTAGATGTAGTTGTAGTTGTAATGTAGGTGTAGGTGTAGGTGTAGGTGTAGGTGTAGGTGTAGGTGTAGGTGTAGGTGTAGGTGTAGTGTAGTGTGTGGAGTGTAGTGTATGTAGCGTAGTGGAGCGTAGTGTAATGTAATTAGTGTAGCGTACTGTAGTTGTAGTTGTAGTTGTAGTTGTAGTTGTAGTTGTAGTGTAGGTGTAGTTGTAGTTGTAGTTGTAGTTGGTGTAGTGTAGTGCAGTGAAGTGTAACTGAGTGTAGTGTTGTAGTGCAGTGTAGCCTAGTGGAGTGTAGTGTAGTGTAGTGTAGTGTAGTGTAGTGTAATTAATGTAATTAGTGTAGCGTAGCGTAATGTAGTTGCAGTTGTAGTTGTAGTTGTAGTTGTAGTGTAATGTAGTGTAGTTGTAGTTGTAGCGCAGTAGCAGTTGCAATAAAAACTGCTACAAAATCCTCGCGTTTTGCTCACTTTTGGCAATGTACAGAATCCCTTGCACCTGCCACACGCAACGACATCTGAACGTCCAAAAATGTTCCGAGACCGTCAGTGTTTAACACTTTTGACTTCGAAATGTGCTTCGCGCCACAACCGCGTGCACTTATTCGACATGTCAACTTCCAAAAGTGGTCCGAGAATGCTGCGTTTTGTACATTTTGACTTGGGCATGTGCTTCGTGCCACAACGGCGTGCACTGATTTGACGTCTCAACTTCGAAAAGTGATCCGAGCATGGTATGTTTTGTACATTTTGACTTCCAAATGTGCTTCGCGCCACAACGGCGTGCACTTTTTCGACGGCTCAACTTCAGCTTGTTCACTTGCAAATGTGCATCGCGCCACAACAGGGTGCAACTTTTCTTCTCTCATCTGGCCAGATGGCTCCGCACCCGCCGCTTTAGCGAGCCTACTTTTCGACCCTCCGGAGCCACAAATCATTGGATAAAACACAGGGTTTCGCGACTTTCCTAGCATTTGGCGCACGTGCATCTTCTTTCTTCTCCCTCTTTCTCTTCTCTGATCTTCTCTCTTCTGTCCATATATTGTCGGAAGTTTGACTTCTAAACTTCCTTCGATCAATCACACCCAAATTTTTGGTGGTTCAATCATGTTTAATCTCCAATGTTAGGTTAATTCGGTTCATGTGGCTAAAACATGCTAAAACAATAATAAACCACCCCCCAGTCATCACTATTTTTATAGGTGGTATGGTTACCATTCCCAGTCATGGGTGATTTATGACATTGTTTTACCCACATTAATTCACCAGTTGCTTGATCAATCCAGGCTTGGGCTTCTCATGCTGCGACTGCGCCTTGCTGACGGCTTGCCGTTGCAACTTCCCAAGGCTTTCTTCCCACTGTCTGGCTTCCTGACGCGGAGACCATGGCTTTGGCTAGCATGTGTTGTAAATGTGTATATACATATACATATGCATACGTGTATCTAAATTGACATGAAATAATGAAAACGAGTTTATCTACCAACATTGAAGAATTCATATCCGATTTCTCATTGGAATTTTCAAGTCGCTTATTTGGAGGTATCTAACCTGTGCCAGGTTTATGTAAAACAGACATGCATACGAATGTCCACAAACAAGTGGCCTGACAACAAGCACTAAATACGAATCATTTCAACCTAGGGAAACTAAAGATCAAAAAGGGGGAGCTAAACATCAACTGCAAGTGAAGTCAAAAAATTTAACGGTCCAAATGACCCAACAGTAGGATATATGACAACCACCCATGAAAATCTTACACCCAAACATGGGGACGAAACTCTAAATTAGATGCCAGGCTGGCATGCCCAAGCGGATGGTAGAGATCAGTCTGGTAGCCTTCAGCAATCATATGTTTGTATCTTTGTCCAGACCCCGCCATGATCCACTCCTGCAAACTGAGGGTGGGTCTATGTAAGAACCATCTTGGAATAAATCTTCTAATTCCTATCGCTAGGTCAGGGTGGGCAAAACTTCTCCAGCTAGGGAAATTAGAATGATCCATGTTGGGTTCTTATTGTGGACCTGGAGATGGAAAAAAACACCATGTGGACATTGCTCAATTTTTTTAACCTGCAAGCATGGATGGCACAGAAAACAATTTTCTTTTGAATCAAATTGCAACCTAATTTGAACCATGCCCACATGTAGCAATACTCCAGGATGGGTATCTTGCCAGTTCGTTGATTCCTCGTTCAAAGTTGAAACTAGTACGGGATACATGACACACATTGAAACCATCCAAAAAAAAACATATTATCCCGGCAAGAGACCCTAAACAGTTTGCAGTTAGGATTCTAAAGGGAAAGGCGGAAAGGACCTAAAAGCATCGGTGGCTGCAAGCTAGCAGGACAAGAGGGACCCTAGTAGCGAAAAGAAGAGATACCAGGTAAGACTCTACAAGTTCCCTTTGTGAAAATCTCTCGTGCGCAAGATCTCCTTGACGGGTTCTGTGTAGAAGCTGCGGTGCAAGATCCCTGTGTAAGGCTATCTGTACAAGGTGTCTATAGGAGATCTCCACAGAAGATCTTTGTAAGGGGCCTCAAACTAAGATCTCTGTTCAAGCTATCTAAACATGATCTCCGGGAAAGACCTCTGCTCTCTGCACCAGGTCTCTGTGCAAGATCTCCATAAGAGGTCTCCTGGCAAGGTGTCTGCACAAGATCTCTACAAGAGCTCTCTCTGCACAGATCAGTATAAGAGGTCTCTTGGCAAGACCTTTGGACAAGGTATCTATAGGAGATCTCTTGGCAAGATCTCTTTTTGAGATCTCTGTACAAGCTCTCTATAAAAGCCTGCTTGGCAAGATTTATTGAAGAGACCTCTTGGCAAGATCTCTGCGACAGATCTCTATGCAATGTCTCTGTACAAAGTCTCCAAAAGAGGTGTCCTGGCAAGATCCTGTACAAGCTCTTTATAAAATGTCTCCTGGCAAGATCTCTGAAGGGTCCTTTTGGCAATATCTCAACAGATCTCTATGCAATGTCTATGTACAAGATCCCTTTATGAAGTCTCCTGTGCAAGCTCTCTAGAAGAGTTCTCTAGGTACGATTTATATTAGAGACCCTCTTGGCAGCGGCAAGGTCTCTGCAACAGATCTCTAAGCACTGTCTCTGTACAAGATCTCCATAAGAGGTGTCCTGGCAAAATCTCTGTACAAGATCTCTATAAGAGGTCTCTTGGAAAGACTCTTGAAGAGATCTCTCTAGAAGAGATCTCTCTAGAAGAGATCTCCATGGAAGATCTCTGTTCAAGCTCTCTATAAAAGATCTCTCAACAAGATCGCTACTCTCTTCACCAGGTCTCCGCACAAGAACTCTATAAGAGCTCTGTTGGCCAGATCTCCGTAAGAGGTCTCTTGGCAGGATCTCTGAACCAAGATCTCCATAAGAAGTCTCTTGGCAAGATCTCCCTACAAGCTCCCTAAAAGAGGTCTCTTGGCAAGATGTCTGTGCGAGATTTCTTCTTTTGCGCCAGTCTGCGCAGTCGAAATGCACATGGACATGTCACAAGAGCCATTTGATGCGAAAATTTGCAGGAAAAATGCCGCCTCAGGCCCCGTTTCGTGCGAGCCTGCGCAATCGAATGCACATGGGCATGTGACAAGAGCCATGTTGTGTGGAAATTTACAGGGAAAATACCGTAGCAACGACCGGGGACATCGGTTTTGTGCAAGCCGGGCAACATGTCACAAGAGCCATTTTTTGGAGAAATTTACAAGGAAAATGCCGTACGCGACGACCGGGGACATCGTTTTATGCGAGTCTGCGCGGTCGAAATGCACATGGACATGTCACAAGAACAATTTCGTGTGGAAATTTAGCAGGAAAAGGCCGTACGCGACGTCCCGGGGCATTTATAATATCTATACCGCCTTGAATGAACACCGGGCCCTAACACCTACCGTAAGAACCCCTCAGTGTGGCCACACTGTTTGGGGAATAACCGCCTGTATGGCGACCATCCATCCAAAGGTTGGTACATCCTGAAAGTGCAGGTCGAAGCATGTTGAATCACTCATTGATTCTGCTGATTCACCCCGCATTTAAGGCATAAATCCATGCCCAAACTCAAAGACACCGCAACATTGACCCAGTATCCAAGCCCTTGGTAGGAATCTTTGGCCATGGCCCCAATCCCGATCTGCAAAATATGAGCCGCCCTGCCTCTTCCCGCTTCCTGGCGGCATAAGAGCAGACATACCATTCACATGAACCGGCCCATGATTTTACGTAGGAATGCATTGAGGTGAAGTTGGGCCCCATTTTGCCCTGCTCATTTTGTTGCCCACCACATGACTGCCAGGCCACGCTTCCATGTATGTGTGAACCACACGCCACTGCAACAACAACGCCTGGTCAGAAAATTAAGCCGAAACCTTCAAAACAAGTCGTGGAAAATCGTTTGACATGTCAAAATTCCTGCTGGTGTCACTAGCCGCATATCGCCAACAATTTTTGAACATACCTTTTGGATCCTTTTGGACTGTGGGGTGACGCAATGCATATGCCAAAAGCGTTGGATGGCAGCCGGACCTCACAATGATCCTCACTTTTTGGAAGTAAAGCTTGCCAGTAACTAGTCAGGACTCAAAGTGCATACATGTTCAAAATTTGTTCCCCTCAGAAGTTGTGGTTCTGTGGGCAGGAGAACAAACAACACTTGTCGACGGGAAATGTAAGGTTGAGACGTCATCTGTTTTTTTTTGCATCAACCTTTGAAGACATCAAATCTACATTTTGGATCATTTTGGGTGGTGAACCCTTCAATCAGGTAGGAAAAATCACCATGTTGATGAATAATTACAAAATCAAAGAATCAAACAATATATGGCACTTTTAGACATTGAAATCACAAATAAATGGCCATGCTCAGGACAGGCAGAATCACTTGGCCTCCTGAGACGTCGTCGGAATCTGGCCTAGGGGCTCCGCATCACGCATGACGATGGTGATCAGAGCCCATTGGTATGTATAAATACGCCGTCTTTCCTCTGAAACAATGATACGGATAAATATTCTACTATATTTGGAGAATCTAATGTAAATGTGTGAGCATGCATGCGTGCACAAATTCTGAAAGCGCGAAAATGCAGTGTATAGAAACATATTTACAGACATGAAAATGCGAATAAACACACATAAGGGCTTAATATAAACATAAGCATGTACGCACTGAAGAAATGCAGGGAGGTAAGAACACACGCCTATAGATGAAAATACGCGTATACATACATTGCAGTACATTAAATACATTGCATCGCATTACGCCACACTACATTAGATTACCTTACGTTACTTTACTTTGTCTTACACTACCTTATATTACGCCACATTACATTACACTACATTACATTCATACATGTCAAAATAAAGTATTTGTTTAAATAAATTTGAAGAGACACATTACTATAAACCTGTGCCAATGCACAGGCATGCAAACTGGAAATAAAGGCATGCAAGAAAAGGAACCAAACATGTCTACAAATGACTGTGTGCAAGAACACCTAAATACTCACCAATGTACCTATATAATAGGTTAAACAGATGCTCATGTAGTCGTAGATGTGGAAATAATATACGGTCAAAATAGGTGAAGACTATGCAAATACACAATATCCGGAAATATGTGCGCCTGTCTGTGCGTTAACATATGTATATATATATATGTGTGTGTGAGATGCTGTCAAACCCTTTACATTTCAGTAGTTACTCATATCGGATATCGCTTTTTTTTGGGGTGCATATCACTTTCCAGTGTTTTTTGTGCCATTATATATTGCTTTTGGAGGGGGCCCTATCGCTTTACGTTTCGTTCACATCAAGCCGTAACTCACATATTTGTGTATATGTGAAAACAGGTGTAGAAACAAGTAAAAAGCGTCAATATAAAAAACGCAGAGACATGTAATGATGATTACAGTAAAATTCTCTGTGAAAAGCGTTGATACTGCTTCAGGGTAACGGAGCCATGAGTGTAAACATGGCTAATCTGAGATCCTTTGCAGAAAGGTTGGACAACATAAGCTCTCATTTGTGACAAGAGCTATGAAAGCTACCAATCAGTGCGTGGTCCCTTTCCCAACAGCTGTCCCTCGGGCCTGGCACCGGGCAACCAGCAACACGAAGCGAAATTGCTTCCTCCTGCGGCCGTCCGCAAGCATTGCCTGGAGCGAGGGAGCAACGCGCACTTGTCCGGCACTTGGCCGTCGCCTAAGCTGGTCCGGGTTTCCTTATAGGGATATGGGAGCCCAGGCATTGCGCGGTGGACATGGCGTGCCCACGCGGACCTAAGTTTTCTTTGGGGCAGGTGAAGTTTCCCGCGGCGCTGCTACACCTGGATTCCGCCCACCCACCAATGGCAACAACCCTGGGCATTGAACACTTTGGTGGGAAGTGGTTGGGGTGAAAGGTTGGGGGCTGCGACATGGGCGAGGCATCTGGTACATTGAATTCTGTGTTCATGCCAGATATGCAACGGTCGTACCTAATTAGGCCAGGCTTTTTGAACGAAGCATGGCATTGGATTACGGCAGATTCTAGGTGGAAAGTTGGACTGGATTGAATTTTGGGGAATATCTTTTGGTGTCACGAAGGCAACACCTCCAGAAACTGTAAAGCCATGGTTATGGAAAGGCTTCCTTCGAATCAAGCTGTGTCAAAAGTAGAACCAGATCGTAGTCCTAAACTTGCTGCGTGCTCGACATGTTTCAATGCTTCGACTTCAATATCGGGAACAATGCAGGAACCGAAGTCTTTTTCACCTAAATAAAGGGGTGACACCGAAACCCTTGGTAAGGGAACAAAATCGACGGAGCGATCTTACATAGCTTGGCAATGAGCCATGCCTTGGCATATCCCCGTTCAGGATTTTTTCTCATCATGAAATCATCCGCAAGTGTAAGATGGCCAGTGTCTAAAATAATTATATACATATACTCACATATATATATATATATTTCTATGGAAATTGTGGACAGCTTAGACAATTTAGACAGTCCATCGGGCTCGGTGAAACTGAACTGTTGTTTTTTTCCATGGTAGAGTAGAGTGGCGGGAAATTTCCAAGGTATGCGGCAAGCCCAAAGCCACAACCACAACCCATCCATCTATGTTTCCCTTAGTCCATTGGGAAGGGTATTCAACATCAAAATCTCCAAAGGTTTTCCTTGGTTTGGGGTGACCATAGGTCAGCACACTGCGGTAGCCTCTATGGAGCCCCAAGTCACGGCAATCTATAGACAAATAGACGGAAAGAAGCCCCTGAAACGGAGTAACCATCCAAGAACCCAAGTGAATTTCGAAGGTGTTTGGCAGGTTAACCAACTACAAACACACGGAATGTTAGCACCTGTTGCTTGAGCCATGCGCACACGATAACATTGTAATATGGATAGACTATATACAGTGAGACCTATATAAACAACAGAAGGAAAGGCTGAACAATCTCAATGATCAATACATCTTTGGGTTTTCTGACCAACTTTTTGAGCCCAGTGAAACTGAAATTCAACATGTTTCAACCACCGCCCGAACGCCAGGAGGTCCGATTTTTTCACCCCGCGTTAGTATGCGTCAGTGGGACCTCCATGGATAACCTCCAGTTGACTTGTGGTCTGCGGGTATGCCGCTCTTAAAATGGTGCGGACTGCATTCGATTTTTCGCTTTATTTGTTTTTTTCATTTTTGTCCCCGTCTTTTGGGCTGGATGCTACACCCCTTATAAAGTATCACTGTCTTGGGACCTTTCCAATTCATAAAGTGGTGGCTTATCCGGCGACACCAGATGGAAGAGGTCACCCCCCAAAAAAATTGAAGAGCGACATCATTTCTATATCAAAATTCCAATAAAAACAGGCTTTGAACCAACCAGGTACGAGGAATATGAAATTTAAATCATATAGTTTATATATATATATATATATGTGTGTGCATGTTATGGGTTTGTCTGAAAAAAAACACCTAAACATCTTAATGACTTGTAACTATTTGCCATTATTTGCCTACTTAAAGTTTCTATTTTAGGAGGACAAATTAATCCAGCTATATCCCCAAATTACCACCATAAGAGCATTACTTACTGGTAGGGCACCTAGTTTTGATGGTTAGGTCAACTGCGGCAACTTGTATACCATCATTATATCACAAATATATCTCTCACAGTTTATACCTCGGCTCTATCCCATACATATCCGTTAACCGTCAACATCATATAGCCATAGATCCTAAAACATATGTGCCTGTGCATGAAGCATCTGCCTGGAAGATAGTTCCACTTAGAAACTGATTCGTAAGTGGGTTCCTAATCCACTTGTGAATGCGATAAGCCCAGTTACGATTCGTGCAATGCGGTGCCCCGGTTCGTTAGCTAAGCTAGTTTATAACTCCAATAACTACTGTTTATGCTAGATATATCTAGTCACCTAATAGAACAAACACCAAGTCACCAAGCAATGGGACAATGCTGGGATAGAAGTTGGAGATAATGGGATGATAGTTGGTTTGTTAACAGAAAAACTTAAACATATTTGGGGCATCACATTGGCCAAGAACTATTGTAGTCATTTAGGATTCCATTAACTAAAAAGCATGAATTAATTACTTTAAAATGGCCACGACAAGAAATATTCAATTATTATTTAATTATATGTTATGATTACTGCATTTTTCCCACGTTATTAAGGGTAACCCATACTATTTTGTACAAAATAAAAATGGGTAACTACTGGGCCACTAGTATTAAATAACTCACAATGGGTAAGCCCAAAATCGTTCGAGATTTTGCCCATACTAATAGTTAATAGTTACCCATAACAGGATCCCCAAAAATGGCAATTATGGGTATCTATTAGTACCCAAAATAGTAAAATATGGCTATTATGGGTAACTATTAGTATCCCATACTATTAGTTCATAATATAACCATAGTATCCCAAAATAATATAACTCAAAAAGTCATGGCCAATGATCTTCGGGATGATCCTTCAAGAAATTTTCCCCGCCTTGGCCAAGAAGCCCCTGCAGGAACCTTGAATCCGCCGCACGGCGAAAACGCGCTCTGCCACACCTTGATTCCACTGAGATTGCCTTTACTGAAAATGGGGAATGATGGGAGCAGTTATTTTTCTATTAGATGGTTGGTTAACTCTAAGTAGCTCCTTGGCTCCCCATTGAATAGGGAATATATAAGGAATACGAATACCCCTAGCCTCTTAGCTCCCTCCTAACCACTGGATTCTTTTTCATGTTTTGTTTTGGTCATTAGAAAAATGAAATATATTGGAGAACGGCATGTTGGCCAAAATCATGTCATGTTAAAAATATGTTTAATTTACTTTTGTTGTTCTATTCTTACTGCTGTCATGATTGCTCTTGATGAGATATCATTAGTTCAATACCGATTCAATACCCACATTACTGAAACAATAATGATGGACTAAATTGGAATTCATCCATTTTCCCTAATACCAAACACAACCTCAGAAACCCTTGTTTAGTATCCTCTCTAATTGTTCATGTTCACTGGCCGCTTATTGGGGAATTGCATATTGGAGGGTGGGATTAATCATTATCATTATGATGATTGTTGTTGCGAAGCTTGCTATTGCATTTGTTACTATTGCTCTTATCGTCATTGATATATACTACTTTTGTTCTAAGGCTACAGCACCCCCACATGTACTCACTTGCACTGGCAACATCCGCATTGAATTGTGGCTCAACCATGCTCAACCCTCATTTTCCTGAGCCCACCATGCACCAACATTTTCCGGACCGAGGGGCTCAAGTATCGCCGAAGCAAGAAGGTCTGGGCATGGGCCAGTTAGACGTGGGACCCTCTGCCAGACCTTGAATGTGTCACCATACCCATGCGCATCTTGATCTTGTTCAAGAGGGGAAAAGATAGGAAAACAGGAGACACTGCAATCCAGCCATCCAAAAAAATCCAAAAAAAATCACCACCCTGCAACTTGTGCATCCCACATGACCTGAAGATTGAGCCTTTTTTGGTGCCTGAAAAGCTCCATTTGGAGGTGGCTCCCAGGTCGTATTTTGCAAGTCAATGCAAGTCTGGTTGGTGGTATACCTACCCCTCTGAAGAATATGAGTGCGTCAGTTGGGATGATGACATTCCCAATATATGGAAAAACAAAAATGTTCCAAACCACCAGCCAGAAGTCATACTCCGGGGAGATCTCCCAACAAAAAGGTGTTACAAGGTGGCCACAAGCTGTGCTACTGGCACCTCTGAAATCCAAGTCCTGGTCGGTAAAGGTAAGCCTAACCATCGATCCATCCAACTAAATTCGGCAACTGTGGCACTTAAACCACTTTCTTAACCCAAAGACCACATGTACCTTACTGAAAAGCTACACAGGCTATGAAAAATAATGATCCCTTCCACCTCAAGAATGATATCGAAAAATGTGGGTTGTCATAGTCCCCAAATAACTAATATTCTAAGATTGATCAACTACCTCCCGGTATCTTTGATAGTACAACATCCCGTAAAAGCATTGTAATTCATGGCTATCCTCTGGTAATCAACCATGGTTTGCAAGAAAATCCTCCATGTATCTCGATGAGTTTCCATGTACAAGCTTGTTTAGATGATCTTCAAGTGCCATTTTTTTGATCAACGGGATGGATCCAAATCCATCCCCAATCAACAGGTTTAAAGAAATTCAATGATGACCTGGTTGGTGTTTTTAACATGTTTTAACCATCTTGGAAAATGATGGAGTTCGTCAATGGGAAGGATGATATATGAAATGGGAAATAATCCATTGATGTTTGAAACCACCTTCAGCAGTGACAAAAAAACATCCCCAGTCCTGCTGATTAAATCACCAGAAAAATGCCTTCTGGTAATCCAACATAGCTATGGAATAACAATAATAACACCATCGAACGGCAAATCAATCAAGTCAATGGGCCATCTATACCATAGTTCTGTTAAATTCACATAAAACAAGCAATCCCATGAAACCCACCCCCATTTTTTTTGTTCAATCCGTATTAATCACCATGCGAAGCATGATGGCTCGCCCATCAGCAATGGTAGTTTCTTTTTGGCTCGCCGTCACGGCTCGCCTTTGCCTTGCTCTGGATCATCTGCGCGGCTCCGCGTAACTTGGCCTTCAACTTGATGTATTCCTGGCCACGGTTTCGAGTAAAATTCTTCGATTTAACAAGGTTTGGGAAATTGAAAGCGTTTGCTAACTGGATTTCACTCACCACTTAACCATTCATTAATCACCATCACCCTTAATTAATCACCATTCACCAATATATTAATATATCTGATTGGTTTCATAGTGGTTAATAGTGATTATTAATTAATAATTGCTAAATAATGGCCACTATTGCATGATTCTGGCTAAATTCTCATATTTCACTCAGCTATCTTAGGAACATTCCCCGAATCCTAACCATCATTCCACTGAGGGAGAACAGTGAAGTCGTTATAATTCACCCAAATGATTGATCAAAACCTATGAGCTACATTGAGCTACCAGCTACCATATCTATACCAATATCATCAAATATCATTATATAGCAACGATGGGCAGGAGTTAGGGATGGTATCATTAGTAATTATTAATCAAGAATTAGCCGCCTATTATCATAACTTGGGGATGAAGCTTATCAATCAAGAATTAGCCGCCTATTATCATAACTTGGGGATGAAGCTTGTTGGTCTATAAGCACCATTAGTCATTAGCTACAGATATCTACCATGCAAAGCCTAGTATGCCTAGTTACTGGAGTTGTAAACCAAGTTAGCTAACTAGTAACTAGGGGGCACCCAGCATTTAGGGGTATGACCATCCGTCCATTTAAGCCGGCCAATTTCCTTGGTTTTGAATGAGATTTCCCAATTGTACGACAGCAAAACCCTGGGATAACCGCACCCACAGGCAAAACACTGAATTGGTTGGAGATTAGACACTGGAAACCCTTCGCTTTCTCTTGCTAACAAATGGAGGGATTTCATGGAATTTCATGAAAAAATCTCATCTAAACCGTTTCTAGCAAACTATTGATGCGTCATCTTGGATACCCATAAAAACGAAACACAATGATTAGCAGGATGCGCGGGTTGAAACTCAAGCGTTAAACTAGGTAAACTGCCCAACCTAGTCGGTTTTCCCAAACTTTACTAACAGGTTTTTGAGCTGCCCACTGGACTGATCACCGCAGGAGACTAAGAACGAAATGGGCCCCATTGAAATGTAGTTGCAACACATCCCTAATAAATCCACAATCTAGCCTAGCCGCCTAGCCGCCTAGCCCCCTTATAAACATATAAACAAATCCAATAACACCATTTAGACATGGCGACTAATGGTAACCAGGGACCATCTCTCTCTGTCGGACAAGACTCACTCCGCGTTAGATGTGCATACTCCTTGGTTCAGAAGGGGTCATGGTGGGAATCACATGTTTTTTCTCATGGTGGGAGTGGACAAATTTGGTCATGTCTTGGCATTAATTCTCTCTTTCCGGCGCCATCAATGAAATCTCTGATAGTTCATTTTGCTGTCTGGCAAGGAAACATGGCAATGGTAAACCCCTGAAGACGTTTTTGCTGTGAACCATGGGGTGTTTCGTTGCCGTGTTGACCTGAGGATAAGTCAGAAACAAAATCTGGACTATTGACTTCAAGCCATGATCTTGACACATCATCACTACAGAGTGCTCTGTCCAAGAAATTTCATTTAAACAGTCCCATTTCCAATCTCATTTCATCAGGTGTATCATCCCAATACATCCTTATCAAACCAACAGGCAATCATCAAAACTCTCTGGTTTATCCTTTTTAACTTGCTTTTTTTTCATGGGTATCTTCATATTCTCAGACACACCTAATGTTGTTGGTGTATATCCCAAACGATATACCAACTCCACTATACCCCTTACATACACCAGTAACCATCCTTTTTATTTACAATTCTTATCGTTACTATCCATAACAAATGAGCTGCCCCAACTAACATAGACCCTGCCAAGCATGGTGGTCAAAGACTACCTTCATCTAAAGAATCACAACTTTCAATTAACTACTAATTATTATATAGTCCTTCACCATTCATGGCTGTTAAACATTAACTATTCTTAGCTACCATTAACAATCAATACCTGTCATTCATTGATTAACAATAATCAACCATAGTTAACCTGTCATATGATTCACAATAATTAACTATCATGGTTGTTAACCATTCATTCTATCGGCTGATCTCCCTTTTTGGTAACCACTTCACCAAGGCTCCGAGACAAAGGCTCTGGGCGCCGCAACTCGTGCTGAAGCAGGTGCTTGGGAAGCGCTGGGCTTCTGGCGGGTGAAGCGAGAGGCCACCAAGTGATGTTAATTGGTGTATGAAACCCATAGATCATAGACACTTTAGATTCAGAAGATAAACCATGATTTTCTATGATTTTCTATAAATATGATACCATAAACTTAAACTATGATCATGACATATCTATGAATATGATTATATAATCTGATAAAAACTACGGTCATGACATATCTATACCATAAACCAGTGTGAACGCCATAGTTTACGGTGCGGAACAACTTAGCTAGCAAAAAAAGAGAAGAACCCAATATCGCCAAGACTGGCGCCACGGGCTCCCACGGGGGCCTCACCTAATCCCTCTCTTTTCCTTCAGCAAAGTATTTTTTTTGTAGTCCATTCTCTGTCTGATTATCTGATTGTGTTGATTTTTGTGGTCAACCTCTTTGCTGGTTGGGCTTTCCCATTTCAAAGTTGTAGGCCTGAAATCTCCAATCTTGAATTTCTTTAGTTCTCTATTCCATTTGGATATTTCACCTTTTTTGGCTGATGAAAGATAATCCAAAGCAACCTGCTGTGACCGTTCGTTTATACTATAATCCATATTAAAATGTGTGTTTCTTTAGGTCGTTTTTGGAACGAAATTGAGGGCTGCGGATGTTGGGGTTAATTGGATTGGTAGTTGGATTGATTTTCAACATCAAAGTTATATTTCAATCTCGTATCCGCTTCTATTTGCTCCTTACCCTATAAGGTGGCAAGTCCTTAAGAAATAGTCTTTGGCATGGGTTGTCTGTTGGAATTTGTGGGAGTATGGTTTGATTTCAACGCAAAAACCTTCTCAAAAAAAAACAATTAAAGCCCAATAGAAATCCCAAAGAAATCCCTTTGACGCCCCTTAAGAAATCTCATAAAATCCCATAGAAATCCGATTAAAGTCCCATAGAAATCCCATGGAAATCCCCATAAAAATCCGATAGTAACCACGCCTCCACACTTCTCGGCACTTGTGGCACTGCCACAGGCACTTGTGGCACTGCCACAGGTGCAGCTGGGGAGATGGGCTGCGGGGACTGTGGGGAGCTGCCGCCCCCCAGCCTGACATCGCGCAGGGCATCAATCGGAATTTCATTCAACAGCAGGGCAATTTCAAATATGTGTAGATCACATATTATTCTAAAATAAATTTATAATATCAGATTATTTTGCAAATGTTTTATGGGAACAGAAAGTCAGAAATATGTTCTTCTTGTTGATAGACCAGTGTATGGCTACAATGAAGATGAAGGAAGCTGTAAACAGCAGAGGGCATATTTCTTGTTGGGATATGGGCACAAGGCATACGACTAGCTGATCCGAGTCATGTGCAGGTTCTGACCCGCTATTTGCATGCTTTGGGTATCCCCTATTCTTGCAGAACCACAGGTAGGTAAATCCAATACATAGGTTTTCTTCAACTGGGGATGTCAATTTGTGGATGGTGGTTTTGGGGCGTTCCATGGTCGTCACAAAAAATGAGCATTGAACAATCGGAGGTAGCATGGAATATCAAGAACACTTGGAACGAGTTGAACTGCCTTCTGCCCGGGTAAAAATGGGGAATGTTTATTATTTGCAGCTTCTGGTCTACTCCATGAGTTCAAGAAGGGAAACCGTCAGGCAAAAATCATATACTATAATTTCAAAAAGAAAAGCCAACCAGTTACTATATATAGTATTGTAATTTGGTGTTATTTAGCAAATTACTTGAATATGTTTTACATATTATTACTAACAATGAGCCTCCGGCAATGAACCAAACATGGCAATGGAAAATCACAGATCTATAGATGATATTCCCAGCGAACTAAACCTCCACTTATAGAAAACTTCCCAGCCAGCTATGATTGATCATCGGAGGGTAATTCCATTAATTTCCAATAATCAACCAATATATTACAACTATTAACCAATAAATAAATAAATTAATAAATCAATAAATAAAATAAATAAATAAATATATACATATACATATAAATACGCATGGAGATATACATACATATATTTATATAGCATCCCCTCCGAAACCCGAAAAGGTACGATTTTTCACAAAGGTACGATTCCTGGTCTTGGCCCAATTTTTTTTGGTCCGGTCCAGATATCCCGGTGGACTCCTTTTAATTTTTGGTCAGGTCCAGAAATTTTGCCGGGCTCCTGCTGCTCCAAGCATTAACTATTAATTACCGTAAGAACCCCTTAGTGTGACCACACTGTGGGGAGCTTTTCGGAAAAAACATCTTAAATTCAAATTCTATCTGCAACAATGATTGCGTTTTCAAACTGCAATTCCTTTCGCTCTGAGGACCTGGCTCCACTGAGCATCCCTGTGACGGTCTATAGCAGCCAAACCCGCGGAGAAGTCACAGTCCCCGCTTGGAGACTTGTAACAGGTGACAACAGACTCACTCTCATGCGTCACTTCGACTTGATGTCTGGCCACAACAGCGTTGGAAACACACAAGTGTGCGGGCTCTTTTTGCGGTTGAGAGTCCCTGCACCAGGGATGATGTTAATGTTAGTTTTGCCGCATCTATTGGCCTCCGATCCAATGTCTTTTCTGGCAGACAAAGGGCATCAGTGCTTGGTGTCCTGCTGATCAGCCATCTCGAGCTGGTGCCCTATTTAAAAAAAAAAAACGTTGGGGCGGTTTGTGGGCTACAGCCTAACCCACCCACCAAGGTGAAGCTGTGGAAAAAAGGAGGAACCAGGGCTTTTGACTTAACACGTCAGCCTCCCGCACCACCTAGACGTACCAGCCCGGAGAAATTATTGAAAAACAAGAGCTGGATACATAAATCCTAGTCTCTGGAAAAAGAAATCCTGGTTTGCCTATTCGGCTTGCCAAACACGGAGAAAATAGCCGTACCGGACTAGGACCAGAGATTTCATGGAATGCACCAGAAATTGCCAATTCTTGGATCATTTCAACATGATACTTTTTCTTCAGGAAACTGCATATGTTCCCTCAGTTTTTGCGTTCCTGCATTTTTCCAAAGCCGTGACGGTTAAGAGCGCCCATTTTTCTTCATTTTTCCAATGGAAAGATTGTGGATATAGAGCCGGCTGTAATCTGTTGTTTTTTCGCCTTGGGGTTTTGGTCCGAGATATATGCCTCGAGGAACTATAGATCGAAAATTGAGCCCTGAGAGCTGTCAAGCGGACTTGTTCCGAAGAGCGTTAATTTTCCTGTCAATCTGTCACCAAAGGGGTTCTGCACATAGAAACTGTCATAATCTTGTATCTATCGTTTTATCCTGGCACCGTTGGCAGGACCATTACTGATAGCGTTTTTTTTTGCTAGATTAATTCGTGCAAATTCAAGATCGAGGCCCAAAAATCAACCCGGAATTCCAGAATTCCTGCCGGAGACCCGGAGATCAAGCCGGAATTCTTGAATTCCTGGGTGGTCACCCCGGATTCTCAGGAAGGAAGAGGGCCTGGTATATATATATATATATGTTACATATATATATATTTTACACATATATATATATATATATTTACACACACACACATATATATATATATTGTATATAGTAAAAAAAAATAATATATATGTATATATACATATATGTACATATACAGGGGCTATTGGTGCTCAGGTTGCCCCAATTCCAATCAGTGACCATAAAGCACCGAGCGGCTGCTCTTCCAACATCCGAATCTCCAGCTCCAGCTGGTGTTCCTGCGCACGTGGGGATGGCTCGGGAACTCGGAGTGGTGAGTTTTCTCAAAGAAACCACTTAGGAACCAAACATATGGTAAATTATAGGGAAACCAAACACTCAATTATGGTATCTTTTGGAGATATATACATTGATTAATGGTGATTAATGGTGATTTCATGATGGTCAATGATGATTAATGATGGTGAATATTTGCTGGATGGTGGTTGACCTACCCCTCTGAAAATTATGAAAGTCCGTTGGGATCATTATTCCATATTATTCCCAATATATGGAAAGCATGTTCCAAACCACTCATCAGAAACATATGGCAAATTAAAGGGAAACCAAACACAGTATAATATTGTACATACATACACACATGTAAGTCACATGTATATATATATATACATATTATATCAAACAATCATGCGACCACCACCGAAGCAGACATTCTACCACCACAACGCGGTGGTCTCGCCACAAAATGGATCAAAAGGGTGGGCCACATCGGCCACATCCATCAAGCCGCACCCGGCCAACATCAACCAGCCTTGTCAGATGTGCCTTTCTCGGAAAGCTTGGCCGGATGTAAAGTTATGACCAAAAGCCCACGCATTCGGTGCTCAAGGCAGAAAGTTCACAGCCTACAGGGCCTACAGCTCTTGGCTACATGCTCCGATGGCCTGGCATTCCCCGCTTTTCAAAACTATCCCATTGAAGCACAACAAAGTTCATTCCACCAATCAAAACAAGCAAACAAGGATACGCAGTGGGGTGTTACGAGGAATAACGAAACTTCATATTCTGGCAGAACGTGACGAAAAGCAGCAGTTTCAGAGCTTCTGTGCATGACACACCATGCGCCAAGGTTTATACACAAAATTTGATCGTTAAGACTTAAGACTTCATTGTTTGATAGCAACATTTAACAACAAATAGTATAAATGATCTCCAGATTTTGGTGAATCAATTGAATCAAGATTGAAATTCCTCGATGTGACAAAATCCCATATGTTTAATGATTGAATGCCGTATTTCACCCAAAACAATCGTTATAAAACGGACCTACCATTTGCCTGTCGGCTCCAATCAGCTTCACGGCAGGGCTCTCCTGCTCTGTGGTCATCGAAGGATGGCCCCCATCGCTTCCAAAATCTGGGCAGGGGCTTTGCCAGAGCAAAATCATAGGTCTTAATGGAAATTTGCTAAAATTTTGCTGGGAATTTATAGGATATCATGGAAAACCTTCATAGTTTCCACAACTTTGGTGGTTCGAACATCGTGAGTTTTTGGCTTCATGAGATAGCAAATTCGCATTCTCTATGTATGGCATATGTATATACATATAATATACGTATGACCATACAGAATAAATTGTTGATATTTGTTGATCACATTCCAAACTTCGCCGAATGAAGTTTGACTAATTACTTGCTAGTTGATATCTGTTCTTTTGTTGGAGATATTGAAATGATTTGTTGTTCCTGTCAAACAACGGCGCTTTCAGCTCATCCCAACAAGGAACATAAACATTTAGCTCACACATATTTTATGATGGCAATATTTTTGCAAATCGCCCATATCGATACATTTCTGACATATTTCCAATATTTGCCAATTCTATAGATGTTTCATGATTTTTCCAAATCGCCAGCCATCTCAAAACCTCACATTTCCAACTCGCCCGAGCCGCTGAATCTGGCGCGGCGCCTGATGGCACCACGAAACCTCGAGGAAACGCATCCACTGGGCCTGGTTCTGCCGAAACATTGGACCGTTTTTTCATGTTTTTTGGCATGTTTTGGTAGCTTAATGCACCACTGGTTGGTGGTATACCTACCCCTCTGAAAAATATGAAAGTCAGTTGGGATGATGATTATTCCCAATATATGGGAACATTAAAAATGTTCCAAACCACCAACCAAACCAAAAAACTTTCATGGCATTTCATGGTTCTTAAAGTTAAAGGCCATATTTTTGTTTGGTTAAATCATGCTAAAACATAATAAATTATATTAAATCCCATTGGGTCAATATGGGTCAAACATATTTCAATGGGTGTTGTGGGACATCCTTTTTGCCCATTGCCAAATGAGGGTGAACAATTTAATATCGAGAGTCCAAGCAAAGTTTGCCCTGGGTATGACATATTCAGGTTATCCCAATTTCATCCGAAGGACAGTCCAACACCCGTTTCATCGAGTAAATGGGGTAAGCAAGGAGGTATAATCACTAACTTCCCACCTTTGTGGCCATTTTTGACCAATTTGATAGTTTTCGGTGGAATTTAATAGTGATTATAGTAGCTATTTTATCGTGATTCGTAGCTATTTCACTTACCAATAGTTAATCAAAACCCACATGGGTTTTGGTGGTAAACGTCCTCATTCGACCAGCACGGACCGCCTTTCAGAGATGGATGGCTTTGACCACTTTGCCCCTTCCATCGGCTGACTGCGTGGCAATTGAGCTCGCCGGCCAAGTTTGGAGCGATTTCAGGGTAATTTTCATGGGACAAACCTGGAGAATGACATGAACATGATAATAAAACACCATTAAAACATGTTTTTCAATGATTGGACAGGATAGTAAAACCCTTAATGATTGGAACCATGAAGCACTTTGAAAAAGCAGGTTCCCATCCGTAAATCTTTACTTCAATCCACGCAGTGATGGGGTCCAAATAGATTAGAACTAATATGACGATGGAATGAAGCGACGGAAAGTCCAAAGAAATACCCATGGGCCATATAACCAATTTAGACATTAATATCGCTATATATGGATAAATAAGAATAGAAATGATTTTCGATCCTGAAACGTTTGGTCATTTAGGGATTATTCACCTTATTGGTCATCATTGCAGCCAGTGTGGATCAAAATTGCGTACCAACAACTGCCAAAACCTGCAACTTCATGGGTGTTAGGCTGACCCATACCATGAACAAACCGTGAAAACTGCTGAGTCGGGCTGGTGGTTTCAGTTGATCCCAGAGGCATCTTTGATCTGAACAAACTCATACAAGTGAATGCCTTGAACCATTTCAGGGCTAGCAACTGATAGATTACATTAGATTACCAAACGGATTAGGCCAATGCTAAAGCCACCAAAGTATACCAACGTAACAACCCTTCATAGGCTCTCATCTATGTTTTCGCCCCTCTTTGGTTTCAATGAGCAATCACCTGTTTTGGGCTATTTGATTTGACTGCTAAACTTTGAATCTCCCATTTATGGTTGGTGAATTCCTTTTTTCATTGAACTCCCATCATCTACCAATCATCTACCTCAACCCTCTTGAAACTAAACACATGCATTTTTTTTCGCTTACCCTCTGGTAAACTAACACAACTATGGGAAATCACCATTTTTCAGTTTTCATTGGTAAATCCACTATAAACGGCCATTTTCAATATCAAACTGTTAGTTTACCAGAGGTAAACACCTCCATTTTTTCGGTCCATCACCCACTTCTCCCCTCCTGGTGGAGGTATAGCACCCGACCATGAACCATGCACTCGTGGGCGTACGCCTGGCCGGAGCTTGAAAAACCATGGATCGTGACCTGGGCACCATCCCATCCTAAGATTCAACAGCCCTAAATGCTTCGATATATGTCTAGTTGGTGGTTTCAACATGTTTCAACCCCCCTGAAAAATATGAGTTCGTCAGATTGGATCATCATCCCAACTATTGGGGAAGTCATAACAGCCATGTTCCAGTCACCACCAACCAAATGTGATTTCATCCCCATCCACCATGCTTTCTGGAGAAAAAAACAAGGTTTCAGGGATTACCAAAGCACCTGGTTTCCTCTGTTCAGGATGACCTCCATGTCATTAAGAAACCACCCCCCACATGATCCGAAATAGGTGATAACTTTGGGAAAACCACAATCTTTAATAGGTAAACCAACTATAAATCACCAATTTTCCGTAGCTAATGATGTCAGTTTACCAGAGGCTAATCCCCTTGTTGATGTTGATAGCATTGGGTTTACCACATTCATCCCACCGATCATGTTGGTAGGCCAGTGAGGGCACGATTTTCTTTTTGGCCCGGAAGATGTTAAAATCATGTAGCAGTTTGTAGAACCATGATTCAATGTGCGCCATCATGTGTTTGCCATCATTTATATAATATGTATGAATGTAGGGTTTACGTGCAATATTCCCCTTAAACCAATCCTATGATGAAATCGTATCAATCATCACCAATATCCAACAGTAGCACTTCAATAGTAGTACTGCCACTGGTATATTGAGAATAATGAATGACCACTGACTACCCCTCCTTAATGATATTGACTTAAATCAACTGGGTTTAAATAGGTTTGGATGTCAAGGTCTGAATATTGTATGTACATGCATGTAAATTATTATACAATACCGTATGCCTACAGTAGATCAACATAGATATGGAAAGTCCACCATTCATAGACTAGAGTATTTCCTGCGAAAACCATGGGTTTTTGATCCTTTCCTCTTATATAGTTAGTCAATCGAATCACTTAAATTGTTTTTGACAGCAGAAGATGTCTATTTACAGTTGTACTTCATTGTATATCTATCTATACAATCCAGACTACTTAGGGACTTAGGGGTTGCTACCCCATCCAATCAACAGTTGGCTAACAGCAAATAACCAACCTTAATGTAAAAATTCGGATCTTCTGGGCTTCATCCCATGCCCACTGTGCTGCTGGCTTTCTCTCCTCCAGCTGCTTCTGGCAAGCCTCCTGCGCCAATCTGGCGGCCTCCTCCCGCCGGCACCTTTGAATGTGCCGGACCGGCGGCAAGGAAGCGGGCGCACTGGAATGCGTCATGGCTGCATCCGCGGCACCATCTGCAAAGGACTTCATCAGCTGGTCCCTGAACTCCAACCTCTTGCTGGAGTCGAAATGTCGGCACAGTCCAGTGCTTTGACTTCGAGCCACGCTCGCTGGTGCATCCTGGAGCTTGATGACTTGGAACTTCAGCTGAAGATGTTTCTCCATCTGGCGCAGGCACAGGCCCCCACCATGGGTGCAGTCTTCACTTGACACGGGTACATCCACGCCCATCATTTCAACATATTTCAACATATTTCAACATCACAGCCGAGGTAATAACTGCATAATATTGCATAGCAAGGCCAGACAAAAACAAAAATAAGAGCGTAGAACCACCGTTTGAACCACCTAAACGTATCCCAAACCTACTGTAACGATCAATAGACCAATCAAAGATGGTTAACCACAAAATTATATATATATTATATCATATCGTTACAGTACAAGTTATCCAGTACTGTGGTCAACCCAATCAAGAACCATCCGCAAGCAGGTTTATTAAATCATTATTGGCTAGAATTACTCCTATATCTATATAATGTGGGATGCTTAAACATGACCATATCTTATATGGTTGGTTACTGGCAGGTGATATTCAAATTTTGGGTTTACCACATCGAACCGATCCAAAAGTTCTCAGTTTTTCCAAGTTCTTTTGCTCGTCATGGTTATTTTATGTTATTTTCCATTTATAAAAATTATAGCAAGAAACTAAAGGATTAAGCTACCCAGCTACCGATCCAAGGTTTTAAAACAATCGTGTTGACAAGGATCAAAATCCACTGAAATCCAGTTATAAACATCTCCAACTCTGAGTGACCCGACCTGGCAGGCTGCGAGGCTCAGGTCCTGCAGTTGTGACCCAAGAATTTTGATTGGCTGTTTAGCTACGAAACATACATATGAAGGTTTCCTAAAATGGTGGGTGTCCCTAAATCATCTAAATCATCCATGTTAAAGGGATTTTGCATTATAAACCATCCATGTTGGGGTACCCATTTTAGGAAACCCCCATATTGTAAACAACGAAAAACTCAGAAAACATAACTAAGCTTTTGGATTTATCGTGTATATATGGACCATATATGCAGTTGGATGGGTGAACATAAACCAATTCGAACCCAAGGATTGAAACAACATGGAAGCATGTTTTCCAAGGAAAACTATTGCAAAGGTGGTTGCTGGAATGACTTCTATCTCATTGAATTTGCACTCTGTAAAACAGAACTATCCATTAAAACGACCTGATTACTGGAAGTTTTCCGCTTCTTCTGCTAGAACAATGCCAAGTATCAAACTTATCAGTTTTTTTTTGGTATGTGACGTTTGCCTGGTCTGCGTGCTTCGTGCCAGGACATATCATGACGGCGCAACGCCAACCGCTGGCGAAGCGCCCTTCAACACCTTTGATCAATCCTGTTTGGCTACCATGAGGTGCCGCAGAAAAACCCTCCTTTTGGCCCGCAATTCCCAAGCAAAGTGCATCTGGATCCATGCTGCATCCAAGCCACGGGAGTGCTCAAAATGCGAGCGCGCTCTGGTGCTTTTCCCAAAATTGATGGATTTTGAAAAATTGCAAGGTTTAGGTAGGGAATATATCAGTTTTGGCATATACAATGCCATCTTTTAATCCTGTCGCTGGACAAACTGAGGGCTTCGGAACCATCTTCACTTCCGCTTCAAAGGCTCTTTTGTCAAACTTCAGCAAAATTTTCTCTCAAACTCATCTGTGCTGCAATGGTTTTATTTCTCACATCGCCATGTACATGGGGGAGTTGCATCCTGATAAAAAAATGTCAATTGTCAATCATTGGGCAAAGTCGTTCTAAGTTTAATTTAAGTAGGATGTAGCTAGCCTCATTCGCACACATGGACAATACATATATGATAACATCTATGTAGCCCTGATTTCACGGAGGCAACGTGAAACGATAAAGGACATACACCGATACACCTTCTGATAGAGAGATCACCTGAAGCAAATCAGTAGATATCAGGCGTGCACTTAGGCAATATATACTGCTTGGCGGTGCACCATCTTGAAAACTATGGATTATCGGATTATCGTCAATGGGAAGGATGACAACCCATATGAAATGGAAAATAATCCACATGTTTGAAACCACCAACCAGAAAACCATGGTGTCCAGCCAAAACAAAACACTAAATCATCCTATACCATCTGGTTATTTAACATAGCCATGGGAACTGACCCATTTATAGATGGTTTACCTACCAGTGATAAATAATACCACGGTCCCACTTAAGGGTTACATTCTACCAGCCAGTTGCAGCCCCCTGGGATGATCCGTAACTAACTACGGCGCTACGGTCATGGCAGGACCGTAATCCACCTTGCCAAGTTCGCTGCAACTGGCTACAAATCCCTTCCCCAAAGATTTTTCCACCGTTGTTTATACCCTAAATCAAATAAAGGACACCAAATGAATAAATAAAGTGTTGAGCCAAGATACTCAACTGAAGCAAAACTACCTCCGGAACATCTCATGAAAGCAAACGAATCTCCCGTGAAAGTGGAGAATATTCCACATCCATCCTTAGCTATGGATAAAACACCTGGTACCCTGCTGAACATGAAGAAATCTGGTAAAAGGATGTTCATTCCCCAAAAGGATGCTGAACAACTAATGTTAACCACCATGAAACCAATGTTAACCACCATTAAACTATGGATTTCATGGGGTAAAACTCATGTTAACCATGCAAAAAAAAAACAACAATTTTCACCATCACTCCCAGTTCCAGACCTGGAGGTGGCAAATGGCCGGCAGACGGCCGCAAGTCCTGAAGACCAATGGAAATTCTGGGTGGGGGCCCCAGGAACTGTAGCATTTTTCCCGAGAGCGTCTGAGCGCAGGGTTCTTCTAATAGTGGGGGTCTGTATCTCATCTTCTCATCTTCACACCTGCTCATCTTCACATCTGCTCATCTTCACATCTGCTCATCTTCACCACATCTGCTCATCTTCACACCTGCTCATCTTCACATCTGCTCATCTTCACATCTGCTCATCTTCACATCTGCTCATCTTCACATCTGCTCATCTTCACATCTGCTCATCTTCACATCTGCTCATCTTCACACCTGCTCATCTTCACATCTGCTCATCTTCACACCTGCTCATCTTCACATCTGCTCATCTTCACATCTGCTCATCTTCACATCTGCTCATCTTCACATCTGCTCATCTTCACATCTGCTCATCTTCACATCTTCTCTCTCTCCTTTCTCTCTCCTTTTTCTCTCTCTCGCCTTCTTTATCTTTCTCTCTTTAGGCCGAGGGTGGTACCGGCGGTGAGTCACGAAACGTCAACCCTTTCGCACGAAATGAGGGTCGATCGGCAAAAACTGAGGTAAAATTGCGATTTGACTTGTCCCGGACCAACCGTTTCGCACGAAATGAGGGTCGATCGGCAAAAACTGAGGTAAAATTGCGATTTGACTTGTGCTGGAGTAACCCTTTCGCACGAAATGAGGGTCGATCGGCAAAAACTGAGGTAAAATTGCGATTTTACTTGTCCTGGAGCAACCCTTTCGCACGAAATGAGGGTCGATCGGCAAAAACTGAAGTAAAATTGCGATTTGACTTGTCCCTGAGCAACCCTTTCGCACGAAATGAGGGTCGATCGGCAAAAACTGAGATAAAATTGCGATTTTTCGTGTGCTGGAGCAACCCTTTCGCACGAAATGAAGGTCGATCGGCAAAAACTGAGGTAAAATTGCGATTTATCGTGTGCTGGAATAATCCTTTCGCAGGAAAAGGGGTTTGTGTGTACGAGCGTTTCTGTGTAAAGATGTTTGTGTGTAAAAGTGTTTGTGTGTACAAGTGCATCTGTGTAAAAGTGTTGTGTGTAAAACTTTCTGTGTGTAAAAGTCTTTGTGTGTAAACGGGTTTGTGTGTACGAGTGTTTCTGTGTAAAGATGTTTGTGTGTAAAAGTGATTGCGTGTAAAATTGCATCTGTTTAAACGTGTTTGTGTGTAAAAGCTTCTGTGTGTAAAAGTGTTTGTGTGTAAACGTGTTTGTGTGTCGGAGTGTTTCGGTGGAAAGATGTTTGTGTGTAAAAGTGTTTGTGTGTACAAGTGCATCTGTGTAAAAGTGTTTGTGTGTAAAAGCTTTTGTGTCTAAAAGTGTCTCTGTGTAAAAGGGTTTGTGTGTAAGAGTGTTTCTGTGTGAAGATGTTTGTGTGTAAAAGTGTTTGTGTGTAAAAGTGCCTGTGTGTAAAAGCGTCTATGTGTAAAAGCTTCTGTGTGTCAAAGCGTTTGTGTGTAAAAGCAGCTCCTGTGTGTAAAAGGGTCTGTGTGTAAAAGTGTCTGCGTAAAAGCGTCTGTGTGTAAAAGCTTCTGTATGTAAAAGCTTTTGTATGTAAAAGCTTCTGTGGGTAAAAGCTTTGTGTGTAAAAGCCTCTGTGTAAAAGCTTCTGTGTGTAAAGCTTCTGTGTGTAAAAGCTTTTGTGTGTAAAAGCGTCTGTGTGTAAAAGCTTCTGTGTGTAAAAGTGTTTGCGATGCACACTATTGTCTTGCACTTCTCACTATTTTGTCTTGATACTCCTCTTCTCGACTGCCTATAACACATCTTTCATATATTGTTTGTAAAATTGTGTCTCCATACTAACAAGAGAAGACCCTGCTCCTCTACGCTCTCGGGCCATCCGTCGTCTAGTTGTAAGGAAAAACCCATACTTGGAAGTGCAGTTCTTGTCCAAAATGGATATATAGCCACAGTATGCCACAGTCATGGTGAGTGATAAGGGATTTCTCCCAACTTATGGGCGTATGTAACGGTATGCATCCATGGTTACAGAATACCCATTTGTAGCTTCAACTGCGCCTCCAAGTGTTTGAAACCTCCATATTTGAATCTAATAACTTATTTAGTTGTAAATATTATATATATAAATATTCCTTTAACTCAGGGTACCTATTAATGATGGACTCCCCAAGCAATCTAACCCGTTGTTTCACCAATCAACAGGGCGATTTTTAGTGGCTCACTTGTACCTCACCTCAGCATCCCGGTCGCCCGGTCACCCCAGTCCGCATGCACGGGCACAGTCTCCAACACCAGCAGTGGATCCAAATCTCACGGGGCACCATGGCTATCCGAAGAGCATGGGGATCAGCAGGGGTTTAGAGTTTTTCGAATGATAGGGATCAGCCAATTGCCCCAGAAAAACCATGAAAAAACATAGGGAGATGCTCCAGATTCTCCGGAAAATTAAAAAAATGATCCAGGTTCAAGTTCTTATGCCTTTAATGGGGATCTTCCTGGGGTAAGCAAACATAGAAATGGAAAATCAGCCGCTTCATTAAGAAATAACATGCAGTACACCCATATCAATTTTCATGGGTTTTACACGTCGATGTTGGCGACTGGTGATTTGATTCCGCTGGAAAAAAAGAAAAACAGAGCTTCAAACAATCTGGATAAATTATAACCATTTAGCAGCTTGAAAAACAATGGATGATTCCGTCTATCAAACTTTATTAACTATCATTCCCGTGACGTCGCAGTGAGGTGTTGCAATTCTTCCAAAACAATGGCGCAAGTTTATGGTCTTCGGGCGCAAGGTTGAGGCATTCTCATTTCAAGAGACTGCAATGCTGAAATTAGGATATCTTATGATACAAAGTACCGTTGCGAGCACCCACATGAAGCAAGCCATCCAGTGCTTTCGGCACATCTTCAGTGGATGAACGCCCCTTCCATAGTTACCCTGGCGTTCCACCCAATCTGCGCCGGGGAGCGGACTGATGGAAGGTTCATAAATCACGATGTAGTCAAGTAGAGACATAAACTGCCAACATTCATTGCCTTGTTTTTGTTGGCGACAACATGGGCTAGGTGTCTGAATGTCGATACCAGAATCTCCTTTGTAGAGCAAGAACCTGAGGCAAACTTTCTCATCGCCTTGATGACTTCGTCGCTTCAGCTTTGAATTGGCCTTCCGGAGGTTTATCATAACTTCCCTGGCAAATGTCTCTTCTTGATATGCAAAATCCCGAAGACATGGTGACCCCGCAATTCGATCTTCATTGTCTTCGGCTTTCAGAATTGTCTCGATGATTTTCTTCAGTTGTGCCATGCCCCTTTTTCTGCATCTGTTGACCTTCTGAGAGTAGTGAATTTTCTGAATGGGGAAACGTCAGCCGATGCAACATTTCACTCCAGGCATAATTTCCAGCATCACCCCCAACTGGAAATCTTTCTGTAGCAACACCATGTCTTCATCCAAGAAATTGATATCCAGTGGAATGGGAGGGGCACATGGTGGCATCTACAGCATGGCATCAGCGGCTTCAAGCCAAACAGGGTGTTGGGGAAATCATGTCTACCAGAAAGCAAGAATGTTGTCAAAGCACCAACCTCGCTATGTTGGCCATACATCAACGTCATTGTACCTACCCCCACCTTTACCCCCAAAAAGCCTACAGTATATTATATATATATATCCAATATATATATATAATATATATATATATATAATATAATATAAATAAAATTATTATATATATATACTTCTTCCAATCCAACTCTCACACCATAATTATCCAACTTGCGGATGAGTTTAAGCCGGGGACACTAGCAGAAAGTTAAAGGGAAAACCTCCAATTAGGTATGCCCTAAAACATATCATGGCGTCATGCTGGATACACTCCAGTATACGGGCTTCCTCCCCATTCCATGGTCAGTAGAATGGCATCAAGTCCCATCCTTGCCGGCAAATTTCTCACTAGTGGCTGTTTAAACAAAGCTTGGCCTAGACACCAACCTTTATCTCAAGGTAATCTATGAGTACCCTATCAGAGGTCACCCCTATTCGGGGGTGATTGATTTTTTTTCCAGCTTCTATTGTCTGTACTGAACACGCCCCTGACACCCACTATGAGTCTTTTTAGGATTTCCTAGTTCATGGATTATGACATTCGCAAATAAGATCATCATGCCAATAAACCAACCCCAAAATCACCTGGTGATTTTGGGTGGATATGGCTAGGCTTTTTACTATCCCGAAATGGTCGGATTCTGTAGGCTGATTGTTGGGTTGCTGAAATTATATATTGCATAGATTTGCATAGCACAACCCTGTGCTTCCCGGGTCCCACATGGTCGCACCTTGCGGCGTTGCGCGAGGAATTGACCCTGCCCCGGTCTCGGTGCATGGGGGCCGTTCCGGCCACATGGCGCCGTAGCATTGGGGGCTGCGGATGACTCAGGGGCTGGGCTTGCCACGGTACCGCTGAGGTTTTGGCCTAGGCTGGCCTAAAGGCCCAGGGACTTCAGTGTTGGATTACCCTTGATTACTCCAAGTGCTTCTTTGTTCAAGCTAAACGTTCGACCATCCTTGAAGAAGATTGGCTTATGGTGCTGCACACAGCAGCCACAGTGGGTAGTCACAGGTCAGGTATTCAATCCAGAGTGCTGACATGGTCATCATGCTGGCGGGGGTGCTATCCAAACTTTGATTGCAGCAACAGTTTCAAAGGATATAAACCAACATAAGCCAACAAACATGGAGACACCCAAAGCGATTTGCCATAGAACTTCTGCACTTTGTCAGCTTGAGCAAAACGATGCAAAGCTCAGACGCCGGTAAATTCCAAGGCTTGCTTCCGGTACCTGGGTGAAGCCTTCTGGGTGACCTGGGGCACTTTGGTTTTTGGATACGTTGGCACCTTGGTCCATGGTTAGAGTGGCTAGAGTCCCGGCATGAATCCATTTCCGGAAGAACACCCCATTTGGCACCACACATTGGTTCTTGGAGGCTACTTGATGGTTTAACTCAGTCGAACCTCCACATAAATAGGGCACATATATGTTCAACAAGGACATGGACCGACAATGAGGCAGCACATATCAAGGAATCATTTCAACCATGTCGTTCAATGACAATCAGAAGGGGAACCGTACCTGTAGAAGCGAACAAGTACACTTTTCAGCACCATCTTGGGTGATTTCCCAATCATAGGAGTTTACAAACCACCAGGGTTTTTCTGGCGGTGCATGACCCATATCTGCAATGCCCAACATTTTTGTAGTTTATCCCGATCTTTGCGGGTGCCCCTACTTTGGTGAAATCTGACCTTCTTGTCGTTACATATCACTGCTTATGTTTCTTGTGTATGTTCCCCCTGTGGCAATTTTTGGGGGGTTGATGTCTATTGCATCATCACGAACAGTTTTCGACCTGAAGAAAACAGTTGAAGTACCTCTCGACTCCTGTCAATTCACATGTTTGATGCTAAAATCCCAAATGTAATTCTTGGGTTTGATGGCTAAATCACTTGTATCATATATGCATGTAAGAATTTCATAGATTTTGTCCTTTTCATCTTGGATCGCCAGCCGAATGTTGCAACAAAATGCAGGATGGTGTCACTTACAATTTCCTCGCCAAAAACGTTTGAACATGAAACAAACCATCTGTTGTGATAAAGACATGTTGGCAGACCATTGATTTCACCATCCCCAGTAACATCAGTAACTATAAATTACGATCATACATTACCCTCTGGTAAACTAACAGTTCGCTATAGAAGTAAACATACAAACAAAAACTATGGAAAATCACCATTTTCAATGGGTAAATCAACTGTTAGTCACTACTAGAGGGTAGTAATCAGTAATTTTCAATGGTGATTTTCAATGGCGAATCATTTTCAATTGGTAAAATCACAATTTTCAATGGGTAATCACAATTTTCAATGGGTAAAATCACAATTTTCAATGGGTAAAATCACCATTTTCAATGGGTAAAATCACCATTTTCATTATGGATTACAATCCTCGGTGATTCAAATCAGCCCCACCAAGTCCTGCCTAAGGAGGCGAGTCCATCGGATCCTGAAGGCCATTTTTCGAGATTTAAAACATATCTAGTATTACTCATAGATGATGTCAACATATTTGAAGCCCAAAAAACATTGATATCAAAAGAAAGCAATATTCTACACCATTCATGGGGTTGATCCAAGGTAAAGTTGAAAGGAAACCTGGCAGTCGACTTTCGGCCATCGAAATGGCCGAACCCTCGAGAGGGTTTCCAAGGTGATTAGTGGTGGTTATCGATGGTTAATAACGGTGATTAACGGTGATTAATGGTGGTCCTCATGCCCATGGGACGACCAGGACGACCTGACGACCATGACTTGAATTTTTAGCCGTGTCATGCCGCCATGCAGTTAAATATGCTGCAGACTGCAGACTGTTGGCTGACATAGTTGGCTTCAGTCACTTGCATGAATTTCGATTTGGTTTGTTTTGTTCCCCACCTGCCAGGTGAGGGTTGTTAGATTTTATGTCAGTTGCCTGCTCCTCTCCTCTCCTCCTCATCTCCTCCTCCTCTCCTCCTCCTCCTCGTCGTCCTCCTCCTCGTCCTCCTCGTCCTCCTGCTCAACTGCGACCCTCGACGCACAGTGTTCTCTGTCGGACCTCAACCACGACCCTCGACGCACAGTGTTCCCTGCCGGACCTCAACCACGACCATCCACGCCCAGTGTTCCCTGCCGGACCTCAACCACGACCATCCCCGCCCAGTGTTCCCTGCCGGACCTCAACCACGACCATCCACGCCCAGTGTTCCCTGCCGGACCTCAACCGCGAGTATCCACGCCAAGTGTTCCCTGCCGGACCTCATGTAGGAAGATAAAATGTCAGATGCCAGATAGATATGCCAGAAGATATTGCCAGAAATATGCCAGAAGATATGCCAGATAGATATGCCAGAAGATATTCCAGAAGATATGCCAGATAGAATGCCAGATAGAATGCCAGATAGATATGCCAGAAGATATTCCAGAAGATATGCCAGATAGAATGCCAGATAGAATGCCAGAAGATATGTCAGAATATATGCCAGAAGATATGCCAGATAGAATGCCAGAAGATTTGCCAGATAGAATGCCAGAAGATATGCCAGAAGATATGCCAGAAGATATGGCAGATAGAATGCCAAATAGAATGTAAGAAGATATGTCAGATAGAATTCCAGAAGATGTGCCACTAAGAACATGTATAAATGTCATGGTGGGGATCACACGAAGTAAAGTAATTTTGGATTTCGATGTTTTTTTTTAAATGGCCAATTGTCGACCTGAGCTCAATAATATGGGGAACTAAGACATAGCTATGGAAAGTCACCATGCTATTAATGGGTAAATCAACGATTTCTATGGACCATTTTCCATAGCTATGTTAGTCATTACCAGAGGGTAAAGGGAAATCATTGCCTGTTCTGCAAGAGTGAGCCAATCTAGGGATCATCGTCCCAAAATAGAGATGGAAATCGCCATGGCGAAACCGGGTGCACAATTCTCGATGCATTTTGTGCAATAAATCTTCCAGTTCTCTGCTTCACCCATTTGTAGCCCCTAACATCATAGATCCCGTTGAAGAAATCAAAAAATCGACTAATGTGGCACACCCAACCATAACACATCCCCAACAGAAGTCTTTTTTGGGGTACACCGTGCCCCTATACCTGGAATGATGCTTATTATACGCCCTTTTGTAGGTTCGTGGGATGATTTATTCTTGGGTTTACCACAGTATCACACGACCCCTTTTGATCAACCAGGCATCCCAGGAAGCAGCTGAATGCCCCACTTTTTCCACGGCGGAAGCGCGTTTTTTTAGACGACCTACCAGCTGCAAAGAGGATGGGACTCTACAAACTTCGCCTTTGCCATCTACAAATGATCCTATCAGAACATTCCAAAAGTGAAAGTCTTCAAATTATGATTCTCCACTGGATTTTCCGTTATTTTGAAGCAACTCATGATTTTCCGCTAGATGTTCCTCAAATTCTTGGATGCAACTCATGAATTTCTGGCTTTTTCCCACCATTTCCCTGAGTTTTTCCACCATTTCTGTGGGAGTTTCCACCATTTTGCAGCACTTCTCTTCACCACGCCGTCAGAAGCCTTGCTCAGGGATGATGCGAATCAAGGCCGTGGCCTTGCCCTTCTGTTTCTTCCTTTTTGGCGCATCCACCGTGATTTCACATTGGATCTGGGGGCAACTATAATGGCAACATGGGACACATCATGGGTACATAAATATTATATATATATGTGTATATATATATATGTGTGTATATATAGAATATATATATATATATAATATAGGTATATTATGTATGTCTCCAACCATATTTTGACGGAGGTTTAATGGGGAAATTGGGATACATGGGATAGATGGTCGAGTTGGAAAAAACGTGAGTAGCCAACCATACAGCGATGGTACAGTGAAGATCCAACTGATTTCTTCGGAAATGGTGAGCTGGGCTATTCACGCATTGAAGCTGCGACATGTTGGGGTAGAAAATCATTCAATGGGTTTCTGATACCAACCATAACTATATATATATACGTATGTATATATATACGTATGTATATATATACGTATGTATATATATATATAGAGATAGATAGATAGATATATATAAAAATATATATATATTATATTATGATTGGGACATATAACAACCATAAGAAACAACAGCGGGTACAAGAAACAAATCTGTACGGACTTGTGCTACATTGTCCTTCCAGCCAATTCAGGGGTATAGGGTTTGGCAACCAGTACACAAAGTGTTCCATGCGTTCTTTATCTCCAGGGTTGAAATGCGAACGTTCACCAATTTGACATTTGATGGTTGAGCCAACAAAAAATAGCCAATTAGAATTTATCATCCTGAGCAGGGATGCGAAACAAAACCTGCAGCATTTGAACTCCCACAAGCATTCAGGTTGGTTAGTAAACAATCAATTCAACAAAATACAGATGAGAAGCAACTCGGTGTTAATCTCAACTAATCCTCTTGTCACGCATCACCAAAAATTAATCCCATCCTCCCAATATTAAATACGCCTCTTATGGGCTCCACACATGAATAGATCCAAAATTGAAGCGGGATTTCAAAGGCGGAATTTGTTTATTGGGTGGAAGGGATTAGTAGTGGGCAATACACATATCATAGCCACTTGGAGTAATGGAAGATCCCCACTTCTAAAAAAGGGGATACTTGGAGTATATGGGCTATATCTCCTCATTTGCAGGGTTCTTACCCTCTGGTAATTTAACATAGCTATTGAAAATGGCCCATAGAAATCGTTGATTTACCTATTAAAAGTGGTGATTCTCCATAGTTTTTTGTATGTTTACCAAAGGCTAAGCCATGCAGAACGACCAAAATTTCCTTAAAATCCTTCGCCAAGCTGCGTACCCATCTCCTGCACTTGATCCTTGCCACCAAAGCCTCAGGTTCGCTGAAGTGGCTGGTACCCCTGGCATCAAAATGGATGGTAAATGAATGGTAAATGGATATATATATATATGTATATATATGTATATGCATCTTTTTATATATATATATGAACTACTCCTCAAATCAGAATGAAAATAAGAATAGGTTGAATATATTTTGATTTATCCCCATTTGGGCCTAGGTATACGGATATATGTAGGCAAACCAATTTTGGAGGTGGTCATGCTCTTTGGCTCTGTGAGCATGACCAGGAAAAATCCGAATTTCTAACTGGCTTGTTTCGCAGATTTTCGCAGTATCAAATCCTCATATGACAGGCACCTGCGGGTCCTTGCGTCTGAAATTTTGAAATCCAGATTCAAGTGTGTACCTATATACCTTTATCTATCAAGGATACAGTCCTCAGACGATAAGAAACTACCAAGTCAGCTGGTCTCAAGCGTTTCATCTTTCAGTTTTGTAGGAGATTGAGAAGGTGGAAGCCATTTTGTTAAATCTTTCGCTCCAGACTTTCCAGGACGAAAACATGGGGACCACCCCAAATGCATGCCTTTTCTAGGAAACTGGTCATTCAGCCGGCCAAAAATCTTTCAATGACAGCCACAAACAGCATCACCAACATACCAAGTCAACAAGCATTTACCCAAGTTTACTCACAATTCATCCAGTCTTGAGTGGATTTTACCCAGATCGGTTCATCACCATTTTCCAAAAACACACCGTTTCTCCCTTCCACACACTGCTGATGACCAGCCACTCACCATGCCATGATCCGCCAAACAGCCCAGGGCTAATAAAGCGGCCTGGCAAGGCTTACCCAGCTAACAATAATAATGTGGTAATTGGAATAATGATTGGGATGAAGAATTAAGACATTTTTCAGGAACTATATACAATGGGATATTAATAGGAACAATGATTAAGGAATATAATGTGATTTCTCATGGGCTTTTTCAATACCACCTTTGCTTACCGAAGGGCCCCAAAGACTATGCCAGCGTCAAACACTGATGACAAAAACCAATGGCATCGCTGGAAATTGGCAACGCGTGGAACAACTTCCAGTTGTATCTAGTCGTCACATTGTTGATAACAAGAAGGAGTTCACTAAGCAATAGATACAAACCGTTCCATTTTCTCTGAACAAACACTATAGGTTTATATACGTCTATTTTCTGTAGAAAATAGACATGTTCATATATTATGCATTGTTATATCTCTGGGTTGTAAGTGCTTACTAGCTGGGATGCACAGACATAAATATACAGTACAAAAAAAAAAACGTTCACATCATGGGTTTCTGCTGGCGGAGCCACCAGCGCCTCATTGGGAGCGGATCCTTCTGGGTGTGCATCTAACACCTCAGCCAGCGAGATATCACCCGTCTTGTGATATATCCGATAGGTCCATAGGATTTTTCGCCCACTTGTAAGCCGCCACTTTCACAACATCCACATGGCCATCGATATATTGGTTTGGTATGGTTTGGTTGTCCTGATATCCATTTGTGCTCCTGATATCCCCAATATGTTTGCTAGAACCCACAGCCTTTCCTCATGAACTTGGCTGTACATCGAATTTCTGATCCGGCAAGCAAACTCTTTTTCCCCGCCAAGAACGACCTTTGGAAAGCCCCAACTTCAGACCCAAGAACGCTGAGTGCTGCAGCGAAGGTACTGATTTTAGAGCTTCAAAGCAGCCTTGCCTTGGAAAAACCGATGATGGGCGAAATGGGGATTTGAATGTACAGGACTTGGGAATTTGAAGCTGAACCATCGAGGCTTTTGAAAGAAAAAATAATCTCTCAACCAACCAATCCCCAAGGGAAACTCTATTCATAGATTCTATTCACATTTATTCACATATGATATGATCCACGTTGAATTTTCTCCATCGTCCTACTTCATCTAAACGGGTTGTTTCCTTCACTTTAGGTACCAGCTATGTATGGGACGAAGATATAGAACCAGCATTTTGCCCCAATTGTCCAATTGCGGCCATTATTCATCCATAAAAGGATGAAGCAATCCAGTCTATTGAACCCATCAAACCCCAATTGTTTCATCATGTTCCCAGTTCACTCCAGGTCCATTTATTGATTGCTTGAATTCATTTGAAATCAATGGTTTTTGCAAGCTCAAGCCTGATTCTTGCCCTTTAAGCCATCATTTTCCACCATTTGAATTTTTGCCACTTCAACTCGCTATTTTTCCAACCAAATTTCCATTCAAATCTCACAGACTTGGATGATGGGAAAATCTATATTTGATGGTAAAAAATATGTTTTTTTTTTTGTAGGTTTTCCATGATTTTCCCTTAAACCAATCCATTGAAAATCTCCCATTTTCCACCACCTTCCAAGTCCACCAGGTCCAGGTCCCAGCCGAGCCGCTGAATGGCCGCCTGCGCCACTGCGAAGCCGCCCTCGCGGCAGAGGCGCCAGAGGGCCGTGCAGGCTTCGGTGCAGAGGTCGCGATGACCCACGTTGCCCTTGATGGCCTTGGGAGTCATCTAGATGATCTAGATTTTCTAGTTATTTTCATGGATTTTATGGATCTTCATGGATTTTATTAGGCTTTGGATTTTCATGGACACTCAGATGGAAATCTAGGACATTTTCCTTATCCATTTAGATGATTTTGTTTGTTGAAAAAATTGCATGGTGGAAATGTGGAAAACCATTGGATTTGAATCCATCAGAGTTTGTATGAAGTGGAATGAATTTCAATGGATTCATAAAATTCCCAAAAGATTTTGATGGATTTTAATATATATATAATCTGGCCTGTTGCTTAAATTTAACTGTGTTTAATGAAAACCAAGTAGATGGACTTGAATAGATTAATGGATCTGGATGGGTTTTAATGAATAAATGATAATATATTTTTTTTCAGTGGACTTTGACCGACTAAACCCAAGCATAAACAACATGGGAATTCATCGTTGGCCCTTGAGTTTCTGCCGTAAGTGAACCATGGGAAACATACGGAAACGAAGATTGTCATTGGTCCGGGGTCTGCCGCATGGAGAGAAAGGGGGCTAAACGCTCGAACACGGGGAACAATTGGGATATGACAGGTTGAAACATGGTGAATTGGCAACAAAAATGGATTTGAATAGGATGGTACCAAGGAAGCACGTTTTCTTGCTGCAAAACATGTTGAAACCTGTGTGCCTGAAATTGGGGATGCGCATAAAATGAATTAAAATGTCAGCTTTAAGAAGGAACACGATGCTACGCCACTGGAAATAGGGATAATCGTCCTATTTTCAATCACACCCAATCTCATTAATGCGGTAAGCCTAATTAGTGTATAAACCAACATCAGGTACATCCAAAATTGGAGCTTTGTGGCATTGGGCTTGCCAAGTTGTGGCAGCATCCATCCCGTTGTAGCCTCTTATATGTTGAACCCCAAATCTTAATAGGTTTGCCAGGTGAAATGAATCGATTATCGATCTTTTTTCCATAAGATGGTTTATAGCCCCTGAGAAACCCTGGGCAAACCAACATAGATGTGGTAAAAAACATGAAAACAAAAAACACCAATTATTGTAACAATCCAGGTATTTGGGGTTCATTTCAAAGTAACTGGTTCCCACATATTCCGTAGTCTCCCAGGGTCGAGGCTGGGTTGATTTATATACATTCCAAATGGCCATTTATAGTTGATTTACCCATTGAACACGGTGATTTTCAATCGTTTTTTGTATGTTTACCAGAGGTTTTAAATCATTTTCATATGGAAACCATAAATTTTCCCATTAAATATGGGTTTTCCTATTAACCAAAAAAAACTATTTTTTAATTAAACCAATCCATTGAACCATGGGCAACACAACTGGCACCGCTTCGCCGAGCTGCACCCGACAAGTCCTGCAGGCCGCCCAAGGCCACAGCCTCTTTGGCGGCGCTGGGATTGTGCTGCACGCAGCGGAAAATGGCCTCAGAGATCCGTTGGGGAAAAGACTTTTACCCTCTGGTAAACATACAAAAAATGGCAAGATCGCAAAGACCCACCATTTTTGATGGGTAAATCAATCAACTATTTCTATGGGCCATGTTCCAGTTCGCTATGTTAGTCATTACCAGAGGGTAAATGTCAACCCCCAGGTGCAGAAGATTGAAGTACTGAAGTACCTAGCTAAGGTTGACCCCATAAATCCCGGGAAAAAAAACGCTTCCTTTCTAAATATCACCCATCTCAATCTCAAAATATCATTGGTCATATCACAGCCAATCTTAGATACGCAACAACAAATTAGATATATAATCCCATACCACAAGACTAAAGGGTTAGTTTCTACCCATCTAAGATTGCCCTAGATATCCCAAAATAATTAAAAAAAACAAAGCGACCTTTCCACGTATCACCCTTTCAAATATCACCCATCTCAATCTCGAAACGTCATTGAGTCATATCCCAAACAAATGGGGATACCCTCTGGTACACATACAAAGACCTATGGAAAATCACTATGTTTTACAACTATTTTTCATTCATTTTAAAGGTAAATCCCAATTTTTTGAAGATATATAAATCAACTTAAATCAACTATTTGTATGGCCATTTTACATAGCTATCTTAGTTTACCGGGTATGTCGACCCTGGAGGCCTCGCCACCTCCGCCACCTGCGGCTCTTCCAAGCGACATCGCTGGCGGCCTGTTGCACCTCGATCTCCCCGGGCCGTCTCCGCATCTCCTGGAAACCAAATCAAGCGTTCAACAACCCATCCGATATTTGCAGGTTAGAATATATATTAGATGCATATAAAGATTATAAGTCATTGACTATCCAATATTTGCATATTAGAATATAATATATATATATATATATCTATATATATATATATGTTTCGAAAAATAAGATTATATAAGTCATTGTTTATAATAAGATTTTGTTTTAAAAAATAAACAAACTTGTCAAGCAATAACCGTTCAGTATCTTGATTTGCTTAAGGGATACATATTGGGGACACTAAAGAACTATGATAATAAACTAGGTCCAGCTAGGTTTTCTCATCTCAAAATAGAGACTCAGCAAATAAGCCATCTAATACCAAGCATCGAAAAACCAATCATCCCTTCTCTGTATCAATGGGAATTTCAGGATCCTAAAATGGAGGTGCTGTACCATTTTTCAGGCCATATTTTGCTGGGATATTCCCTTACATAGGCCTAAGAAATAGGCCAAAAACAAAAATATATGGTAGGTACCTCCAATCAATCGGTTCCTGAAATGGCCATTGACTGTATGGTTGATGATAAATACCCTCCAGTAAATTAACATAGACCCTGCCAGATAAGGGTTGAAAGATTATAGTTTCCTCTATATTAGAATGGTGATTTTCAGGGTCCAACTGTTAATTTTTCGGAAGAATTTGGTCATGTTTCAAGATAAACATGGCCATTGACTGTATGGTTGATGATAAATATCTCAAACCAACCAGTCTTTCATCATCCGAATGATCGCTCCACTTAGATGATCTACCAAGATCCGGTGCGATTGCTACTTGGCCTCGAAGCCACATTGGCATGTTCGATGCGATTTGATATGTATTTTTCTGAATCCTGGAATGGGTCATCCCAAATAATTATCATTTATGGATATTTATGGGTATTAAATTGATACTTTATCTCTTCTTTTGTTGGTACTGATCAGCTCAAACAAATCTTGGCATTGAACCATCATTTGCAGATTTGTTTGCGCTATTTTCGCAGAAACAAATGAAATGTCCATACAGGTTCATCTCAAGGCCATTCGAAACTGGACCTGAAATGTTGGCAATTCATAGGGCCACCTTGCTATTTTTTGTGCATGGCTGAAAGCCCCAAACCCTTTGGGGATGATAGTCACCCATTTATAGTGATTTGGGTGCATTAGTTAATTATTGGGGTAAACCCACAGTAATGTCAAGCCTGGTTTCATAAACCCCAAACGCCCGGCTGTGAAAAAAAGGGAGGCTACCAGGCTACCATAAAAAAGTATCAGATTCTGACTATTGGAGTACCACCCCTAATTAATAAACCATGGTTTATTAATCCGTGGTTGACATTATTCTTTTTTTCCCAGAAATTCTGCGTTGCCTGCAGAATTCCCGACAGATCTCGTTCATCCAGCGCTCGCTCAAAGTCTGCGCTGAGATCCATGGCGTTCCGCCAGCGCGCAGAAGAAACGCGCAGCGTACGCCAGGAGTTCTGCGTTGGTTACTTGAGCCCAGTGAAAGTGCAAATACTATTGGACAATACTCATAAATAAAAAACAATTTACAATATGGCACCACAATCGCTAATCCTTTGTTACTTATCATCCAATGGTATTTGTATTGTAATGATGGGTTGTTATAATGGGTATCAATCGGTATTAGTTATGAATATTATATTTGTTGGTGAATACCCATTATTGCTGTTACAATAGCATAATGCCATAACACCCAATAACATCAATTAATATCATCGAATTAATTCGCAACCATAATACCATTGATTTTGGCTACCAAAAAAACATATAACAGCCATGAATCCCATCCTAATATCAAACACCTCCTATGGTTCTAAAATAGTGAGTATGGCTCCTATGTTTCCTATGGTATCAAACACCTCCTATGGTTCCTATGGTTTCAAACACCAGCTATGGTTCCAATGGTTTCAAACACCTCCTATGGTTCCTATGGTTTCAAACACCTCCTATGGTTCCAATGGTTTCAAACACCTCCTATGGTTCCTATGGTTTCAAACACCTCCTATGGTTCCAATGGTTTCAAACACCTCCTATGGTTCCTATGGTTTCAAACACCTCCTATGGTTCCAATGGTTTCAAACACCTCCTATGGTTCCTATGGTTTCAAACACCTCCTATGGTTCCAATGGTTTCAAACACCTCCTATGGTTCCTATGGTTTCAAACACCTCCTATGGTTCCAATGGTTTCAAACACCTCCTATGGTTCCTATGGTTTCAAACACCTCCTATGGTTCCAATGGTTTCAAACACCTCCTATGGTTCCTATGGTTTCAAACACCTCCTATGGTTCCAATGGTTTCAAACACCTCCTATGGTTCCTATGGTTTCAAACACCTCCTATGGTTCCTATGGTTTCAAACACCTCCTATGGTTCCTATGGTTTCAAACACCTCCTATGGTTCCTATGGTTTCAAACACCTCCTATGGTTTCTAGGGGGTGTTGAATATTCGGGAGGCGCTTCAGCGGATTGATTTTGGAAAACGTTTTCACCATTTCTCAAACGAGTTCTTTGGCAAACTACTTGGAATATCTCGCGTGGTTTGTGGTTCGTAACCATGGTCAGCAAGTCCACTGGATCTGGATTGTCCAATTTATACCATGGGATACTGGCTGACCTTACTGTTTTCCAGCACCCAGTTACAAGTTTTTGGGATGATCCTCCAAGGATGTCACAGAAAAACCCGGTTTTTCTCAGGTAATCCTGTGAGGTTCACGTACCGTTGGGGCCCCTGCCCAGGGAGGCGTTCCTCCAAAGACGTAGCAAAAACCAGGCATTGGCCTAAGGGTATGAGCTTTGGGATAATCATAGCACTATAACCATAATCATCATAATCTACTTACTATCTATAAACCAATGCCTACCAGCCTACCAGCCTGCTGTCTTTTTTTCTTCGTTGAATGCGGCGGATGCAAAGGAATCGTTTGGCTGTGTCCCTAAAGTGCATGCATGCACTGCCCCAAACCATTGACTTCCCTCCGGTTCATATTTTTTGGGGATGTCCTTCTCAGCTTTGCTATGTTACATCCTTGTGTCCATTGTCTCTTCCCCTGTGAATGGAGCCCAGGTTTGGGGAAATTTTATCCCACTGGGGGATTTCTCTATGACAGGAATACCTGTTTTGTAGTTGAATATGATTCAATGATCAGGAACAATAGATAACATAGCGATTCTTTTTCTATGCAATTTTTTATGGATGATGTGATGTGAAATGCTTCGTTGGGACATGACCTGTTCCCATCCATGTGCCTTCCCCCAGTCATGTTCTCGCGCTTGAAAAAGCGAGGAAGTGCCAAGGGTCGCAGCCACATTTTTTTGGGGGCAGATTCATCCATCACCCCTCTTTCTCGGGAACGCCCGCAAAGAGTTCAGACTCAGTGATTGGTGGCTAAGTCTTCAGGGTCACCGAATTGGTTGAATCCCCCAAAAAGCCAATGGTTTGTCTGTGCCTCCAAACCGGTTTAGCCTCAGGTAATCAAACATTTCAGCTTCGCCGGTATTTCGTGGCTTCCCCACAACGCATTCTCACCTTGAGCCATCATGATGCGGGGCAGCTTTCATGGGAGAATTTGCCACTTGCACAGTGCAAGCACGCCCCTGGTTAAGTAGTGGATCTGTTTATTTTTGGGCCCCTTATTGGTATTCAATGCTACAGGGAGGTGGGTTACAAGGAGACGCTGCTATGTTGCCTGAGCAGTCCTTCTCTGCCAACATCTTTCTGACGCAAACAATTACGTTCGTGTTAAATCCATCAAACCTAAATTCATGATTATTTGTTGCTTTGGAGTGGTATGGAATCCCAGCAAACCACTAAGCAATCAGTGGAAACAATGGCTAGAGCTAGATACTTAGATACCCTACACAACTTTGACTCGTGGCATGGATCTTATTATAAGGCTAGACATCCCAGCATTCCCCTGTTTTTTTGATTGCCGTCCATTTATGTTGATGAACCAAGGTTTACTCAGAATGGGTTCCACCAATAACGGATGGTTCACAACCAGATTCTAAGTGGTTGTTGGTAATCAATAAGCCCAACCACTTAGAATCTGCTTGTTAACCAACAACCACCTAAACCAAAACAGAAAGAAACATTGTTGGGTCGCCTTTCTTGGGGTCCGTTGAGTTTTCCGACTGTAGTTCTCGATCCGCCCCGACTGGCGATCCACTTTTTAAAGAGAACGATGGCACGGGGATCCGCGTGGGGATCTCGCACTTTGTGCACATCGCTGAGCCAAAGTCGACTCAGGTGTAAAATTTGGTGCTTGGTGGCAGCTCTAAGGCTGAACTTAGAAAGGATGGGGGTTCAACATTGACATCAACAAGAATGGGGAAGATGGGATGTTTGACATTGATATTATTGGTGATCAAATTGACCCCAGTTGGATTTTTTTGAAAACATCATCGGAGCAAAGCCTGGGCTTATTAACCATTGGGGAAGAACTCAAGTGATATTCACATTTATTAACCAAGAAGCTGCATACTCTCCTTCAACTAATGTGTCCAAATATCGACCTCTCTTGTGGTACTTCGACCCGGTCATGGGAATATCATCTATGAGAGGTTGGGTTTCTGGAGGGCCAGTTAAGACATCGAATGTGACTGCGGCCTCTTAGACCAAGATTGGATGGCTCAATACTCAAAATCAATCAATATACCCTCTGGTAAACTAACGTAACTATGGTAAATCAGTAAATCACCGTTTTAAGTTTTAAATAGGTAAATCCACTATTTCAATGGCCATTTTCCATAGATATGTTAGTCATTACCAGAGGGTAGGTCGACAAATACCAGTGCATTTGGAAAACCTTTGATGTTCGCCGACAGCCTCGGGCGATATCCCCAATGACATGATGGAAATCCAATGACGATGACAGCTATATCCCAAAAAATGCAGAACAGCAAAATCCCAAATTATAAAATCGTGATGAATGCCTTTTCATTTTTTTGAGGGATACAATAAACTCAATAAACCTGTAACCGTTTCACAATCACTAAATCACTACATCGGCTCCAGGGCCGCCAACGTGCGGCCACTAAAGCCACCAGCTTATGCATCCGTCAGCCTGTCTTTGAGGCTTGTGCCAGCGGCTCAAAAGAACTGCACGGTTGATGGGCCATGATGGGCCATGATGGGCCGGCTGTCATGAAATGCAAACGCAGATTTAAAGCTCCGAAAATCCCGAGAAGTTCGGGTAAAAGTAAATGGGTTAATATTTATATATAAGGTTTATATTCCAATTTGATGCTGAAATACAGCATCAAATGGATGCTTCAATATCCCAATGTGATGCAAACAAAATACGCCATTGGATACGTGGGTGACGGTGAAATCGATCATTTTAGGATCCTTTAGGTGGCTCAATATGCCAAAGTGATCGATAAACCTGCAATGTAATATGATATGGTTAAACATCCAAGTTTGCTGCTTGAGAATCAGGCTACCACCCCCTAAAAGGCCCTAAAGCAATCTCAACCCATTACAGTTTCAGTGATGCCACTGGGGACTCTCTTGGGAGCTGGTCGTAGAGATACATCCAACTCAGCACTTGACATGGGAAGACCGGTGGATGTTCATTGCGGAGTCCATGGCTCAGTCGAAGACGAGCTGGTAACGATACAACTCAAAACTTTAACCAATAAATAATGGTTCTATGGGGATAACATACGGAAGGATATGATGGGATATGTACACAATTGATTTTAAATGTTTGTTGCGTTTAAATTTCGGGTATGCCCCTCAAATTGCAATTTGATGAGGAAAATGATAACAATCCATTGGAATTGAGACTAAGCCATGTTCAAACCCAATTGATAATCTCAAATCAGGATTTATCCACCCCTTGTTTATTCATAGTGGAGTAACACGTTTAAATGGTAGTTTATCACTATTTGGGGACCCCGTAATGAATAAACTGGGAGGCTCTTCATCCGGGATTGACATTCTACACAGTGCTCAGTGCTCCCGTGACACCTGTCAAAAAATCTACATACAAGGTTCATCATGACAACCCTGGATTTGATAGATTGGTGAATGAAGGGACGTTTCTCCTCAACCAACTCTTCAGATTGAACCCCCTGATTGGTTTTCATTGAAAGATCCATTCTAGTTGCAAGTTGTTACTTTCTCCTGGGGAGTAGGCCCCAAAGTGATCAGCTGGGCGTGAATCCGGACTTGACATTTCACCCGGTGTCTTCTGTTTTGAAAATTCGAAGGTGCAATGACAATCATATTATGAGGGACATTGACACTGCAGTACATGTACGACCGTATATCGGCTAAGGCGGCTAAGGAGTGCATGGTTTCTCTCCCAATTATCCGAAGTATCTGTCTCAAAGATCAATACTATCCAACCCCTTCTGAGCATTCCAGCTTCTACTGTCCCTACATTGGCTAGCAACATGCTTC